CAGGCTTCCTCGTCGGCTTGGTCTTTCTGTATCCTGCTTCTCTTAATACTCTCCAGACTGTAGTGCGTGATATATTGACTCCTTGAAGACTGAGAGCACCAGCAACGTCAGCGCAGCTCTTCTCTCGTCCGTATCTATCACGTCGTACTTGTTGGATTATCTGCTCCTTTACCTTATCCGTCTGCTTTGAAGGTCGGCCAGAGCGAGGGGCGTCTTGTACGTGCTCTGGGAGGATCTTAAGAGGGAGAACGTTTGGCTCGAAACCAGCCTCAATAGCTCTACTATAGATACGATTGACCGTACGAGGATGAACACCAGTAAGTTCAGAGATCTGTGATGTAGACTTGCCAACAGAAGGTGACTTTAACGCCACAATTAAGGTGCGGGTGTAAGGATCAGTATTAGGAGACATTGTAACGATAGATACAGACAAATCGTACAGCTACTCAGCTCAAAGGTGGGAGTTGCGCCAAGAAGAGTTATGCCGAAGCGCCGAGATTAGCGTGGGACAAAACTTTTGTGAGGCACCTCCGTACAGATAAAGCATAGGGGGGATTCAAAGTGCACGTCATCAGAGGGCGTATAGCTCCATTGCCGACGTTACCGGAGCAGTATTTTTAGACAAGCAGACAGGCCACGGACACACTATACCTCAAAGGATACCAGAGGTTGCAAGCAAGCTTGTCAAAACAAGGTCAGCACAAGTGGAAGTGGAAGTGGAAAATTGCCTGCGAGGGCTGGGGTTGCGATGCACCGGCATGGGATGATCTCATACCTGGGCGCTAGGTGGTGCCTCACCGCCCGGCAGTATTATCCCCACCCACACCCACATGGCATTTCCCCGCGCAGAGCACCTTTTCCGAACATAGCTTCGGAAAATCTACTTCCACTTCTCGCCTATCTCGCAAGGAACACGTCACATGACGTGATGGCGCTGGATATGCTGGTCATGACGGGCATGACTGGTTCAATTGGTTTCTATTTGGCGTGCGTTGCTAGCCAAACCCGGGCTGCTACCCTTGATTTGTCGTGATATTGTTACAATATTGATATGTATGTACAGTCGCCAAACATGCTACAACGAGTTTCCACTCACGAGGATGACGGCACTCCCTAGTTGTCGCCGCAGATCCTCCTTCTGCACATCGTGTGTATCTTCGACCTCGCCCCACTGCAGCGTCTGCCACTTGACCTCGAGGCTGCATGCCTCGGCTGCCTCTTCGATGCCAAAGCGGCCTGCATCGGCCGCATTGCGCGATTGCGCAAACGCCTCGGCCCACTCGTGGATCAACCGCACGCTGACCAGCAGACTCTTGGATGCTAGCACCGCGCGCTCAAGACCAGCAAGCTCGTAGGCCGGCAGACGTGCGCACCACCCGCGAATCACCTCCTGTGTCACCTTGGGCTGCTCGACGGGGATAATCGAGTCCGGGTCGAGCGTCGGCTTGATGTCGACGCCCGGGAAGACGTGCGTCTGCAGGTAGGCCATGATGCCCGTGGCGACGTCTTCCTGGATCTGGCGCAGCGTCTTGCCGTCGTGCAGGTAGTCGTTGGCGGCCTTCTCGGGCGCCCAGCACAGCAGCGTGTCGGTAGCGAGCACGCGCATAAAGTAGGCGAGGATGTCGTTGCGCACGTTGGCCTGCCCCGCCTTGTCGGCCGCGTCAATGTCAATGGCACGCGCGGCGAGCGACGTCATGGGTATGTAGTCGTTCTTGAGGGCCTGCTGGGCGCTCATGAGGAGGTCCCACTCGAGGGCAATGGCGGTCGCGAGCTGGGGCTTGGAGGCGGGGACGGTGAGGATCTGCTTGTTGGGCATGCGCACGGGGCGGTGGTCGAGGAAGACTTGCAGGCCGGCGTCGGTTTCCTTGACCGAGACGTCCTTCCAGAAGCGCTTGGCCAGCATGCTCTTGGGCTTGTTGGCGGGCGACGAGGCGGCCTCGCGCATCTCGCGGGCCTGCTTCATCATGTCGGCCTGCCTCCTCTTGCGCGCGACCCGCTCAGCAGCATCCGAGGGGTGTGCCTTGGGCGTCTCGGGCGGCGGGCCGGGGACTATGCGGCGTCAATGGGTCGTGGGCATGGCATAGCATGCCATGGCATGGAGGGGGCACGGCCTGGTGCGTACCTGAGGGGTGTGGCAGAGGCGTCGCGCCCCGTGCCGCCGACGTGTGCAGACATTGGCAGAGGCGTGTGTAGGGCCTGGCGGGGGCGGACAGGCGCATTGTCGCCAGTGCTGGGCGGAGGGACTCCATCTGGTGGTGGTGGTGGTGGTGGTAGGGCAGTAGTAGTAGTGATGGCGATAAGTAGTGTGGGATGGGTCGGCAGCACGGCGACATTTTTTTCCTGGGTCGCCGACGCGTGGACAGCAGAAGCGTCCAAGCAATTGCAAGATTACTTACTTAGCTAAATCTGGGGTTCTCCGCTCCGCAACCCTTCACCCCCCGTCTCGTCTCGACGCCCTCCGCCCTCCGCCCTCCGCCCTCCGCCCTCCGCCTGGCTACTCTGTCCTCATAGCGCCCGCCGATCGACCCGTGCTGGCGTCTCTGAACATGCGCCTGTGCCTGCTTCCCCACAGCTTCTCGTCTGCGTCTCTCTGCATGTTCTCCACCGTCTGGTCTGGCTCCTGATCGATCGGCTGTCGACGCGCTGCCGTTACCTGCTACCCTTACACTTACCCCACCCAAGTCGCCTCCCCTGCATTGCTGCTGCCGGCCCATTGATGCGGCCCTTTCCGACCCTCTCTGGCCCTACACTCTGCTTTTCATGAATCAAGCCGTCTCTCCGCCCGCTTCTGCGAACACGGCGGCGCCCCAGCCCAAGCCTATCCGTTTTGTCACAAACCACGATGGTCCCTATGCAAAGAGGCGCCGCATCAACTCGGCCTGCCTGACATGCCGCAAGAAGAAGACGCGCTGCTCTGGTGAGCCTGCCCGCATGCGAGGACGCCCACAGATGGATGCTGACACCACACCAGGCGAGCGCCCCGTCTGCGGCACTTGCACCCAGAACAAGCACGAATGCGCCGGCTACGGCGACGACAACAGCGCCACTGCCGATGCCCCCAAAGATGGCAAAAAGGCCCCCGCCCGAAAGCAAGAGTCGCCCATCGACCCCCAGCTCACGCGACCGCCCTTGGCGCACAGGACCTCGCACACGTCCGACTCCAGCACCGTCAATCCCTCGCCCAAGTTGGACATCCCGACAGGCAGCTCGGGCAGCCTTTCCCTAAGCACCCGCAACAGGATGCCGTACTTTAGGTACTTTGGCCCCACGGCCATTGTGCCGGGCCTGAGGCAGATGGTTGTCAAGGTACGCGGAAAGCAGCATGGGAGTGCCCAGACTACATCAGATCGTACGTATTGTTTCGGTTTGCCGTGTTGGAAGTGCTCGTTCGCGGCCGTGGCACCTGTGAATCCACAACGGTGGCAATTGACATTTTAACTTTCTGTCAAACCCAATCTCGCGAGTCGGAAAATCGCAGTGGGCAAATTTGCGCACTTATCATGAATACCGTAAATGGCTGCTGACTCGAATAGCACACGCTGTTGAATCCTCGCCTGCCCAGCCCTCTGTGGGTTCGCCACCCGTACAGGAAGCTCGCACCCCACTGGAAATACCCGTCTACGATGCTTCAGCCATGTCACCGAGTCCGCTCATCACTCGTCTCTGCAAAGTCTTCTTCGCTCACCTAGGCTGCTCATTTCCGTTTTTGCAAAGAGAAAGATTTATGCGCGACCTGGAGGAGAAACAAGTAGACGCCATCCTGGTAGATGCTGTTTGCGCTCTGGCGGCACGCTTCTCGACCCATCCCGTGTTGACAGGTCAAAGCGATCACAAGGACGGCGAGAGTGAAACCCCCAAGCTCCAACCCCCAGAATATGGCCAGGCATTCGCCCAGCGAGCAAAATCGGCTATCCCAGATGCCTTTCCATGCCCTAGTGTGGCCGTAGTACAGGCTGCGCTCCTCCTGGCCTACGACGAGTTTGGTGCAAGTCGCGATAGCGGCTTGTGGATGTATCTCGGAATTGCGATCCGCATGGCTCAAGACTTGGGTATGCAGTCTGTAGGTGGTCTCAAGTACGAAGGGCGCCATGGCCCAACGCCGAGCACCGTCAAGAGCGATCCAGAAGGGACACGGCCGTCATATCAGCCTGCGCCACAAGACAATGAAGAAAGAAGCGCCGAGGAGCAGGAGCAGCGAGCGGCGGAGCGCGAGCGATTGGACACATTCTGGTCCATCTTCTTCCTGGACAGAGTCATCTCTTCCGGAACCGGGCGCCCCGTCACTCTCCGCGACCGTGACATTGAGATCAGTTTTCCTTCTCTGGACGAGGTCGATTCTTCTGGATGGCCGCTACCCTATCCTGCTTTGATCCGAGTCATTCATCTTTACGGACGTGTTACCGACTTGCTCAACCGTATCAGAAGCGCTACAGACGTCACACCCGAGCTACTGAAGCAACTGGGGGCGTGGGAAGATCGGTTGACAAGCATCTACCAGAACCTCTCACCTAAGCTCCACTTCAATGCCGTCAACTTCCAGCAATACGTCAAGCTGAATCAGGGAACCAATTTCTTGCTACTCCACTGCTGGTTCCACACGCTCATTGTTCTCCTGCACCAGCCGACTCTTTTGAGAACGTTTGAGGGCGCCCCGCAAGCCCACTCAAATCACAGCAGGGAACTTTCAATGTCTTCTGCAAAGACCGTTGCCGATATACTAGCCTTTACAGAGCTTATAGACGTCAAAACTGGCATGGGTAACCCGTTTACTAGGTGTGTTCAACCATGCCCTACGTGCCTCGATAGCAAAACTGATTTGAGTCTAGTCAACCCATCTACATCGCTGCATGTGCCTTCCTCAAGGAGACAGCCATTCACTCTGCATCATCGCAGCCTCATTCTCGCCCGGCAAGCCCTGGTCGGAATGGCGACAACAGCCAAAAACCTCCCATCAACCACTCGCTTGACCGCCTTGACACAGCCAATAACATCAATGACCGAGAACAAAAACAAACGGCCGCCAAGCATACATTACTCGCCTCCGCTGCCAATCAAAACTATCAACGTTGTTATCGTGCTCTGAAGGCCCTCGAGACGTACTGGGCAGGAGTCAAGTACATAATGACTGTGCTGGATCAGAAGGCAAAGGGAGTCTGCGACCCGTTGCTTTACACTGCAGAAGAGATGGAAAGCGCCTTGGAAGCCCCTCGACCGGAGCCATCTTTTACAAGTCCTGGGTGGAGGAGGAAACTTAGCTGGGGCACATATCTAACTGCACAAACTCCAGACACAGATGTTGCAAAGATGGCAGCTGCAATTAGGAAAGGAGGGCGATCCCCGAACATACCTGGGTCACCAATGATACATCCCAGTCAAGGTATGTTACTGAATCTGGCAAGTCCAACATGCTATTGACTCTAGTACAGCTATAGGATGGTCGCTCACTGGAACTATGAACTCGCCTTCGACGAATGTCGCGGTAATGTATACCTCGGAGAACGGCGAGGGTCGAACTGCGAAGCCACCACCTCACAACCCTCCCCCAGCCAGTACGCAGCCTTCCATTGCAGCTATGACATCGGACCCGCCTATAAAGTTCGAGCCGCAGCAGTCCATGCAATCGCCATCTGGCTTTTCACGTTTCAGCTCAGCATCGATGCCTCCACCGCCACAAAACCAAGCATTCAGCACCACCACCATCTCCAACCCCGACCCCGTAATGGTTTCGGATGCCGACCTACTGTTGAACCTGCACTCCGCGTTTTCCGGAGGCTCGCCCGCAGCCGTGCGAACACCCCTGCAAAACCAAGCGCCCTACCCCCGCGGCTCCTCCCACATGCAGCCGCACCCCCAAAACGACTTCTCGCCCACCTTTACCACGTTCAACGCCCCTTCGGACCACGCATTTGGCGACATGGTCATCGACGCCCAGGACGTTGACATGTCGCTGCTCGGCGCCGACATGGTCCCCTGGGACATTGAGTACCTTCCCCACGACATGCTTTCGTTTGGCGACGCCACGTTTGGAAACCCCACTTTTGGCGGCCATGATGGCTCGGGGAATCACTCTGCGGAATGAGAAGAAATCTTTCCATAAAATACGGTGCGGGTTGCATACAATATATGGGGCTATCTTTTTTCTTTTCTTTTCTGGGGGTTACGTCGGAGAGGACACACGCATGCAAACTCTGTCGGTTTACATGTGGCATGATTAAAACAAACGGTGGGATTTTACGTGGACCGGGGGTGGTATTGTGTGTATAAAGACCTGGGCAAATCGGGTTGGTTCGGTTTTAGTTCGGTTTGGTTTTGACGAGGCATAGGATGGGAGTTTTTTTTTTACATAAAGATACCATGTTTATATTCTTACCCTTTTACTTCTACACCTACTTCAATTTCACGTTTAATTGAAAAAGACAGAGAAGAAAAAAAAAGCTCTTCGTCTCGATTCATCAAGCCATGCCCTTTGCTTCATTCACTCATTCCAATCTCCCGACTAAAGCAACTCCATGCCACACCATCCACATACACAGTGGAAAAAAAGAAAAAGAAAAGGCGTGTCTACCACATCATCCCATTCGACATGTCTTACAAAAAAAAAGCTTAAAGCACAAAATTCTGCACTGAATATAATAAAATAAAACATAACGTGTTTCACCAGTAAGCGGGCCACCCCAGTATGTGGGCCACCTCCCCAAACTATTACATCTTTGTAATAGTATTGCGCAACACCACCACAATATTTTTTATTAAGTAGAATAAGATATTATTCTTTAGACGCATTGCTATCCTCTGTATCCTCTAATTCTACTTGACAAGTGCGAGAGTTGTGTCCAATTTGGCTGCAACGCCCGCAGCGCCGTTCACTACGCACCCTCTTCGCAGACGTTGCACCATCATTATAGCTACCACCCTCTGCCTCAGCGATCTGATCAGCTATCTGGCCAACTGTCTAGGACCCCTCTGCCTGTACGTAGCGCCTCTTACGAGTTTTTCGCTTCGTTACTTCAGTAATCGTAGCTTCAAGGCGATTAAGTTTCTCCTGCATTAACACTATATTATGAGCTATCTGCTAAGCTCCCTTACTTAACTGCTATATCTGCTCCTTAAGAGAACTTGTAGGAGACCCTTGCTGGATTTGCATACGGTTTCGAATAAGCGTAGCCTGCGCCTCCATTTCGCGCGCGTTGCGCGGCGTTTTCGGCTCCCAAGCAGTGGTCTCTTGCGCTGGTGGAGTTGGCGTACGCAGCATGACGTTAAGCTGTGATAAAACAACGTTATAATCGTGCGGTGAAAGTCCAGCACCTCAGAACCCTCCGCGGATATTTTCTGGTGTAATAGCCTTATAATAGGCCTTTTTAAACGCTAGTAGGAAGGTTTCTTTGCTAATATAGTAGATGCGATTGCGTGCTAAGACTAAGATAGCATCACCATACGCGCGCTTTAACGGCGAGAAGCAGCCCACATCAAGAGGCTGTAAGAGGTGCGACGAGTGGGGAGGCATACAGAGGAGGATTATCTTCATCTCTTCGCAGAGATCTCGGAAATCCACCGAGCAGTGGCTCTCATGGCCGTCAATAATAAGCAGCCTATGCGTCCCCACAGGCCGCGCATGGGAATCAAAGTGACGAAGCCAGTCAAGCGCTAGATCGTTGTTCGTCCAGCTGGTAGGACTAACTTAGATCACCTAGTCGCGTGGCAGATCCTCCGTGAACTAGGTAGAGATCAGAACCTTGCCAGCGAAGATAAGAAACGCTGGGATACGCGTGCCTGTTGCGCCAACGCCTTGTATCAGCGTAACCCACTCACGATTGCCTAGCTGGATCTTCTTTGTTCTCCCTGGTTTGTCTGAGCCTGTGATAACTGACTGTGATAAAATCTTGCCTATAATAAAGCCAGTCTCATCAAAGTTATAGATATCTTCGTCCACGATACCATACTTTGCCTTCATATTCTGAACTAGCTCAAACCAGCCCTTAATAAGCGCTGGGTCTTCGCAGAGAGCTCGCTGGTGATCGTATGGACGGCTCCAGCGCGTACGCAGCTCAGGATTGCGCTGGACAAACCTATCAACCCAGTTCTTGCCCACCTCCTTCCCGCCACGCTCTCGGAGCAGTCTGTTGGCCATATCTCGCACGTCGTCTTTCCCACAGGGTAGTCCTCGCTCAGCCTCGACTATTACACGCATAGTAATAGCCTCCTCTTCTAGTTTTGTTAGGCGCCTTGCTGGTGGCTCCCAATCGCTTCGAGGGCGCTGTCCAGCTCGTCGACGCTGGATTGTTGTTCGTGGGACGCTATAGGCGGCAGCAGCGCGTCGTTCACTCTGAATTTGTTTAGAATCAAGATTAGTAATAGCAAGAAATAGATCTGCTTTAGTATAAGTTTTTAACGCGTTGCGTTGTTGAGACATTACGCGTTGTTGTTGCAAATGTGGGATATCATAGGGAAGTGGCCCACATACTGGGGTGGCCCGCTTACTGGTGAAACACGTTAAGTAGTTTCTTTTTCTTCATTTGCATCTACAAAGACAAGTGTAAACCCCCCGCGCGGCCCCCACCTAACTACTACTGCAACATACCCTCAAGACTCTCACCCAAAATCTCCTCCATGCCGTTCTTCCATCTCTGGCACTCGCGCTCCACCATATCATCATCGTCCTCCATGAGCTCGCTGATAAACGGGAGCATCTCCGGCAGCAAGCCGAGCCACTCCTCGCCGAGTCTGCGGGTGAGACTCTGTTCGCAGAGGACGGTTGCGAGGCGGGTGTGTCTATGTTGGCTGCGCATGTTCTTGAGCAGGATAGTGTTCATTTCGCGGTGGTTGTCCATGCTGGATGAGGATGCGGCTGCGAGTTCGGTGATGGTGGGAATGATGTTGTTGGTGTTGTTCTCCGGGGTAGATGTGGATGCGGAGGGCAGGCTGAGGAGGGACAGCAGCGGCGGCATGATGATGCCAAAGTGCGAGGGCGCTTGCCAGAATCCGTCTTGGTCGTGCTGGAATGTCTTTTGGAGCGCCGAGAGAACGGCGGCTCGGGTGCTGGCTTCCGAGTCGTCTTTGGCGAGCTGTGTGAGCATCTTTGCGGCGGGCTCGATGATGTAGCTGGAATAGCTTGTTACGAGGGACTGGGCTGGAGTTAGTGCGTGGAAATGATGATGTATTTCAAGGATACATACCTTGAATTTATCGAAGAAGGCGGCGAGGAACTTGTAGAAGGTGATGGCGCGTTCAAGCTTGGTGGGTAGTGGGCCTTCTTGGTCTACAAGCTGCACGAAAAAGGGTCGGAATGTGGCATCACTGAGCTTGAGAACCATGGCAATGACCGATTCAATGAGCATACCCTCGAGCTGTTCAGTCTCCTCCTCGTCGACTTCTTCCTGAGTTTCCGATTGAAGAGTCTCTCGCAGGCGGAATGTTTGCAGGAAAAGGCTGAACAGCGGCGAACTTGCCTTGACAAGCTTGGCCTTTGTCTGGGCACTGATGGTGGACTGCAACAGCTCGAGCTGTTCAAGCAAGGCATCAAAGCCTTGCGAAGCAGCATGCGGCCATGTCGCCTTGATTGAGGAAAAGACTTCTTGTGCACCAAGACGCTGCGACACGCTTTGGTAGAAACTCGTGCGGCTTTCGTCGCATGCATCCTCCAGATCAGCAGCAGCAGATCGCTGGGCCAGCCGCAAAGCAGTATCCAAATACTCCCGCGAGAACATGTATCCCAGGCGCTCGACGATGTTGGCAAGGAGGGTGAATACGGCGTTGTGAAGGCCAGTCTTTTCTTCTTCAATGGCATTCGACATGTATTCAAAGGCAGTGGGGATGACCGTGGGCAGCAGCGAGATTGCTTTGTCCTCAAGAACATCGATAGCAGATGTCAAGCAAAGCAGAGACAAGATGCGGATTCTGTCGTCGCTGCTCAACAATGACTCGGCACCGGCAATGGTCTGCGCCACTGAAGAGACAGCAGAAATATCCTTCTTGCCGAAGCGCTCAATGATGCGGTCGATGCAGCTGACAGAGACCATCTTCGTATCCATTTCCGATGTCTGCTGCAAGAGCATCTGAACACTGGGTAGGAAGGAGATGAGCGCTTCCACAGACTTGCGGTCGTTTTGCTTGGCGGTGCCTGCTCGCAACTCAACTGACTTAACAGCAGCAACTTGCACATGCGAGTCGGTGCTGGAAAGAAGCAGCTCAGCAGATTTGATGAGATCGGTCGTCGGCAACAGGTCCAAGCAACTGGCGAGAACACGACTGCATGCCGCATACGTCTTCGAGTTTGACACCAGTTTCTTGGCTAACTGAATGGTGGTTTCGATGATGTTGGCAAAGATCTTTCGTGGTCTCTCGGGGTCATCCTTCTTTCGGTACGCTCTGGTAACATGCGCCTTTACCTTCTCATCAAGTGCTAGATCAGTCAAACATGAAAGCATGCTCTGGACTGACGAATCCAACTTGTTCTCCTTCGACTTGTCCTTGAGGCCAAACAGCGTCTCAGCAACCTGTGGTTTCGGCCCAGTGGCATCAGTAAGTAGATCAAGGTAGCCCTTGAAGGTGACCAGAGTGTTGATGGGATCGAAGTGGAGGAGCAAGTCCGCGCAGAATCTCCGTTGCTCTTTGCTGTGGTACCGGTCGGCAAGCAGGGCAACAATAGCTGGGAGCGAGTCTTCAGGGCCCAGTGTACGAGCCAACTCTGCAAATAGCTTCATCCTTCTGTGCAAAGGAATGTGTTCAAAGGCAGCGGTAAAGCTGAGTAGCAAGTCCGACACACCAGCAATAAAGTCTCTGTGTTTTGAGCGAAGCGACGCAGCCAGTTGAGGTACCACGCGCGAGATTGTCTTGTCGACAACCTGAGCAGAGTAGTCATCGTGTTGTCGAAGGAGAGTAGAGCCGATGAAAGTGAAGATGGGCATGAGATTGTGCAAGATGAGGTCCGGAACCCAAGAGGCAAGGTTGGAAATCAAGAGCAGTGCGCTGTTTTGCACCTGTGGGCTTGTGGAGTGTCGGATACAGTCAATCAAGAGGTCGGCTCGCACTGCCGACTGGTAGTCCGCAGTATCTGGCTGCTCCTTCAGAGTTTGTACGATAGGGCTCAACGACCCCAGGATGATACTCTGCAAGTACACCAACTCGGACTCAGATTGCTGCTTGAGCGGCTGCAATTCGGCGAAAATGCCGAAAAGGTTCTTGAAAAGTTCTGGATGCTGCCCTGGGTGGGATCCTTCAACCAATTCAAGAACAAGTGTGAGTCTTCGAAGGAGCCTCTGGACATCGTCTTGAGAAGAAAGTTCCACTCGGGCCATCTCGCTTCGGCTAGTACGCCTCCGTTTCGCTCCCGGTGGCCCTCCAGGCATTGCTGTCGGCGAGGGGATGCTATCCAAGAAAGTGACCAGGATTGTAGAATCAAGACTAACGTTGCGCAAGATCTCCATGGATTGTTCTCTGCAGAGCTTGTCGAAAGAGGTATCGTTCTCACTCAAGGCCAGACCCAGCATGCACTGAGCTAGCGAGTGTCGAGATTCAGATCTGAAGGCAGACCAAGAGGAATGAATGCGACTGAAAGATGCCATCGCCAATGAATCGCGCTCTTTGTTGAATGTACCGGAGATGATGTCCTGCAACAGTTGTGCACTCTTTGCCTCTCTTGGTATGGTTGCAGCGAGATGAGAGCGTTCAGCGTCATGGAGACTGATTGTTTCACTGTTGCATTTGCTTGTTGCGCTCTCAACAGGAAGAGCAGACCATTCGTTGAGCAAGGGGAGCACGAAATTTGCGCGGACAGTATCGGACACCTTGCCACGAATGTTGAACATGGGCAGTAGACATAACCGGACCCTCACGGAGGGCGTGAAACCAGCATGGCTTGCGAAGAAGCCGAGAATTGCCGTTCGCGTTTGCAGCTTGAAAGACTGCTTAGGGTGGTTCTTCAGTTGCGTTCCCTCCAGTACATCTCGGAGGGCAGGAATGACGAAATGTGCATCCATGACGCATTCCTCAAGCATTGGCTGCAGCATTGAGGTGACGAATACCAGCACATCTTCAGGCTTTAGCTCTGAAATGTTCTTCGAGGCTTTGCCGTAAAGCTCTGTTTTAGCCCATGACGGGGCCTTTGATCTGGCCGAGGCCTTACGAGCCAGGAGACCAATGCAAGCAGCAGCGGAACGCCGAATCAGCGGAGATGGGTCAGCAAGTGCGTGGACAAAGTATGGCAAAAGGTTTTGCAGGAGATGGGCGGCCTCGATTTTTCCGAAAGCTGAGGCAGTAGCGCGTAGAGCGGCGATGCGCACAGCAACAGGGCGGGGGCTGGCCCAGACACGCGCAAGGAATGATAAGTAGAGTGTCTGTTGAAGCGCGGCCTCCTGTTGCAATTGATCAGATGCAAGGAAAGTTTTGGTCTGTTTGTTGGAGACAGCTAGCTCGAAAGCATCGGCAGCCTTTGCAAACTCTTCATCTGATCCTGCATCCAAGAAGCTGGTAACTGTGATCTCTGGTACTTGTACGGTCGGTTTCTCAACGGCCTCATCAGCGTCAACCATCTCTTCGTCAGAATCAACTTCTTCAACATCCACAATCTCGAACGTTTGCGCCATGGTGAGCCCGAGTGATTCTAGATCAACGTTGTTCTGTTTTGCCACATCCTGTAGCATGGTTGACAGGTCCTTTGACTCGACCAATTTTGTTGCAACCTGAAGTAATTCGCCATGCGCTTCGGATCCCGGAGCACTGTCGCGAAGAAGCTGGGCCAACGCCGATAGTGTAAGTTGAATGCGCGACTTGCTGAGTAGGCCGGATGCAATTAATTCATGGAATATAGCGTGGTTTTCGTCTGAACCGACATTGAGCGCGCCGATAGCGCAGCCCAGTGCCAGTCGATCAACGTGACACTGTTGGGAGACAGATTTCAGCCTCTGTACAAGCTGCGATACTTTGAGCAGTTTTTTGGAAACCTTGGCTGGGATCTGCGCCTTTGAGCGCTCGTTGGCGATGATTGCCAAGCAGCCCAGGCATGACTGCAGCGACGTCTCATCATGGGCTGCAATTACAGCCTCCATCAAGGCATCCAGAACCTTGTCCCCGACCTTTGCCTGGTTGACCAGCATAATGACAATGGCGTAGCAAGCCAGGACAGTGTCGGCTCCATGCTTAGCATGCATGCAGTTGTTGAGAACAGGAAGCAGGTCCAGAACCAGCTTTTCGGTGCTCTGATCTTGCAAGTCTTTCCGGCCTGAGCTCGAGTTGCTCAGTATGCCGTAGATTGCCTCCACGGTGACTCCAGACCAGAAGGACAGCATGTGAGCAGCCTGGTGCCCCGCATTTACGACTTTGGTGACATACGACTGATACGCTTTGAAGAACTGCGGCGTGTTGATGGCTGTGTATGCGATTGTGCGCTGGGGAACATTGGTGGGTGCCTGGATGTATGGGAAGAGGAATCGAATGGCGTGCGATGGCTGTGCGGGGAGGATGGATAGCAGAGCAAGGAATTGGGGCGTGTTGTGGTAGGGCAGGTAGGTGAAGACCAGGCATTCGGTGTTGTATTCATGGATGCTGCTCAGCGTTAGCCGTGTCAAGGGCGCAAGCCAGCGCTGGCTTCGTTGTGGCGTTCGACGTACCGGAATCTTCTCACGAGCCACTCGAGCGCCTTTTCTGCTGGTTTGAGCAGCAAGCGCGGGCCGACGAGTGTGATGAAGGCCTCGAGCGCAACATTGAGTTTGTCATTTTCCTCCTTGGTCATCTGCGTGCGATCTTCGGCCTTGCTCTGCTCGCTGAACAGATTCTTGGAAAAGCGCAAAAACCTCGAGTCCAAAGCGCACAACTCCCGAAAGCCCTCGTGGCAGATCAGATAGACGGTTTCGAATGACTGCGACGAGGCGATCTTGGGCTCGAACAGCAGCGACTTGCCATGGGCCGATTTCTGCGCGCGCAGGTCGAGCTGGTGGGTGCTCGAGGCCGCGATGGTCGCGAGCTGTTTCTGCAGCGCCGTCGCCATTTTCGGGGATTCTAGGAGTCGCGGAAAGCTTTAGCGGTTGAGTTTGGGGATTCCAGCAGCCATCAGACGCCGTGGAACAGCGTGGGGCTTGTCGTGGCGGGTTGGGCGGAAAGCTTGAGGTTGGCGATGCGCATACAAAATTTGGAGACGGACCATCTGCAAGATTTCACGCTAGTCGGTTTTTACGGCGGGCCGCTCCACCCACATGTGCCGTCGGACTCCCGAGACACGTGCGACGCGACTTTCACCCCCAGCTCATCCGACTGCATCACTCCCGACAGCTGCACCATCGTCCAGAATGTGTACCCGACTTGAATCATAGCGGCTCCCTCCAAATCAACCCGGTACTCTTGCCCAATAGATGGTCGACCTCGCGCCGCACTTGGAACCACTACAAACAACCGCATCATGACATAGTTTGGGTTGTCATCCCGTACTGATAAACTTGGTCTGGTGTTCGCCTCTTCCAATGGCTGCGAATATTCCAAAATTTGCGAGCTTCCGGCCAAAGCCTAAGCCTGTCCCAGAACCATCTCAGGAACCCCAGCAACATGGCAAAGCCGAGCGACCATCAAAAGAGACGGATCGAGATGTGAAGAGGTCGCAGTCGCCAAGTAAACGAAGCCGGGAAAAGGATGTGTCTACGAGCAAGCCTTACTTCAGCGACCGACGTGGTGACGCCGACGTGCTGCGCTATGGCACTCTGAACCGTTACGACATTCCACCTTACCATCGCTATGGCCACGGATTTGTCTTGGGTCTTCCACTTGGTCTGAAAATCGACCGGGAATCATCTACCTATAAGAAGATTTACCTGAAACCAGCCACGCACAGAAGTCAACAGCGCTTGCTTACAGACAAGCACGCAAACCGGTCAGGTGAACGTATGCTGCGTCTAGTAAAAGCCAGTGGTAGTGCGCCCGACTTTGACCAAGACTTTGTGTTCCTGTCTGCAAACGGCAAAAGGAAGCGCCAAGACAGTGACGAGGACGACGAACCAACACTGGAAGCCGACTACCGGGGAGTAGAAGGACCCAAGTCTGCGGAGCCAGCAGATCCAGACACACAGTATGAGTCTGATGCCGAAGTTACGATTGATGCCGAAGTCACCCGCGAAAATTCCAAACTTGCGCACTACACCAAAGAGCATCCTGAAGATGTCTCAGGCTGGTTGGCGCTGATCGCACACCAGGAGGCAATGGTGAAGCTCGAGCGGCCATCTGTGGAACTGACTGCCTCTGATAGAGCACATCTTGCCGACGTACGCATCGCTACGTACGGAGAAGCCTTGAAGAAGATTGGCAACGACAGTGAGAGCCAGCTCAAGCTTTACAAAGGGCTCATGAAAGAAGCTGAGAGAGCATGGGACAGCGCCAAGGTAGCGAGTAAATGGAAGGACGTCCTTGCAAAACACCCCGATAGTATCGATCTATGGATGATGTATCTTGACTTTGTGCAGTCGAGGTTCACAAGCTTCAAGTATGAGGAGTGCAAGGCTGTGTTCTTCAAATGCATTGAAAGCCTGTGTATGAACACAAAAGATGTGCTGCCTGCGGCTTTGCTGCACATTCTGATACGTCTCACATCAATGACGCATGAAGCTGGGTACCAAGAGCTATCGATAGCAATTTGGCAGACCTTGCTTGAACGCAGCATCCTGTGCCCCGAGGGAGATGCCACCATGGAAGCATTCGAGGCTTTCTGGGATAGCGAGGTACCACGAATTGGCGAGCCACAAGCAAAGGGGTGGAAACACCACAGTTCTGAGGACGAGCCTGCATCGGTAGAGCTTGATCCTTTAACAGAGAAGAACTCATCAGACTCATTCTTTGAAGATTTTCAGAAACGCGAAACGGAGGCCATGCGGAGACTTGTGCTACCCGGCCGTGCGTCCGACGAAGTCGCTGGAGACGACGCATTCCATACCATCTTTTTCGATGATATATCACCATACCTGAAGCTAATCCCAGATCAAATTCCAACAAGAATGCTCGTAGAAGCCTTCCTATGCTTTTGCGAGCTACCGCCTTTGTCAAAATTTGCTGCATACCAGCGCGACTGGTGGTCTGATCCTTTCCTGCAGCGGCACTGGTCACTTTCAAATCCTAGTAGAGATAAATCTTCCAAATTTACGCAGATGCTCAAACGCTTCTCGGATTGCTCATCGAAAAGCTTCCAGATGACGACCGAGCTGCTATTCGAGCAAGAGTTTGCTGTGGACGGTATCGGCCTGGAAGTAGACTTCATCAGACGCTTCCTCAAAACCCTAGTCTCAGATCCGTCAAGCGATGAGGCCTTTGGCGAGTATCTTCTTGCGTTTGAACTTCGACACTATCCTCGCGAGGCTTTCAAGACTGCAAAGCGCCTGCTGAAAGCCCGGTCTTCCAGCTTGCGCCTGTACAACGCGTATGGATTGGTTGAAGCTCGGCTTGGAAACTCGGACAAGGCAGACCAGGTCTTTCGTACTGTCCTCGTCATGCAAGCTAGTAATTCAACAAGCCCGAATCCGAAGATCCTGGAGTTGCTCGATAGCTGGGTCTGGGAAGCGCTTCGCAGGGGAGAGAGAAAGCATGCACTATGGCGCCTTGTCTCGCCACATGGTAGCCTCCCAGCAGACTATACACAGCGCCAACCCGATGATACTCTCATAGCCAGTACCAGAACAAGACTTGACGAAATCAGCGAGCGTGCACTACTTGACCAAGAACATGCAACGGCCATTCTGAGTACCTCGCTCTCTGCTTTGCTAGTCTACCTGACATACGACTGCAAAGCTGAACGTGCTCTCGAAATCCACTCTCATTTATCTATATGGTTTACAGCACATAAAGCCGCCAACTCACCGTCGGCGGAGCTGCACGCACAGTCAATGGCACGTCTCCTAACTTACCACGTCACCCACGCACCAATCGTCAAGCCCGCTCTCATTCGAACAACGCTGGAGCCACTAATCTCCAGCTTTCCGGACAACACGATGTTACTTTCTCTATACGCAGCAAACGAAGCACGCTTCTCGATCGATGATCGCGTCCGAGGTCTCATGCACAAGAATGCTCTCCAAAGCACAGAAGAGCGCAGCGTCGCTGGCTGGGCCTTTGCAATCCACTACGAAACCCTGAAAGGCTCGATTGCAGGCTCGACGTCGCATTCCATCCGAGCGTTATACAAACGCGCAACCGAGTACAGCGGCGCGCATTGCCCCGCTCTATGGAAAACCTACACACAGTTTGAGCTAGCACAGCTAGTACTGGAAGAAACAAAACGGCCGAGCAAGAAGCCCCGGCGAGACGGCAAGAAAAGTAAAGCGGAAATTCGCGTGGACGAGGCGAAACAAAGAGTCAAGGACACATTTTACGCCGGACTGCGCAATTTGCCTTGGTGTAAGGAGTATATTATGCTTGCTTTTACAGATGCAAAGCACGTGTTTAGTGACGAGGAGAAATGGAGGTTATCCCGGGTCATGCTGGAGAAAGAACATAGGTTATACGTGGAGCTAGACGATGAAGAGGCATGGGACATGGCCGGTGCAAAGGGATGGATCAGTGAGCATTCATTATCACGGTGATATGTTAGATCATTCAAGTTAGCATTGACCTTGTCCTGTCCTCTTTCCTCATACCTATCCCTTCATCGCAAGACGCACCCTGATATGAGACAATCAAACCATTCCCAGATAACAGCCGACATGGAAGCAGAAGAACTTATAGTTCCTCCCACCCTTCAATCGCACTTTCAGGCACAAAATGCAGGAAAATATATTCATGCATCGAGTTATTCCACGCCTCCTCATGGATGTACAAGCCGAGCTTCTTCGCGAGAAGCCGGATATTACGATACTCGGTGCGCTCCTCACACGCATACGTATCAATCTTATAAATACGGACGTCCTGCTTTCCGGTTCTGACGCGCCGCTCTGCTTCGCGCCACGCCACGTCTTCGTCGCTGTACATGGAGATGAAGGGCGTGGCCTCTCTGTTGCGCCAGTCGAGATGCTGTGCTATCAGGTGCAGCAAGGTGTTTGTTTTCGCGGTGAAATTCACATCCGTGTCTGTGTCTTCGGCGAAGATGCCCGTGTCGTCGATGTAGCGCGCGCGAGACGATTCGTCTTCAACGCGGTAGAGAATGTGTGGAGCCGTGATCGCCCCGTTTACGACGGATTTAGCGTTGGGCTGGGATGTGCGAGGACGCGATGTGGGTCTAGCGTGGTATAGCGTGGTATACACGCAATTTGGAGCAAGTATGGAATAACGTTTGCTGTTGATGCGGAACCCGGTCGTTGAATAGCGCCGGTGTTGAAGGGAGGGGGAATTGTAACGCGATTTGAGTCATACGATACTTACGCGGCTGAATACTGTACCGGTAGTTTCCCGAGGGTTTCCCGAGCTGAATCAGACATGGACTCGACGTACTTACATGATGTTTGGTTGTTCTGATTCAACTTGCAATACTTCTTTCCAATTGTTTGATTGGGGATTTCACTTTTCAAATGGTTTATCTTTGTTCGTTCAAATTCAAACTATTGGATATATCGTCTGTCAGGGTCCATCTCGAAACGAAGAAATGTACATGAGATCAACATGTCATAAACTCTATCTTTATATCACCACCTTCATTCCACTAAATTCTTATTCTATTCCATATCAGCCCTTGATATAAAAGTCTTGCTCCCCAAAAATTTCATCAAACCCCCCTTTGATCCTAAACTCCCTCCTCCATCATCAATATCTCCCTCCCGCACTTCTTCCTCAATCCAGCAGCGCTTCGCACCACCAGCATCAATGAAAAAGCAACTCGCGCACACATCCAAAAAGTGCAATAGGACGGGCACAGTGGCTCCCCACCGGCGCCAGACATACGCAGTCATCTGGCTAGTGGCAGGGGGCCGAATATCCAAAAATAAAAGGTAACGGTGTTGGAGTCCGAGGAGTTACCCTACGGAAGAACAGATACTACATCGGATCAAAGCCTGAATGGCAAAGAGCGAGCTGGGGAGGTTCAATGGGTGCGGGGAGAGGATGGCTTAAATAGATGGGAGAAGGGGGAGGAGGGAATAGGCGGAAGGGTGCACGTGAGAGCACGTGATCAAGGGTGCCTGCTTGGCTGGGGCTGGTGCGTCGGGGTGTGTGGGCTTTTGCAGGGATAGAGAACAAATAGGAGGGTCCATAGGAAGGGATAAGTGGTCTTGGTAGGATTTAGTTTGTATCAACAAAAATTTGTGGCGTGCGTGGAGCGGTATGCTCGAGGTTGGCATCCAGGCAATAATATCACGTGATGCTACTGCCTTGTCTGATCATCCTTCATCTTTCACCACACCAGAAGGCGAGTGTTGCAAATATTCCAGCGGTTACGAGAGAATTTCGGTATTCAGAGGAGAATGGACCCATGAAAAAGTTATCAGTGTGCGCATCTGAATAGGTTGGCTCATGGTCTCCGTGTACTGCTTTCGTACTAGTTTCTCGCGGTAGGTGCTTACTTAGCCGATTTTTAGTGTTTGCAGCCGTACAGAAGCACTACTCAACATCACCATCACCACAATCGAGAAGACAGGCCTCAAAATCTAAAGCGCAGCCGTTCATAAGCTGCGAATAGGAATACTAACTCAGCGTGTGCGACAACATCTGCTTTTCATTCATGATTTCATGCGCATCCGCAAGCTCGAGTGCTGCGACCTGAAACTCACTCCATGAATGCTAATCTGGGCATTGGCGTTTTCGTTGAAAGTGGCTGTCCACCTGTCCTCCGCTCAGAACCAGACTTGCTGGGTCAAAAAGCCTTCTTGACGCACAAGGTCCATGGCAGCGGCCTCCAGAAATGGATACCTCTACCGCTAAGTCGACGCCACTGGAACCAGGTCAGGCCGCATGCAAGTGCTTGCTTGAAAGAGATCTACGAGCTAGCTGGTCTGAAAAGTCCAGTGTCAAGCTATATTGATGTTCTTTACTATTTAATGAATACCGTCGTGGGACAGTTCTCGGCGGCTGCGGAAAAGGAGTTTAAACGTCGCGATGCGCAAAGCACACTCAGTCATGCATCAGAAAAGGCAGCCACAGCTTATTTCGGCCTTTTCCACCTTCTGCTCTGCCTCGCAACTGAAAACGTGGCCATCATCGCAAGTGCAAACAAGACCATTGCTCGCTTCATTGCCGGACCGCGGTCCAAAGCAAACTTTCCTGATCTCGGACATGTCTTCACTGCAGCGTTGATCTCGGATGCAGGACTCACAGAGGAACTCACACTGCTGGTCATCAAAGAAGCCATTCTCCGTAATGTCGTCTGGATGCTCGACACAAAAGGTGCATGCATGCCGGAGCTGGCATATCTCGAGCCTTCAACCGACTCTCCGTACCGCCTGACCATGACGTTCAAAGCATCACTGACCTCCTACCGCCTCACCATGTTTCTCAAGCTCTTCAGCTCTGCAGCGCGGCCACCCGAGAAATCTCTTATCCAGCTCCGCGACTCGCTATTCGACTCGCACGGCGCTCCGCCGCCCGCCACTCTAGCCGCCATAACCGCGGGCATCCGAACGATCCGCGACATCAACAGCTTCCCGGGCTTCTTGAAGACAATGAGCATCACCAACATGCCGCCAAAATCCGTGTTTACCAAATTCCTGCGCCGAACCATTACCGATAGCGTCGTCGCGGGGTATTCCAGGATGCCATTGACGCAGAGCCAGCTCTACTTGATCCGCAGGAGGAAGGAGCGCTACGTGCAAAGGGCAGACGACGTGAGCTTTACGTCTGATCTGCAGCCGTGGTTTGAGTATGCAAGGGTGCGCGGGTGGCCGTCGTTTTTCCCGGAATGACGTGAGCATGTGTGTGATTCGTTGGTATCGAGATTTGCTGGCCGGGTTTATCCCTTGAACAGGCTATTTCCAGTAGTGTACATAGATGTGGTCAGTCACATGGAGTTTATGGTTTGCCAGTCGTCAAAGTCGACAAAGTAACGGTTTTGGGGTATTTGTTTGTACCAGATTCCTTTTTTTTTCAAGGCTCAAATGCCTGCATACCGAGCATCGGGCTATAGACCCTGAATCTCGGCAACTTTAATCAAATGAAATTAATCAGACGCATCTTTGAGTTGAATCGAGTTTGGATAGAGTAGCTAGAGTCATGACTCCGTCTTACGAGAGTGGAATATCTACGGAAATAACACATCATGAGGCATAAACCTAGTCGATTTATCAACCTCAAATATACTCTACCCCAACCGCCTCAACACCACACCTCACTCGCACTCCCAATACACAGCATGGCGCCCTACTCACCTATAAACAGATCCTCAGAGCCATCTACTCGATAAGCTCTCCTCTCCTCTCCTCTCAACACACTATCCCTCCCTCGCACCGCCAGTTCCACGGTATCACATTCCATTCACATTACACTAGCACACCAGCCAATCTTACATACCATGCATCCATGTCGTTTTCGCTTTCGGGCCTTTGTCCGCCCTGCAGATGCCGGTGCTCACCCGCACGCACGCACGCGCGCGCGCGCGCCCATCTTACTCAGATGTTACGTATGCAGATGTGACGCGGAGGCAGGTCAAATATCCTGATTGAGGCAGGAAGCAGTGCCGCTTGTGCACTTGGCGTCGATTGTAGGTGTGTTAGTGCCTAGCTGAGAAGAGGATAGCTGAAACATGGGCGTTTGGCTACGTGCGAGGGGGGAGGGGTGTTGGAGGTTGGCTTGAGGGGGGAGGTCGGTAGCGCTTTTCTTAAATAGGAAATTTTGTTGCGAGAGTTGGTGGTTGTGGTACTGAGGCGGGATGGTGGTTTTGACTGTCGCGGATGGTTGATGATTTTCTTGCTTGTTTGATTGATTGACTCTGATTGGATTGCGAGGTCTTGTTGGATGAGTGGTGAGGCGGATACTCTGAATGTCTCTTCTGTATGGGTGTACTGCATGAGGCATCATGATACGAAGAGGAGGGTAGCAAGGAAACCACGGTTAGCGCACCCATCTAGCTAGGCTATTGAGGGTCCTCGAGTACCATGGTCCCTGGCGATGGATCGAAGTTGGAAGATCATGTGACTCTGGTTTCGTTTTGCAAGCGAGCGAAATGTAGTTTCTCTCTTCGCTAAGTATTAGGCTGTGTGGAGTACTGGCGGAAAAAGGAAGGTTCATCCATTCGCTGCTTTTCTTTCGCTTGGGTAAAACGGAGATTAGTCAGGATGCTTTTTTAGGTCAGGCAACATCACGCAGGAAGCCTTGTGTGGTCCTCATCAATGGCAAAAAAGCAACTGAGTAACGCAAGGATATAACTACAATGTACAAAATGTGCAGATAGAATTGGCGCTCGCAGCGGCAGAACAACGGTGACAGTAATCACAGCCCAACCTTGTTATGCCCGCAACGCCATCCTACTGGCTAGGCCTTGAGATTCGAGGATATCCGCGCAAAACAGCATTGTGATATATGGCCAGGGACAAACAGGCATGGCCAAAACGGAAAGTCGCAAACTCATACTACATGTATGGCCAAGAAAGGATCCGGGGAAAGTTCTCGCCTGTCACTTTCCAACAGGGCGGGCCACAACTGGTAGCCGTATCGATAACATATTATCCAATCAACAGACCAGGATGGGTCACGATGAAACACACGAGGTCGCTTTCCACATCGCCGCGCGCTTCAGCGTGAGTTGTCTTGGGCCTGTCTTGGCCTCTGATTGGCTGGCTGGCGACGAGCGGGGTGCTCCGTCATGATGGGGATTATTTCGCTCGAAATTAACAAGGGATGTGGAGAATAAAGTTGTGGTAATAATTGTGGCGTTTTTCCATTCCTCTATTACCTATGTGAGTTTTGAGATGAGTGGATGGATGGGTTCCAGATGTTATTACGAGCGAGATGAGCACTACCGTGTCTTCATGGAACTTCCGCGGAACCTGCTATGTATGATGGCTGCATACTCTATCTCTGAACGACTCTGACGGCATTAGTCTTGCTCAGATGACAGCAATGAGGGGCTTTGTGTAGAGAGGCCACGCAAGCAAAGCCGTGGGGTAGTGCTGTCAGCAGCTGCATCACTATAGCAAAGGACCAATTTGACCGTGATTCCTGAAGATCTCGCTCGTTTTCTGCCACAGCTCTTGGCAACTGAGTATCAGGGCATCGCGCCGATATGCCGGGCGTCCGAGTTCCGCGTGTGGCAAGACAGTGCTGAGCCTTGGTCTCGGGCGGGCGTCTGGAAAAGATGATCGGGCGTTCCCCCTGCAGCCTGCAAACCCGCACTCGGCATCGACGACGACGACACCTGGCTACTGCGACTGGTGGAGAGTTGTGTCGAGATGGATCCCTTGTGCAGCTAAAGGCACGACTAGATTATACATGGCTGTGTTGCGCTGCAAAGGTAATAGAGGGCGGTTAAATGAGCGGCAATGGCAGCCGTTACGAGGAGTGGAGTTCACACAAGCAGAAAGGAAAAAAAATGAACGGGCCATGACAGGCACGTGGCGAGAGCAGGCGAGCACCTCGTTATCGATACTGTCCTGGAGAAAATCCTGCGTGTCAGGCAATATAGCCGAGAGGAATGTGGAGATGTGTGTGTGCTGAAACAGGCGGCCTTTGGCCTCGCGTCTTGGTGGTGGTGGTGTTTTGCTCGTCGTGCCAAAAAACATCGACTGTCGTTCTCTGCGCGGCCCAGGGACAAGCGCCGTCGCTACGCCCAAAGCGGCAAGGCGTGAAACACAACGCAGACGCCGCCAGCCATGAACAGCTCAAACTCCTTCAGACAGACGTCAAGTCGACACCCCCACCCATTCCCGCGTCTCGCTGTTTCGAAACGGAACCATGTCCGGACATACACGAGCTGCCTCGTCCTCACATTGGCTGCCAGCACAGTCAGGGGCCCTATACGACGATCCACTCTTGGGCATAGGGCGGCCAACATGCCCGCTTACACAAAACTCTTGACGCGCCGAGCCTCAGACTGCTCGCAAACGAGGCCGCCTACAGGCTTGGGCCAGCCGTCGGCAAGGCCATGATTTAAAGGCCTCGATGCCTTCCCTCCTGGAAGAGGCCACCCCTCCAGTGATAGATTCACTCTACACAACTCCTTTGACAAGCTAGTCTTTGTCCACATTCCTTCTTTTTTCACTTCGCTCCTTTTCTCTTGTTCGAAAGCGCAGGACCGTCTTTCTTTGGAATACATTGTCACTCTGAGAAAATCCAAAATCACAGCATTGTCAACGGCGCATCACGCAGTCGACTGCACATAAAAAGTCTCGAATACTTCCTTGCATCACAGCCAGAATCCTTCACGAACAAACAAACAAACAAAGCACACTTGAACACGCAACAAGTAAATCACCCAAGCACACAACAAAACACGAAACACAACACACTCAAACATCATGTATGCGAAAACTCTTTCTGTGCTCGCCTTTGCTGGTGCCGCTCAGGCCCACATGAGCATGTTCTATCCTCCTCCTCTAGGTGGGGCTCCGTCCATCAACCGTCAATCCACCATTGTCGACCCCGAATTTAACTTTCCTGTTGGATGCTGTGGCCCTGATGGTGGTGACAGCAGGCCTTCTCCTGGTATTTGCCGCGGTCATCTCGACAAGTTTGACACGGAGGAAGCCACTGTCACCTGGCAGCCCGGCCAAGACGCCTACTTCCAACTTACCGACTTTAGCTACGATCCCGCCGCTCCCGGTGGCACTCACTCTGGAGGTTCCTGCCAAGTCGGCTTTTCCGTCGACAAGGGCAAGACTTTCAAGTTGGCTGCCTCTTACCACGGTGCTTGTCCACATGCCACTACCGATGGATCACCCGAAGCTCAGACTTTCGACTTCAAGGTTCCTACGAATATGCCTGAAGGCGACGCCCTATTCGTCTGGATCTGGTTGAATAGAGAGCACGAAGCCTTTGACAATTGCAGTAAAGTTCGCATCGGCGGCAACGGTTCAGGAAATAGCACTGCGCCCAGCGAGCCATCTAAGCCTTCTCAGCCTGCCCAGCCTGCCCAGCCCTACAAACCTTCTCAGCCTTCTCAGCCAGCGTCTCAGCAGCCCAGCTACGAGAAACCTCCTGCTGATAACGGCAACGGTGGTGCCGTCACGACTACTGTAGTCACAAAAACCATCTACATGAACGCGGCCATGCAGACAATTAACCCAGAGTCCTCGACTTCTCAAGAAAACAGCCAATCCTGGAAGCGGGACCGTGATCACCCAGAGGTCAAGGCCAACACTCGCCGCTACGAAGTCGACGGCTCCCGCTGCGACTGTAGCCGTGACGAACTGACCCTGGCTGCCCGCTGCTCTTGTGACTCCAAGGACAGCGCCATTGAGCGCAAGGCTCTGCGTCTGCACCGCCGTACCTTTTACAAGCGCTTCGACGTCTGCGACTGGAACTCTGCTCCCGCCATGGAGACTTCATACTACACACGTGACGCACGCTGTGCCCCTGGTGCAAAGGACCGCATGAAGGAAAGCGACAAGTTCGAGCTCGGCTGGGATGTCTCTTGCGGCGTCGTTTCGGGCCTGAGCGAATATCCGATCAAGACCTTCTCGTGCGACATGTACGACTAAGCTGTCATGACCCTTTTTTCCCTCCTTTTCTGCACTTTCTGCGTACAAACCCTTTTTCTGCTTCATCTTCACTCGTTCATCATGTTCTTTGAACGCTGGCTTTTTATACAAACCCTTTCTTTCCTTTTCTTTCTCGGTTCTTGGTCGCATGGCACGTACCATGAGCATTTCTCTCAAACATGTTTGGGCGGGCTTTGGGTTTTGGGGGCGGCACACATTACACGGATTGCGCTCGCTTATGTGCATTTGGAACGAATTTGTCGTTTTTTCATGTTTTCAGCATATCTTATGATGCATTGGCATGGTGCCAAAGGGGGGTTAGAAAAATGTGCCTGGTTAGGCACTATGACTGAATACATGAGAAATCATATATATATCTATTGCTCTGTTCATCGCCTTTGTGATTTACTGTTCATTTCATGATAATTGGCTACTTAACGGCCGAATGGCAGCTGTCTTCAGTTGTTGTGGAAGATGTATAGGTATCGTGCTGTAAATAGTCTGCACGTACCTACTTTCAAGCCTAGTAATGTATGAAGGATATCACTCAACATATATCCGACATATTGCGTTAATCCCATGTTTTTTTCTTACTATCTATCTATCTACAGATTACGCGTCAAACACTGTTCTCAGCCTGTCTTCTGCACTACCAAAGTATCCAGCTTTCTCAAATGAGTTGCCTAAGGGCTATATCTCCACAAGGAAATGTTTTAATATATTGAGACTGCGGCTTCTCATTCGTTGATAGGAGGCAGAGGAAAGGTCTGATGTCTGGAAATGACAAGCGCCTTATGCAGCTTCTTACAATATTCGACCTCATCAAACAACTCACGATGCGAATACACTACAAGACTTTTCGGTACGGTAACATTCGGCCTCCTCTTCAGCTGACAAGCTCCACTTATGTCCAATCAATCATACTACACTGCATGCTGACGGACAACATATTTCTCGTACTTATAGATTTCCGCTCACCTCTCAAGCACAAGCGAACATCAATGATCTACGAGCGGCGTCCACGAATCATACTTTGGGAAGATTCCCGACCCTACGCCACCTTGATGCAGCCGCGCTGAGCTGTGCCAGCCCCCACAGCCTTGCGCGACTGACAAGGGATCATAACACTGCCCTCAGCCTGGTGGCAGCCTTGATGCTTCAACAACCTACGACACAAAATACAGTTTGCGAGTTTCCTTCATCCATTGCAGGTTTCGCATCATGAATACCCCTTCTATCATGAAGAGCATCGCCGATGCAATCAGTCTATCCAATAAGATCACATCGCTCTGCGACAAGTACTCCGAAGCCGTCGGAGACATGAAAAAGGATATCGAGTGTGTGCGGAAAGCAATTTTGGACACTACTGATGTCCTAGAGCGGATCAAAACGCACCACATTAAGGGCACAGACACGATGCGTTCGCATTCCGTATTTAGCCTATTCCAGTCATTGCGCCAATATCATCGAGAGCTAGGACACATGAGGAGAAAACTATTGCGCCCAATGGAGACATCGATTTTCGCAAGTCAGATCAACACCAGTTCCCTCGAATGGCCATTCACAAACACGGAGGTGGAAAGTATCATTTTGACATTGAAAACACACGTATAAGTGTTTGAACAAGTACTAGTTACTCCAATAAGTCAGACCGAAGTGGGTTTCTCCAAACACGCACTCTCCCATTATTCCGACATCGATGAAAATACACGATATGTGCTGGACATACCCACTGAGCGGGATGATGAAGGACCATGGAAAGAACTGGAAGAATTGCAGTTGATAATACGAGGCATGGCTAGTTCGGGGCAGTCTATAATGGCGGGGAATATTGCTGCGTTGACAGTGAAATATGCCTCTGATGACGATGCCAGGAGCTTCCCAGACTCCACGCATGAGACAATATCTAAGATTACCTCAGCACAACCCGCAATAAGTCTTCCAAGGATAAACGAAGTGATGTTGGAGATTCCGATTAAGGACACTTCACTTCAACAATCAGAAAAAGATGTGATTCAGGCTGTAAATGCAGAGCATATGACCATTCATTACAGATTTTCTTTCGCACGGTCACCAACAACGGCAATCCAGGATATCAGTAAGAAAACCGTGGAGAGAGTGGCTGGTACCAGGCTATCTTGGTGGCCACTCTCCGAATCAGAGGAGGAGCTCAAAGAGAAATACACACGAGTCTACTCTCAACCCCTAACAAGTTCATCTATCCACAACCGAGTGTTCTATGACGATATACCAACTTCTCTAGCTGAGAAACTGTTTCCTGAACTGGTCGCTGCGCGGAACAAAGGGATCAGGAACGCGTTGGGAGAGGCTGCGACATGAGGCCATATTTCTTGAGGGTACCACATTGATGCGCCTATTACGCAATAGGAACAGTGAGTCTGCGGTTCTTTACATTCGAAGAAAATGGACTCATAGCACGACAGGAAAAAGTAGCATTTTTGACAAAAGTTACCCGATTGCAGAGGAAAATAAGGACACAAAAGGTTTGTCAGGCGAACAAAGTTTATGGTTTTATGATACTAAAGCAGCCAGATGCATCTGACAGCAAAGAACAAGAACCATCTTCAAATTCAAAGGGAAAAGGGAAGCAGCAGAGTATGGGAGCCGATGGAACAAGCAAAAGCTCAGGATCGGCAAGCGCTGCCCCAAAGAACGATCGCAAGAAGGGTCCCGATGACGACCAAAACGTGAAGCCTCCAGCAAGCGAAGATACTGAGGACCAAGTCGACGACAAGAAATCCGTACTCTTCTTGTCCATTGATGTCGACAAGAATGATTCGAGAGCCTGCTCGGTCGATGTTGGGATGAACGATCTAACAACGATGACAAGTCTACGCCAGTCCTACAATGCTTTACGAGGCTCTTTTTCCTGGACCCGCAAGCGTGCCGTTGGAATCAAATTCTACCAAGTAAGCTAGAGACTACTAAAGCTAACTTTTTACCTCGTACTTATACCTCGTAGTTCCGAAGCTTCCTCTACAAACCACAACGTCGCCACCAGGTAGAGCTACACCGAGACAGGGAACGATATCCCCCCAAAGACGACGTCGCGTACTATTGGAATCTCTGGGCCGAATGGCAGGACGGCGATCCATATCCCAACGGCGAAGCATGGTATTTCTTCAGCCACCCAGACGACTGCGCCAGCTCCACGACGTTGAGAGAAATGCTGCCGAAGCGGAAGAAGGATGAAGCACGTTCAGGAACAACCGTGTATGGGGTTTACATCGAGCAGCGACATTCCGTCTGGCAAATCTTCATTCCTGTTGTCGTGGTGCTTGTGTTTACCCTTGGCGGCACGCTCTGGTTCATTGGGACATGGCTTGAAGATCACCCTGACGATTTACAGGGCGCTACGGTTCCGGTGTTTCTGGCTTTGACGGCGGTCCAGTCGGTTCTCAGTCTTCTTGTTGCGCTCGTTGTGTTTCGGTGGAGTTTATGAATGACCTGAACCTTGGTGTTGCATCAGACCTAGGGATAGTACGATTGATATCCGCATAGGTAGTGTTGGAGAAATCCGACACAGACGCATTTTCCGCATATTCGATTCGTAATGTATTATTTCATTGAATCGACTACTCAATATCTCTCAACATGATAGCAGTCTATTTTCAAGATGAAGATCCCCCCTTTCTCCCCGCCTCCCTCGCCTTCTCGCTCCCCGGCTCAAAACTGCCCGACGACGCCTTTCCCCCCTTGGACGCAATATCATGCTATACGAAACACCCGCGTCAGCCTCGATCCATGCATGCATACATTCATTCTCACGAAACACCATCTCAGAAACAAAAAAGAAGAAGAAGAAGAAGAAGAAGATAAATGACAAACATACCTGCTTCTCTGCATCCATAGACGCAAACCCACCACCATGCGAGTGTTCTCCACCCTTCTGCGCCGCAGCCTTGACGTCCTCCTTGGGGCGATTGGCAAAGTTACCCGGGTTATCGTTGGTAGCCATGTTGCGGTGTGGTGTGCGGTATGCGGTGACTAAACGGCGGAATATGTACTGGTGCTGGGATTGTGGCTTTGTGGCGACCCGGAGCAGGTGATGCATTTATCTCTGGTGATGGTTGTGTGTTGGGATGGAATGGGATGGAAAGGAATAGAGAGAAGCGTTGTTTGGGAGGGTGGGAGGCAGGAAAGAATGGACGAGGGGGAGATTATATAAGTGTATTTGGGTGGGTGCGTGGTAGGATGTGTCGTCAGGAGGGCGTCAGAATAGACGTATATATCGAGATCTGCGGGAACAGCTATGGGGTATAGCATGTAGTAGTCATGATAAAATGCTTTCTCCCCCGCATTTAGACGCATACACATACAGTACATACACACGTATACTTTGTTCTACTGATATTCCCATCCCCATTCCTCGTTTATTCCATGGCGAGAGATTGTAATGACAGTTAGTTATTCGAAGGACTAGATCACACTTTTGTCATCCCCCCCCCACTCTCCCATTTCTGTATCACCAATGTAAAACAGAGATATTCTTGCATTTGCAGTCTAGAGTTCCCAGCCCAGCACATACATCGCGAAAAGAAGAAACCCCCCCTCTTCCCCACACATACTTACCAGCGATATCACGCACGCAAATGCAATAATCACACACGTCAACATAATGTAAACCCATAATCCCCTACTTATTTCCAATTCCCAGTCCCCAGCGCCGCTACTAAATACAGCCATGTCATTCCACTTTGATTTGACTAATACAAAGAACAGCATGACGTTGAGATTTCGTTATTTTTTTTTTATTTTATGGTTGGTGCTAACACTAAGTAGTGCTAGCCAAGTAAGTAACTCAAGTACTTAGCACGGACGGGGCGGGTGGGACGGATGGGACGGATGCAACACCAATACCAATACCAGCACCAGCGATGGTGCCTATGCATAAGTACGCATACGCTACTCTACGCAAGTGCGTGATGCCGTATACCTAGGTGCACACCCAGTACCACAGCATATACACCCCAGAACGGTAATGGTAATACGAACCCGTAGTTGGAATACCAGGAATAAATATGTATGAGTACCAATGCTTTGCTGATTTCGTGCATGCAACTAAGTAGGTACTTAACACACACGCAAGATTCTAGCATTAGTATTGGCATTAGCATTAAATAGCTGATGCTGCAGCTACCCAATAAGATGCACGCCTAGTCTAGCTCATAACATACAAGCACAAGCGAGTAAATAAGTACCTCGTGACACAAACACAAACACAAACACAAACACAAACACAGACGCATACGAATACGAATACATTACGCATACTTACACAGACGCATACGCTAAGCTCGTTCCCGACCTAACGGATCCGCACACGTGATTGCGCGGCAGAAGCGTGGAAGCTTGACACGTGGGATACGAGAGAGAGCTACCAACTGTAGACAAGTGTGTGTGTGGGTGTGTGGGTTGGTATTGCTAGGTGTAGCGGTACCGAGGGATTGGATTGGATTGTAGATTAAAAAGGATCAAGGCCGCAGATTAAAAAAGGTACAAATCTGTATATGCCCCTTGCTTAGACAGTTCATATGTCGTACACCGCCTCAAGTCCCAAGGTGTGTTATCCCGTGGCTCACCGCATCTTGCCTGATATGCCTAGCCTCAGCCACGTGCACCACACGTGTACTAGTCCCATCTGTGCAGTGCATTGTATGTAAACAAAACAAAACAACATACGCGTTCTCAGCAATGGCATCACGGTGCAAATGACCAAGTTTGGATTTATCTTGTTCTTTCATAACTATGGAGACTGCGAAATACATATGCGTATGATGCGAGACAAGCATACTGTGATTCATCCCACTCGCCATTCATATCAATCTCCAAGCGTGACAATTTCATCCCAACACAACAGGGCCTGGAACTATTTATGAAGACTTCCAGAACTCACCACCCAACCACCTGTTGAGCATCTCGAGAGAAGCCTCGGGCTGGTCGTATGGGACCATGTGGCCACCGGCGTGGAGCTTCATGAAGGTGAAGTTACCGCTGGACTTGACCTGGCCAACAGTCTTGCCATCACCGTCAATCTTGAAGTCCTTCATCTCAGCCTTGTTGAAGTCCTTGGCACCGGGCCACTCAAGCGCCTCAGCCCAGGCCTTGTTACCGAGCCAGTTGCAGATGTAGTCGGCGTCACCGGCGTAGATGAGGACGGGAATCTCAGCGAGAATGCCGGGAACGACGCGGTGGTAGGGCTTCATCCAGTCACCCTGGAGCAAGAAGTTGCGGTTAATGTCAAAGTTGCAGGACTCGTAGCCAGAGACCTCAGCACCGACAGCCTTGATGACGTCCTTCTTGTTGAGGTAACCCTGAATCCAGTCAAGCTCGTCGTAGCAGAGCGAGTTGCTGCCGCAGGGCTTGCGGACGTCGTAGACATTCTGGCCAGTGCGCTGGTAGGGGCCGATCATGGCGTTGTTGCAGTAGATGGATGCGGGGACGCAAGACCAGACAGACTCGGAGTTGTAGCAGTTCTCAATCAGGCTGGCGCAACGGGGGTAGGCGTTGTCCATGGCCTTGCACTGGGAATCATCGAGCACAGCAGGCCAGCCACCCTCACCACAAGCCATGGGACGGTAGTACTCGTACTGAGTAAGACCATCCGTCAGACCGTTACCAATGAGAACCGACTGGAGGTTGATGTTGCGCTTCTTGTGGGAGAGAATCTCAGAGGCAAAGACGGGAATGTAGTGGCCGGCATAAGACTCGCCAGAGATGTGGAAGCTCTGGTGAGAGTACTCGGGGAATTGCTTGAAGAAGAGAGTGAGCAGGGCATAAATGTCCTTGCCAGCAGCGACCGTGTTGCTCACGGAGCCGCTCGAGTAGGAGTATCCGACGTTGACGGGCTGGTCAAGGAAGATGACCGAAGCGTTGCTGTTCCACGAGTGGGGGTTGTGCTTGATCTTCTGGTCCTTGGTGATGGAGGCAGGGCCGAGCTCCATGAACAGACCTGTCAGCGACGAGCAGCCGGGGCCGCCGTTGAGCCAGAGCACCACGGGGTCGTTCTTGGGGTCGTTTCGTGACTCAAAGAACCCTGCGATGCGTTAGATGGCGTGCCAACAGCTCGTGGTTATGGGGGTACTCACAGTAGAACAGGTGCTTGTCCTCCTCCTCGTCATCGAGGTAGCCAGAGTACTGCTTGACGCTGTCAACGCCGAGCACGCTGGGGTCAACCTTCTTGGCCCTCAGGCTGTACTGCTCGAGCTTGCCGTCGATCTCGCGCTCCTTCTCGCCCTTGTCGTTCTCGATCCAGAGGCTCTGGATGTCGGCGCCCTTGACGATGTGGTCCCACTCGCTGTCCTGCTTGCGGGTGTGAGGCTTGGGCTGGGAGAAGAAGGCGGCCTTCTCAAAGTCGTCGGGGAACATCATGGCAACCTCGTCCCAGATGGCGCGCGCCTCGCTGGTGAGCGACTTGAGGCTCTCCTCGAGGTTGTGCAGCGGCTTGGTCCAGGCAGACTCCTTGAGCTCGCTGAACGAGTCGGGGAACTTGAGGATCTGCTGCTGCTGGGGCGCAACAGCAGCGGCCGCTCCAACGAGCAGCGCCGAGGTGGCTACCTTCATGGTGGCGGGTGTGCTAAGCTTCCTGAGCTGTAGCGGTAGCTTGTTGAGTAGCAACGAGCGCTTCTACAAGCTAACGACGAAGCAGATGATGGATGGATGATGGAAGGATGGGGGAGGAAGGAAAGATGGGGGGATGTGGAGAGAAGAGGGTGAGATGGATGAGAAGAGAGGGCCAGGTCTAGTCGAGATAGTTGGTGCGGAGGAGCCGCCGCCTGTCCAGGCAACGGAGCATGACGCGCACCCCCGAAGCTTATCAGAGAGGCTGGCGCGTCCGAGCTCGCCCATCACATGGGCTTAGCGTTTCACGATAGCAATAGGCTACCCACGGCGCTGCACATCCGGCGTGCCTGCAGGCGGCTTGGGGACATGTGCATGGCGCTCGCAGCCTGCGCCGTCGCGACGGGGCGAGTGCTGAAGATGCGCCGTGTGGTCAGCGTCTTGGGTGTAGGCCGGGCGCGCTGGTGCTGTCAGACCGGGACCTGCATAGTCCCAACTGGGCCTAGCGCGCTTTTGAATCATTGTGAGTGAGGTTGCGCAGGTAGGTCATCCGTGGAGAGAGCGCCCCCACCAAAAAATGCCATGCAGCTTTTATATCGACATCGCGCGCCCAACACCCGCACATCGCCCACCTCGACGATCCCCCAGAGCCCCGCCATAGCCGCCCGCCATGGTCATCAACCAGCCGTCCAACCAGATCAAGTTGACAAATGTGTCGCTGGTGCGCATGAAGAAGGGTGCGCCCGCCCCGCCACACACACTACCCTTCCTGCAGCCTACTCACGCAGCACAGGCAAGAAGCGCTTCGAAATCGCATGCTACAAGAACAAGGTCCTCGAATGGCGCAACAAGGTCGAAAAGGACCTGTCGAATGTGCTGCAGATCGAAAACGTTTTCCTCAACGTCTCCAAGGGCCAGGCCGCCCCCAAGGCCGATCTCGAAAAGGCCTTTCCCAAGAAGTCGCTTATGGAAATCATCACCGACATACTTGACCACGGCGAGCTGCAGGTCGGCGAGAAGGAGCGCAATGCCGAGCTCGAGCGAACCAAGAATGAGGTCATCGATATTGTGGCCGGCAAGCTGGTCGATCCCAGGACCAAGCGCGTATACACGACGGGCATGATCGAGAAGGCGCTGGACCAGCTGAGTTCGGCAGCGGCGTCGCAGCAGGCCGACAAGGACAAGGCCGAGGCCAAGGACGAGGGCGACGACAAGGCAAAGGCCAAAGAACTGCCAAAGTGGACGGGCATCGTTACCAACAAGTCAGCCAAGTCGCAGGCGCTGTTCGCTATGAAGGCGCTCATTGCCCACCAGCCCATCCCCGTCGCCCGCATGCAGATGAAGCTGCGCGTTACGTGCGCCACATCGGTCCTGAAGCAAGGCATCAAGACAGCGCCCAAGGCGCAAGCCGGCGCCGACGACAAGGGCGCAACAGGCACGGTCAAGGACGCGATTCTCGGCTTCATGGAGAACATTGAGAGCCAGGAAACGATAGGCGCAGAGTGGGAAGCCGTCGGCCTCGTCGAGCCCGGCGCATTCAAGGGCCTGAACGAGTTGATCGAGAGCCAAACAAAAGGAAGAGGCAATGTCGAGGTTCTTGAGATGGCGGTTGGCGCAGATGATTGAGTGGAGACACGTCTTTCCAGCAACGCGTCGCGTAGACGCCTCGTCCTCACGTGCGGGCGTCGTACTGCTGCAAAGGGGGAAAACATGGCCCGACGGAGGCTTCAAGGCAAGTGGGCCGGGCTTTTTGTGCCCTCGGGAGTTATGTGGGAGCAGAGTAGCAGGGCAGCACGGACTTGGATGTACGGACTGGTCTGCAAGGCACATGGCACCCCGTATCCTCGTTCCGACCGCTCTTTTGACTGCCTCACTCTGCACCATCTGTGCTTGTGTCCGAGCAATCCCGAACCACAACCACACAAACAGCCTCGTCGGCACGGCTTCTCACCATAGTCGGCCCTTTGTGACGAGATCATGCCCACGCTTCTCTACCCACGCTCCGCACACATGACCCTCCTCCTACTACTAGCACGCCTTGTTCCACCCTCTCTGATCCAGCACACTTGCAGATCAACCCGGCGCTTCCATGTACGCAAAAATTTAAAAAAAAAAGGCTAGCATTAGCAACATGCAATGAAAATCCACATTCTACTGTTCCCTTTCTCTCTGTCTGTCTCTATCAACACCCACCCTCAACTCAACTTAACTGAACTCAACTGACAGCCCCTCCCCCCATGCCATGTTTTCCCCCTCCCCCATGTAACGTCATCCACCACCCACCCACCCACCCACGCACTTCCGCTTCCACTCTTCACCAACACCAACAAACCTCCCCCCACCACCCCCCCTTTTTTTTGTTCCAACCCCCCCCTAACTAATGCAAAGGCGCACCGACGCCCGCATGCCGCCAAGAACCCATTCACTGCCTGACAGCTGTTCCTAAACCCGCAGTTGTCATCATCATCATCGTCATCGTCATCTATGCTGTAGTGTTGGTGTGTCTGTCCGAGTGTCTGTCCGTGTGTGTCAATGTGTGTGTGTGTGTGCCCCGCCAGAAACAAACTTAGTGTGGGGTAATGTCGTGATATGGCGCCCCTCCTTCTCCCTTTCTCCTCGTATTTCCGCACCTTTTGTCATGTATGATTTATCCTTTTTTTGTCTGTCTTTGAAGCTCCGAGGTCTTGCTTTTAATGTCAATGGGCATGGTAATGGTCAATGGTGAATGGCAGTGTGATGATTTAGTGGGGGAAATAGGGGGGGGGGGATGATATTGCTTGTGAATGCGAGAGGCACGCGTTGGCATAGGTAGAGGGACAGACGGATATAGATGTAAATCTATATCCAGTAAGTCCGGGAACCATGCAATACCACTTTCACATGCTGGGCCTTGTTGTCACTTGGAGCAAATTTCTACCCCAATGCCCTTTTTCCAACCCGCTTGGACTTTTGCCCTTTTTTTTTTCTCTGGTTTATTTTTTTCTTCGGGTTGGTTTGGTTTGTAGGGGTAGGTTAGCGGGGGTGTGATTACAATTTGCACACAGATTGTATATTTGGCTGGTAGTGGGGAATATTCATAGAGTCGTAACGTCGTTATAATGAGGCTGTGGAAAAAAAAACGGGAAAATGCGAGACGTGAGATGTGAGCCATGTCTAAGAAGAAGAAAAAAAACAGAGAGAGCCAGAGAGATAGGGAGAGAGAGACAAAAGTGAAAAAAAAACAATGAAGAAGAAAAGGGGAAACTAGATGCTCCACAGTGACTAAAAGCAAAAGAAGAAGAAGAAGAAGAAGAAGAAGAAGTGTCCAGCAACCATGATAAAAACAGCACATGCAACCAAGATTCAAGAGGGAAACACAGTGATAAAACACTACCACCGTCCCAGTCCCTCCAAACCACCGCCACATCACAGCAGCCACGAGAAAAAGGGGGGGTAGGTAGATAGCTGCTACACCATATTTCTACCTACCCCCCCTCTCTCTCACTCTCCAGGAAGGCAACACGACACCGCGCTGCCATCTCCAGGATCAATCCCACCACCGACGCCGATTTACCCGGCCATTGTCACTCAGGATACCCAGGACATCAGCGCTGGTGGTGCGTACGCCCCAGATGCGCTCAATCGGCTCCGCAATGCACATCCAGTCCAGGCGGCGCACGTCGTGCATGTCGAGGACGGCGCAGACGAGCCAGGGCGAGTACATGGGACAGCTGGTGTCTTGGTAGAGGAAGGGGGATATTGGGCTGGGCGCCATGTCGGTGGGTGAAGGGGTTGTAGTGATGGTGGTGGTAGTGGCAGTAGTAGTCGTGGTCGTAGTCGTGGTGCTGTTCTGTGAAAAGGTCAAAGGATGGGGTCGTTGTCGGTGCTGGGATTCCTCGAACGGAGTGCTCGGCGGCAATGGAGTATCAGTGTCTGAATCTGGATCTGAATCTGAGTCCGAGTCCGAGTCTGCGTCTGAACTGCTGCCAGAGCTGCTCGGCGACGTCGTGATGGAGGACGTCGTACAGGGCGACGACGAAAAGCTTAGTGTGTCCGAGAGCAGAGACTCGTCGCTCATCTTGGTATTCAATGGCGGCAGAACATCGGTCGATCGGCACACTCCAAGTGTAACTCCGCCGTCCATTGCATCGTAGCTTGGGAGTCTCTTCAGCTGCGAGCCGGGCGACTTGGTCAATGGACACCCCTCCATGGACGGCTCGCCCGCGTGCTCGGATGGCGAGTCGAATGACAGCGAGCGTATGCGCACTCTCGGCGAGAGAGTCTGCGGTGCAACGACATTGGTCGCCATGCTGGAGTGGCTGGGAGGCGTGGCGATAACAAGGACAGGAGCTGGGAGGGAGACAGGGCAGCCCCGGAGACAGTATTACATTCCATCACTAAGGCTTATATCAATACTAACTACCTCTTGCATGGGGCCGGTCCGTGGGCCTGCATCGGGAGTCTGTGACCACGCCACGACCTTTGCAATTGACGCGAGGCTGCAGTGCTTCTGGGGACCGTTATTCGGACAAGGCGCACACACGGCGGGGGAGCGGGACTTGCCAATGGTAAGGTCATGATAGCACTGCGTAAGCTGAGGGTTGCAAGAGGTTGCTGCAGCATGCGTGGGAGAACAGCGCACTCCACACTTGGCGCTTAACCCGCCAATCGTCACTAGTCCGTCAATACCGAGGCACCAGAGATCGAGGCGTGCATCCGAAGCTAAGGCTCTGTTTTTTCTTTGTTTTAAAAGTCCCGGCCGTCGCAGTACTCGTGGTCGCGCGGATTGTTATTCATCATGGACAGACGACACTGGCATTGAGAGCGACCCGTCCAAACGCGACTAGCGAACCATCCCACACACCCGGCCTGCTTGTGAGTAAGGGCCAATTGTCAGAAGATCATGATGCATCGCAATGGACCTGATAAGCATAACTGTTTTGTGACGTGGTGAGTATGGTGTGGCCACACAGCCGACCATCGTCTTCATTTGTCAATCACTAGCCGGGCCGAGCGCCGCAAAGCGAGCATCGTGATGCAACTCTGCCTATCGGCAGTCGATACGATGCGTCAAACCATTCTTGGAACAAGTCGAAATTTGAATGTGTGATTTTGGTACAGGCTGTATTCGGCCAACCCTAACCGTGCCGCATCATTTCACCCCATATCGTGCATTGCCGCATGAAGTGTAAACGTGAAAGCCAATGAAAGCCTTTGATAAACACCGTAAGTGCACCACCCATTTCGTAAAGGCGTGTTCCAGCCCCAGCTGCCCAGCGCAAGCGAAAACCTTTATCCCTTCTTCTTGGACACACCGACGGTTCGACCGCGGCGACCGGTCGTCTTGGAGTGCTGACCGCGCACACGGAGACCCCAGTAGTGGCGGAGACCACGGTGAGCACGGATCTTCTTCAGGCGCTCAAGGTCTTCACGGAGCTTGGAGGCAACACCGTTGGCCAGGATCTGGCTGTTCTTGCCATCGACAATGTCGCGCTGCCTGTTGAGGAACCAGGTGGGGATCTTGTCTACGCAGCTGTCAGTCAGGGAACGAGCGAGAGGGGAGCGGCCGCTGCGTACACTGGAGGGGGTTCTGGATGATGGTGACGATGCGCTCGAGCTCTTCGGAGGTGAGGTCACCGGCGCGCTTGGTGAGATCAACATCGGCCTTCTTGCAGACCAAGTTGGAGTATCGGCGACCGACACCCGTGATCTTGGTCAAGGCGTACATGACCTTCTGCTTGCCATCGACGTTTGTGTTCAACAAACGGATGATGTATTGGAAGCTGCGAAAGTCAGCATTGCTCTGACAGTACGAAGGCAATTTTGAGTCCATATCGCCCATGTGCGTGTGCCGCTCCGTCTCCCCAGCCATCAGACCGCAGTTTCCCTTTCCAGTCCAAACAGTATGGCCGAGTTCCCCCTCTTTCTCAAGACAGTTCTATACTCTTCCGTCGAATGCATCCTGCGCACGAGTGCCTCTCCCTGCTCTTCTCCGACTCTTGCATACTGCTGGACCGGGGAGGTGATTTGCCATGTGCGGCTGGGATTGAAACAGGCATTGCGACATGGTAGCGACAATGGATCCGGTGTAGAATCGCGAGGTAGTGTCTCGACATACTTAGACTTCTCTCCGGAGACGAGCGCTGTGTCGTTGTCAGCATATCTGTACAATGCATATCCCGATGTCCAGCATTGTGCCCCTGCTCCGTGCGCGAGCGAGACAGTCGTCGCCCAACACACAAGTGAAGTCGCAATGAGCGAGAGGCATCCAGACGAGTCGGGTATACTCACACATGATGGCGGCTTGTCGTACGTCGATGTGGTGTTGTCGATGCTCTGGCGAATCTCGAAAGTGTGAAATTTGGCCCAGCTAAGCGAGTGTTGGCCAAGACGCCAGGTCCGTGCACGAGCTAACCCCTTCCGACATCCCGCCGAATTCCCTCGTCTTCACCAATCTACTCCTCTCTGCTGCAACTACGCCTTGAGAGCCACTAGACATGGCCTCACACACCTTACCGGCTATTGTGACCACCCCATCATTCGACATGCGCTCATCAACAATACCTCACCGCTCTTTTTCCACTCCGCTGCTTGCTAATCTACCCTGTGTGCGGCTTGTGGGCTGTGCAAAACACGGAAATCGTGCTGCCTAGCAATGCGCATTCCCAGCATTCGTTCGATGCACCTCAACATATTCGATAAGCGCCAGGGGGACAGAAAGGAGCATGGCGCAACATTAGCCATGTGAACGATTTCGCATCATTGCCAAGTTTGTTGCCTGTCAAGTCAGGCTGACTTTTCCAGCCACATGTTGCGGTTGCACAGCACGCGCCTCCGCCTCGATCTAGGACCGCCAAATGCATGTGCGGTCAGTACAGGCTCCAAGCCTTCCTTTTCACTTCCAGGATGACCAGCTTCCTATGATGCTCTACCTGCCGTCCTACAGTGTTTGGACAGCTTCTTCTCTACCCTGCCCATGCGCATCTGGATTTCTCGTCATCAATACGAGACCATCGTTCCTAAGCCTTCTTCCGCCTCTGTCGCTATGTCATGGTGCGGCATCTTTGGCCCCAGCGACAACATCCACCAGCCTTTTGGGTCGAAACCTCTCACATGGCTGCGCCACAATCTTAGCCCCAACACCTTACTAGTGTGGCGTTCGACGCCTGAATGCAGGCAATGACGATTGAGAGGTATGCATGTCTCGTGTAAGTTCCAGAACTGCATTTTAAAGTCTGCAAACACCCACCCGCTGGTATGGTCCCCACAGCTGTCCGGCCGCCCGACCCTGACCTTGAACCATCATCTCTATTCCTACTGGCCTGTGTTCAAGTATCCATTCGAACTAACATAAGACCAATCAGTTTGGCACTCGCGGATCCTTTTATCCTTTATTTCTGACCGGATCAACTCATGCATCCAGCAAAGTACTGTTCCCGGCCATACCATCGCGGAAGCGGACTCTCCATTTAGCCAGCCAGTTATTGGCCCCCATTCCTTCAAATGGCCTCTCAGATCCCACCAAATGCACCACCAGCCTGCATGGCTCGTGATACTACCTCTACCGAAGCAACACCCCCTATAGTGGAGCTTGCCAGACACGACACAAGCTCGTCCACAGGAAGCGCACTCCGACCACCTCACGGTAATTGGGCACTCAACATTAGTGGTGTTTGTTCAAAATGCAATCATTACAACAGCTCGCTCCAGGTGCATGTGAGGATTTCAGACGATTCGACACAGTCCGGCGATATATACTGCAAAAGGTGCCGGGGCCTATGGGCGGTTTTTGGGAAAAACAATGCTACGCGATTGTCCCTTCTCTCTGCCATCAGTATGGAACCAGACCCCATAGAGGCAGAGTTTCGCGGCACTCTGGTTCAAATGATACGGTCTACCATGCCTGTTGCGGTACTTTCTGCAACTCTTACGGTTATTCCAGAATCGGCTGGACCATCGCGTGGGACGTCCGTCCGTTCTGCTGCTAGGAGTGACCCCCAGAACCCTGCAGCTACGGTCATCAACGATACACCACCAACCGCCGATGAGACGGAGGATGGACACAAGCATTCAAACAACAGAAAACGCATCAAGCTCAGCAAGCATACTTGGGGAAAGGGCCGAAAAATCCTTATCCGTGTTCAGCATAAAGCCAAAGCGGGGTTCTCCAGATTGCAAGGCTTTCCCTTTGGTCTCGGGAGATGGTTTTCAAAGGAGAGCCCAGAGTATGGAAGTCACCAGCAGGAGCCCACACGCCCGTCATCCCGTGTATCGCCCACAATGGTGGTCACACCATCACTTCCCGAGGAAGAGCCGCAAACTCAAGCCGAGGCCGATACCACCTTCGATGCGACTGCGCTCGATGTATGCGCCTCTTCGACAACCACTGTCGATGCACTAGCTGCACTCAAGGCCTTGAACCCTCAAGCCCTGCAGGCTTTGCCTCCACAGCAGAGGATTGCATGGGGCCGTCAGCAACTCACACATTTTAAAGCTTGTCACACTGCTACTACGGCCACTCCTGCCACAATCCACAGCGAATCCCTGACTGACCGTACCGAAATTCTGCCTACAGTGGATTACCCGCCTTTTCGACGGCACTCTGTACACTCTTTAGCATACGTTGGACACGCATTCGATACGCGCGATAACTGGAGCATATACCGAGACAGCAGCCGTCCGTTTAGCATCAGCGAGACTAACCTTTCTGACACGGACACTCTTGTCGACGGGGTGAGCGTATCCTCCTCGCCCCGCCACATTCTAATCGAGAGCCTCCACCGCAACCCCCGCAGATCGTTATCGCCACGACCTCTGTCCATGCAAAGTGCTATACAGGACTGGGCGCATGTGCGTCGCAACCGAGCCGAGGCCCGGCGCTCCATCGACTCGACCGCAACAGGCGGTGCAGTCCGAAGCATCACCGCTCACAACCGCTTGTCCCGCACATCCATGCACCGCGCGTCTTCAGTTTATGGTGTCGACCCAGCCTCTTCACAAGTCCAAGTCCGGATCGACGAGGAGTCGGACGGGTCACAGAGGCCACGATCGCCCTCGCCATCACGACTGGACCCTGGTATAGACACGGCTCGGGAATAAGCAGTGAGGATAAACACACTGTGCCTCGTGTCGCATCCACAATCACCCACTATATCCCGCGGCCAAGGCGTCCACGCCAGTCTCTTCCGCACAAACAAGTGCTCTTGCGAGTGCTTTTCAGGCAACTCTCAGCTACGTGACTATTAGCTAGATGCTGCACAACCATCGTTTCTCATTGCGCACACACATATAGACCGATCACCCTTACATTCCTTCCAATGCAAGCTTATTCTTCTCATCCTTTCAATCATCATCCCTTCATACATGCGGTATATTCACCCTGCGAGAGTCGCGTGGTTTTATATAGGGCTATATTTGAGGTGCCTTTATATAGCGCTGTCCTGTACACGCGAGCGGAGTATAGGAACTAAGCATGCCCAGGGATAGTATGCGGGCTCCCCGCTATTCAATGATATAATAGTAGGGCTGATGTGTCAGGTATGTGAAACGGATGGTACTTGAAGCAATATTTCATTCACGGTTTCTCTCTTCATTTTTCTCAAAGTTATACTGTTTTCGGAAGTGGATGGTGTAGATGGGACTGGGCATACGAGGAACGCTGGTTACGACTGCATCTTGATTCAATACCACTGTTTTGAAATAGGTAGAGTATCATCTTGGACCAAGTATACCAAGTTGACTAGAGATATTGATTTGTGATTGGTTGTAATTTTTTTTCTTCTGAGCTTAGTTATAACTACGAAATACCGTGCTAATATCACGCATAGTATCCAAAAAAAAACACCAAGGTATCAGAGTTGTAAAAAAAAAATCAAGTTTATCAGTCAACCCGTTCCACTACACCACGCATGGTATTCGTGAAAAAAAATCATCCAAAACACCTTACCAAGCATCAATCATATCGTTAAACTCCTCACTATGAACATCCATGACCTTGCGCGCGGCCTCGCTCCCACTCACAGGCAGCATCTCAAGGCCCGTCTCGTGCTCCCCATCGCCCTCATTGCCATTAGCGCTACTCTTGAATTCCTTGGGCACCTCCTCTGGATCCAGCAGGCCGACCTGAAACAGCACGCTAGCCTGGTCCCAGTAGACGCGCTCGCTCCATATCTTGCCTGCGCGGAAGCCAACGATGCTGACGATGACGATTTCGACTTTCTGGTTGGTGGGGGCGACGCCCGGCAGGATCCACGGCATCTGGCATGTGTGCTTGAAGTTGAAGTAGATTTCATCCACGATGTGGTCGGTGCCGATGGTGCGCGAGATGAGGCGCATGTGCATGGATGGAGGGCAGTTTTTCAGAAAATAGTCGCGGTAGAAGCGCTTTAGGTCGGGGATGCCGCTGCCGCCCGTCATGGTGGGCGTGAAGTTGACAAAGGGCTTGGGGTGCTGGGTGTATGTTTCTAGGAGTTTATCTGCGGAATTTCCGCGGAACTTGTCTGGATAGTTGTTAGTACTTGGTGGACTGAGAGGAGAGAGAGAGCAAATGGCTGTAGGAGTAGTAGGATGAGACGCACGTTCTTCGTTTTGCTCGAGTACTTTCTCCAAGTCGACCTCGGCGCTGAAGCCCTTCCTGACGGTACTCAGACTCCGGCTCCATGCAAGCGCATCGGCAACCGCGTCGTACTCGTCCAAGTCATGTTCCGCGAACCCAGCATCCACGCCCTCGTACGTGAAGCAAGGATACAGAATCTTGTCTTGCAGGCCTCCAGCGCCGATTCCCGGCGTGACGCGCTTCTGCACCGTCCGCCGCTTGCCCTGTATGCCGAGGACTTCTGGGCGGCGCACCACGCCCACTGTGGCTTCGTTTCCAGATGCGCCTTCGGCGAGGTGAACGAGGACACGGAACGAAGACGTGAAGCGGTGTCGGGTATCAGGAATCGAGGTCGGGTAGTAAGCGATGAGGGAGCAGAGCTTCGAGGTCGCGGTTTTGGGCTCAGAGAAGACGTCTAGGCATACAGCGGCTGCGTCTCCAAAGGCTGAGGGCTTCCAGTCAGCGCATGTTTTCTTGTGTGGGAATGAATGGCGGACAGTCGTCTGCGTTGAGCGGGAGTACGAAAGGGCTGTATACCTACGATGGCGTAACGCTCCCCGATGCCCATTTTCTCGCCTAATCTATGCAGCGTCTGAACATACTGCTTCCCGCCGTTGCCCAAGGGAATGTATTCGACAATAAAGCCCTCGTCTCGCCATGCCTTCAGCGTCTCCATGTCAAACTCGGCGTCCTCAGCCGTGATGTAAAGCATGGGCGTGCTGCTCCGAAAGGACAACCAGCCATTGCGGTCGGCAAGGAATTGTTGCGCCATGATGTTGCGGGTGTTGTTGTGGTTGTTTGGAAGAGCAATCGCATCGGCTGTCGCATCCAGGCAAGGATTGTTGGCGCTCCACTCTTGGTAGGTAGAGCTTGTCCGGTTCTGCTCTGGTCACGTCCGGGTTCTGCTACCAGACCACCCACGATGAGTTCTGGCGCAGATTGGGGTCAAGAAATCCTCAGCGCACAAGAGTGCAGAAGACGTAACTTTGACGGCGCGTGGCCGGTATTAGCACACAAAACCCTGGCACACACTTGTTTCGGAGACGGGTTGAGTGGAGGTGTGCGCGCGTCCTCCAGGTCGCCGATGACGTAACGGGCCGTGGGTCTCGCTTTGGGTTTAGCTGCATCGCTACGGGCCGCTGTCACTTCCACCAAAAGTGCCACCTCTCCACGAACTAAGCCCTATCCCACTTGATTCAATGCAGGGAACAGGACTGTGTACCGGTGAGACCCTTTGGACTATGGTTTCGTGGTATTGAGATATTCTGTAGATTCAACGTTCTCAAAGTTAACATGCCCTCGCAGTAATGTCATTCGAGCGGGGTTCCCATATCATTCTCAGTGGCTCTTAGCTGTTGCATTTCGATAGTGAACATTTTGGTTACATGGCGAATGTATGCGTTTGTTCTATGTAGAAGCATGATGCTGCTTGCATCATGGTAAAACTTTTGGTAGGAGAGTAATATACAAGTAGACGATACTGCCCGACATGACACACCTCCAGTCCACGGATGAAGCCCAGATGGCATCAAAATAGTGACCGACGCGTGGGTTCAGTATATGGGAGAGGCGAGGCTGTTGGTGGCTTCGGCCCAATCCTCATAACCCATGTACTGCATGAGTCGGACATTGAACGAACCCTCGAGATCGACATATAAGGAAAACTAGTCGGGATCACGATAGTGTCAACCGGCCCTATTTTCCTCATTGTTCCGCGTGTTTGCATTAACGAACGCCAAATTCGTTCGCATCGCCCGCAATATCTGTTTCCAGTATCAGCTAGTGTCTTTTTAGGTGATGATGAATAACGCACGCCCTTGCAAGCCATCCGTTGCTTTTTGTCGGGGATTGCTTTGATCTCCTCAGCCTTCATGTCGAGCCACTCTTCCGGCGAAAGGTCAAAGTAGTAATTCAGCTGTTCTGAAAAGACATCCTGGGAACGGTCGTCAATTGGATTGAAGAAATCGTAGCCCAAAACCTTGACGTTCATTTTGGCATCTCGGAATTGGAGGAACATGGGTCTGATGATCTCGAGAATCTCAAACAAGGCCGGTTTGTACTGCAGCGTGTGATCCAGATAGATTTCAATGGGCAGGTTTCGATGGTCTTTTAGGATAAAGAGGCTCTCGAGACTATCTGCCAGAGCGTCGGCCGCAAACACTTTTGTCCCGTAACTGCAGTAAGCCACTCTGCTTATGGTCATGACGACATTTTTGATGACGTCCTTCATGGTCAAATGCATGGGTCCGAAATAGCTGCGATTCAGGTGGGCTCGGACACAGCGGTAGTCAATTGCTGCACCAGTCAAAGCTCTGAAGTATCTCATTGCGACTTCTGATGCAAACTCGTTTCCCACAAAGCTTGAATTCGCGTATCGTGGCACAGGGAGATCCAGTAAATCCACAGCAGGCTGATCGTGGACTGTAACTACATATGGAATGAATGAGATGGCCGCATCTAGGCGCTCGATATCCTCGTCGCTCCAAAGAAAATCGTAGCTACAGGCACGACTGGTCAGAGGCTGTTGTATGTACTTGATCTTGAACGCGCATCCTGGATGGCCATTGCGAAAGGATAGAAATGAAACGTGCTGACGTACATGTAATCGCGAAGCTCGCGTGGAAGTCGTGCAAGGATGGGCGATGTAAAAGACGGACGCAGTTCCAAGTCTGAACATGCTTCGGCGATGGAATCAAGTTGACTAAGGCAATCAGCTGTGCCATCAAAAGGAATGGCTCTTGGGGGCTCACCTGTCAATGACCCTCAGCCGTCGTTCGATTTCCATGGTCTTTTCGTCTTCATCCATCAATAGCCGTTGATCCTCGGCATGCTCTTTCAATAGCTCAGCCTCATATCGTCCCTCGGACGCACTGTCCCTGAGTCGAGCCTCATGGATCATTGCATGGGTGATTTCCGGCCAGTCTTCTCCAAAGAGACTCTTCTTGTGTTCTTCGAGACTGCCATGTTTAGTTATTGCGGGAGTGTACGTGATCGGTATGCACACACTGTTCTTGTATGTTGAGGCGCCTGGCCGCGAGGCTAGAGTAGAGTAAGTTACACGCCACGAGAGACTGCGGAACTCCGTACGTTTTCCCGTCCTCGTACAAGCGGATCAATTCGGCAGACTGAGCAGAATCGAGGCCCCAGAAGCGTCGATCAATACTGGAGTTGGCAGGACTATCAGAAAGTGAGTTAGACGTCATCGAGGCTAACATGTAGGGAGGGGAGACGAGGAAAAGAGTCTTACTAGCGCGATATCATCATCGTTATTGCTGGCTTATATCGAGGACAATAATTGCGGACAAAGTTTGTGCCATGACAGAACAAGATCAGAAGGTATTTGGCTGACGGCTTGGCGGCTGTGTCCCGTGCTAAGCGTTAGCAGGCCGTGATGCCTGATTGAGGAACGCGTCCTCACGTGAACGGGTAGGTGCCTGTTACCAAGTGTGCTTCAGATCGGCCTTTGACCAGCCTCTACGCGCTCTGCGTTTCTTGCTGCGGACTAGGCAAAAGCTGTTTTTTTCTGTTTTTACTTTCCAACGGGGGCCGAGAAGCTTATCAACGTCGACGCGCGACGAGTTTTCCCGACGCGCTCCCCGCCTGAGGTGCTTTGCTCAATCAAGGCATCATAGTTGTTTCACAGATCGGAGGCGCGCTAACTGCATCCCCAGATCGTGGCGCATGTCCGACGGCTTGGGGGGCGACGTGGCCCCTGACCACAGTACTCCGCCAGCAGCCGAAGAAGCAGCGAGGCTTTGATTTGACGCGGCAAACGCAGTCTAGTCTTTGCACGACATATGCCAGGCCAGCCTTGCTAACCAAGTGTACAGGGTCGCTGATCCTGCTAGAAGCGCTATTAAAACTCCCCGCCGGCAACTCTCCATTGCCAGCACCACCATGCTTGAGTACCGTACAAGCAGCTCGCAGGCTTGGCACCAGCCCCGTGCAAAGATACGCAGCATATGGAAATAGTCACGTGCCGGCAGCCCGGGACATATAGTGCTATACTTAGCTTGGTATCAGGGCTGAGACGCTCCAGCAATGACCATTGCATATGTTCCGAGCGCTGATCTTGAACCGCCACAGGCTGAAGGAACCCCGTCCACTAGTCTGAGTCGCACAAATTACAACACCTCGAAACCTTATCCTATCAGCAGGACACTTTGCGACTGAATCTCCAAGAGCGCATATACTGCATATGCTCCATCAGCCCCACCATCCTTGTTACAACATTGGTCAATCCCAACAGCACACTTCTAACAACACATGCCAGGTTGCGCTTGTCTCGTCTGAAAGTGATGGCATGACCTAGTCACGAGTCAATAAGAGGTGGAACTTATGGCCATCATGCCATCAAATCCCCACTCAACATATGTGCACAGCTATTGAGCTTAGACTGAAAGGACCGGGGCGGTGCAATCTTTTTACGGTGCATTCCGGCCTCACGCGCACACAGATTACCCATAGTATGGGCTTGGATAAGTACTGGGGCGCAGGGGGCGCAGTAATGCCCGACATCGCTGCAAAGAGGCTCGGAAAGCGGGTTCGGCAGCCCGACATTGGCAAGTCGGGACAACATTAGGTCCTTCGGGGTGCTGTGTAAGTACTCTTCCGTTTCCGGTTTCTTGCCAATGTCAAAACGATGAATGTTTCAGTGACCTTGGTACTGCTGAACCAGCAATGCGTGCAAAAAACAGGTACCCACTCCTTTTCAGCTCTCCTGGTGACAGAATAACAGGGCACAACCCGTACAGTTCCAAGAAATTACTAACCATGAGGTGTGTGCTGATGTTGCTTTTGGTATGCAGTACTGCTTGACTGGTATCATTGCAACCAATTTAGCAACTCAAATATTCTATTTACTTTCAGATGTCAAGAACCTCTGGACTTCAGAAAATCCCCAGGCTCTTGCAGGGCCCATTCATTTGGTGTTTATACGAGAATCAGGCGCTATTGTCCCATATACTGACGAGGCCATATTACTCTCCGGAGTGGCTCTAGGGGACCGTTTGTATGAACCACCCAACCGATGCGCTGAAAGATCACTCGAGTCTGGATTGCGCATCCCCGCTTTTATTTGCTTCTGATAACTTATTTCTCTCAACCTCTTGGTCTCACTTGGCGTAAGGTAAAGGTAAACCTCGACGCCAACAGCGTGTAGTGCAAGAGAGACCCACAGCGCCATACCAAATACCACGTTCAATGCTGCGCCAATGGTCGCTATGTTTCCTCCAGCAAATTTTGCTGCAACTGCCGATACTGCTTCGGGGTCTGTGCCATTGGCGTATGCAGCACACGATGGATACGAAGTTGCGAGATTAACATCCTTGGAAATCGTGTCGGCAATCTTTGCGCACGTCCACACAATATAGTATCCTTGATTAGCGATGATCTGAGCGGAGATGGCGGTGATGAAGCGGCTCGTAACAATGGATCCAGCGTAGAACCAGCCTCGCAACATCCATGCTCGATGCTGCTCAATCTGCAGGCGTTTGATGTTGATATAGCTGATGGCGAAGCAGCTCAGCGAACCAAAGCCCGCAACACCGACAAAGCTTTGCACATCTAGCCCGCCACCAAACGAACGTCGTGCGATCATAAAAGCCCCGAAAATGCTGAACAAGTAGAGAATCAGCGACACGTATCCACCAACGCGATGTACAATCATCCAGCGACGCCGGATCACCGGCATGAATTGTGTGACGGCAATCAAGCTGGCAGGCAGCACGCCAACCAGATGAATCAGCATGCCGATCTTGTAACGACTGAAGTTGAGGTAGTAGTAGCATTCTCCCGGTGCCATGGCGGGACAACGCTTGCCTGAAAAATCGAGGAAGACGAGTCGTACTAGAGAGACTGTCGGGAAAGTGTTAGCGTTCGGGGAGGTGGAAAGAAAATGGTCTTTGGAACACAGGGGATCTTACAAAGTCCGAGTACACCGCCAAAAACCACAAAAAGCCAGAAGTTGTACGTTTTGGTGAAGCCAAGGCGGTTCTCGGAGCGCCGGCCGGGAACGTTGTGTGAAGATGGTTGGGGAGCCATGCTGCTCTCGATGGATATGTTGTTCCGCGTGGCCCCAGGAAAAGTGGAAAGTAAGGAGTTGTTTCTGCTTATTGAATCTCCAGGTCGTCTATGTATCTTATACAAATTTCAATTCTTTCATGCCACACCTTTTCAAGTTAATTTCGCGCTCGCGGCGTTTGATGTCACTTGCACCACGTTGAAGCGATGTGGCGGGCGGGCAGACTGCTGAGCATTAATTCTAGATCGAAAAAAATATTAGGAAATAGGATCAAAATATCCAGAAATAATGTGAGTGTACAAGGAGGGAGGTAGCTCCGAACAGTTATATGATCCACTCGAATGATTGTGATTGGCTGCGCTGAATGCTCCGGAACGGGAAAGGTGCAGCCGCTTGTGATTGGCCGCTGACGCTGACACAACAAGACGCATTGTCTCAGACGCCCCTCCGGCAGACCTCACCCACCCATCCCCAAGCAATCTCAGCGTCGTCATAGACATTTCCGCGCCAATCCATTTACTTTGTTGCCAGCCCTATCGGACTAATGTCAGCCTCATTGGACTAATGCGTCGTTGCTGCTAGCCTGAAGAAGCATGCAATCCATATCTACAAAGGGCACATTCTGCGCTCCCCCCCCCTGCGGCCGCTCGCGGAATCCTCACTGTACACGCTTTCCTTGTTTGATTGACCGCCATGGTGGGAGTCCCAGGACGCTCCAAAGGATGCATTACCTGCCGAAGGAGAAAGAAGGTGTAAGTCAACGCAGTCGTGTCGGGTAGCTCGAGGTACCAAAAAGACTGATGTCTCCTAGTATGATCTAGTCCAGCCAGCTTGCGGCCAGTGTGTGGGACGTGGGATAGCATGTGGAGGCTATGATTCGGATCGCATCTTCATATACCAACGTGGGGGATCAAACCGATCTGCACCCAAAGGAGACACAAGTCCGACACCTAAGACATATGTGGACGAGCCATCCCGGCATAGCTTCCAGATTGTACCTGCCACTTCGGTTTCTGCCATAGAAGTACGCAACCCGAGTTTTACTTCTGTAAGCATCCTGCCACCGGCCGGGCTTGCCAAGTCTGCTTACAGCCAGAAGACGATTGCTGCTTTCCTCGATATGTACAATCCCGCAGGCACCATTGAAACCACCAATGTCGACGCAAAGGAACTTGTTACTTTACTGCCCATGCTCAGTACGCGTGATGAAGCATTGCAAATGGCTGCCCTAGCCGTCGGGATCGCGCAACTTGGAATTACCACAAAAAACGAACATTTGACCAGGCAGGGAAGGGCCTTGTACGGCAAAGCACTCAAAGAAACAGCAGTGGCGTTGCGGAATCCGGCCAGAGCGAACAGCGAATCCATCCTCGTTGTGCCGCGCGTCATGGCACTTTTCGAACTGCTATTCGGCGCAGAGCCCCAATCAGCCAATCAAGCTAAGAGTTGGCTCAGCCATGCGGTTGGTGAACTAGCAATTATAGTGAGCCGCGGGCCTGCAGCGTTCGCAACCGATGATGTTGCTCATAACCTCTTCACTAATGCTCGATATCGACTGCTAGGACCTGCAATACGATGTCGGAGAGCGACGATACTCAACACAGAGGAATGGAAGACGCTTCCTTGGCAGGGACGAACCAAGACTTCGGAGGACTTGCTTGTCGACATTCTCTGTGGAATACCCGAGATCCTAGAGGCCGTGGATAGACTCCAATACGAGTCCATGGATAGTGGAGAGAGAAGCGCACCAGGTGTCCACTCTGACCAAATGCTGGACGCTGCACTTTCAACTTCAGACCTGGGCACAAGCAGAAGCCAATGTAATCTACACGCCCGAAATCGCCGACACGTGTACACAGATAACTTTTCCAAACATTGACGTTGCCTGCATCACCGTCCGATATTGGCTGACTTCTCTCTTCCTGTACTCTTCTCTTGATATCGCTGCGGGCATCGACCTCTCCACCGACTTTTCCCTGTCACACCCTGACCGTCCTCACCCTCGACCTTTTGCACGAATGATTACACGCTCGGTTGATTACTTCATGCAAGAGAAGTTTGGGGTTACCGGTCTCGTAGCTCTCTGGTTTCCACTGGGAAATACCCTGTTCTACTTGAATCGCAATCGAGAAGCAGATGTTGAGTACATCAAAACCATCATGAAAGCCTGGAACCAGCCCAAGCTGCCGAGTGTGATGCGGGATTTTCTGATGAGCTTTCGGATGACCGTCGACATGACGACTTTGTTAGCCACTCCGATACAGGGCCTTTGACGGGGAAAGAGCCTGGTTGAAAGGATTTAGAAAAAAAAAGTGTCTGCCAAGCAGCCCAATTTGATTGGAAAGAAGTTAAATAAGCTATCAAAGCAGTGTACCACGGTATCTACAGAATTCCTGAGATTCAAATCACAAAAGAAAAAAACGTGGACACCATCGGCATAAAAGAAGGTTGCCGACGTGCGATCAAAGAAGGGCATCCGTGCTAAACGTTGGACTGCTTAGTTGAGCTCAATCAGCCCCGGTCCAAACAAGGTCTTCTGCGCAACAGCGTCGGGGCCATCAAAACTATCCGCGCCCGATGTAACGGCAGCAATTGTAAGACCATCCATCACAAACTCATCGTAAGGGAACTCGGCCGAAAAAGTCACGGAATCGCCCTTGGTCTGGACATCCATCAAGGGCTTGACCACAGGCACGCTCTGGCCGTTGAGATAGACAACCCTGAGATGTTCAATCTGGAACATGCCGGCATCCTTCTTTGAAAAGGCAAACTTCAAGTGCTGTGTCTTGGGCTGAACCTTCTTGGTCTTGATGGTAAGGCCCTTGAACGTCTTGAGCGGAATGGTGTGGATGTTGGGGCAGCTTCCGGGAACGACGAAGCTCTGGATGGCGGTAAAGGCAAAGTCGCGGGCGGAACCCGTCAAGAAGGGCTGGGCCGAGGGAATCTTCTTCTGCTGGGATCGGAAGAAGCCGTCCTGTTGAGCTTCGTTGCCGATGACGGACGCCACGGCGCGCACGAGGCCGTAGTCTTGCGAGCGGGCAAAGATGTCAGAGACGTCTTGCAGCGTGCCCAGGACCAGATCGGTGAAGGTCTGGGCGAGGCCGATGGCGCTCTCGAAATCGGTGACAGGGAAGCTGTATCGGCACGGCTGGATCTCGGCTTGGTTGAAGTGCTTGAGCGCCCCGTTTGCGTTGAGCAGGTGCAATTCTTCCTGGGCGACAATGGCCTTGATGGCGTCGAGCACATAGCCCTGCTTCTCGCCGAGGTCGTAGCCCGGTGCCCTGCTGGAGATGTTGGCCGCGAGCTCGGTGAAGAAGGCAACCTCGAACAGCTCATTCAGGGCAATCAGCTTGAGGTTTGTGAGGCCCTCCGGGGTCATTGACGGCGGTGGCGCGCCATTGGGCAGCGTGCCTTGGGCGTCTTTTTGAATCTGGTTGATGGCGCTCTGGGAAGGGTTGGGGAAGCCATTGGCAAGAGGGAAGGAAACGCCCTTGCTGTTGCCTCGTGCGGTGAAAGGCGCAGCATATGCCACGCTTACCGCCATGGCAGTAACACAGGGTATTGAGTAACGCATGGTTATGGTTGGAGAAAGAAGAGGCGATACCGTAAGATTAAGTAAGTGGGCGAGAGAGAGAGAGATGCAGATGGCAGTTGAATGGGCAACAGGCAAAGAGAAGGAGGGAAACCTGGAGCAATAAATAAAAGCAGTCCTCGCAAAGACGCTACCCAAAGGCCAAGATATATGCATGCGGTGATTTGCAAAGAAAAGGTCAGACTGGAGAAGCTCCCCCGGCCGGCAATTGGGTACAGCACCCCGTTGGTGCACCCCCAGACGCTTGAAACGTTTGCCTTACAGAGCAATTACTGTTTCGGTCGTGCGTCCGCCTCTGCTCTGCTTACTGCTACGGTCAAATATAGCGTTTTTCTCCCCCCCCCCCTTCCCCTCGCGCCTATCACCATGTACCTTACCCATGGCGCTGGCAATCCTGCTGGTCCCCGATCGACCCCACAGCACAGCCCTTGCATGGTATCCAACATGTAGTTAGGAACATCTGTAGCGTCGCCAGTCCAGCCGCCCGAGATACGATACTGGCTCACCGTGTCTTGCCGGCGCAACGCATATATGCCTCGCCCCAATCCTCGGGTTATCCGAGCGCTCACTCACAACAGCCAGCCAGCCAGCCAGTCCGTCACCCGGTGCCCACAGCACGGCACAACCGCTAACATGCCTCCATCCAGCCAACGCACTATCCCCAGCGCACAGTCAGCTCTTGCTACAAACAGGCCCATGTATGTATGTGTGTATCTATGTGGCGTTAAGCTACCATTGTAACAAAGCCCCGAACTATAATTACTTACCCACGCGCGGACCCGCACACCCCAGCACGACAACGACAACAAAAGAAGAAGAAGGAAAAGAAAAAGCTTGTCTGGCCCCAGTCAAGAAGCTTGTCTGAGACCTTATTTGCGGCGGCTAGCCTGTGTTCAGCATGCGCGCGCTAGGGGGGAGGGGGGGCTTGCATGTGTCTCTGTGTATGTGTGTGTGTGTGTGTGTGTGTGTGGCGCGGGAGCGGTAAAAAAAAATCCAGTTTTTATTTCCTTATTTTCTTTGGCTTCAGGCTTATTTTCGCTCGGATGTACGGCAGCCCGAGCACAAGCTTGCACATGCACATGCACAGGCACAGCCTGGGGGGTGGGGCAAGGGCCCCCCCGCACGAGCGAAATGTTTCTGAATTGTTTGGTGGCTGTTGGGGGATTGGGTGGAGGATGAGAAGAAGAAGGAGAAGGGGGGCTGAGATCATACTGTAAGGACATTTCTGGGGCCTTGCCAGCACATTGTTGTTTTCCGGGTTGTGGCCGAGTCCTCGTTGTCGTCGTGGCTGTGCGTCGCTCTCTTTCTTCCCTCTTCTCTCCCCCCCCTCTCTCTCTGCTACTGCCCCTCGCATGCGCCACCGTGGCTAATCAATAGCATTTCCCCTTCGCACCGAACAGAACCGCTCGCGAGCGCGCGCGCGCGCGCCTTTCTCTTTTCCATCCATGATGATTTCATCTCCCATATTACCGTTCGGCGATTCTTGCTTCCGAACCCCCCCCTTCCCCTCCCCTTATTCCCATTCCAAAGAAAGAGAGAAGTGCCAATTTCCAATATATTATTGTATCATTGCTTACTTTGCCCGCGGCTGGGGTGTTATTGGAAGGTGCAGGGGGGGGGGTGCGGGCACGAGTGAGGAGAGATTCTCGGCCGTGCGCTATTGCATTTGGATGGATGGGGTGGGGGGAAAATCTTCCTGGATGGGAGATGATTTTCTGGTTCAAGAACGGAAGAGAGAGATTCCGGGATACTAGAAAGTTTATCTGTGTATACACTATGTGTATGTATGTATGTATGTATGTGTGGGTGGGTGTGGGTGTGTGGAGTCTGGGGTGCGGGAAGGCGGAAAATCATAATGCTGTGCCGAAAGGATAATAATACAAGGTACCACGATGATGGGTCCCACGGGAAGATTCCTAACCGTGTGCTATTTTACTTTCGTGTGTATATGCCAAGGGGGTGGGAGTGCTCAAAGTCGGGATTTCCCGCCGACCCGGCAATGACAATGACAATGACAATGCTGATTACAGCATGGTCCGCCACCCACGTGGCTTACTATATGCACAACAACAAAGAAATTGTGACAAGCTCGAGTAAGTAGTTGATGCCGTCTCCCCTGAACTAAACTGCGAGAGCAGCTCCACTATTTTAATTTCCAAATCGCATAGGCTGTATTCGTAATGCCCACTGTGCAGCAGGAATTCTAAAAGAGCCTAATGATACAGGCAGCGTTTGACAAGACAAGACGAGAACGCCTTGAATGCCTCAGCGAACATCGAGTACATGCAATGCCTCAGGCAGAAACAAAGCCTCGCAGATGCATCAAGATTTGACCATGGGCATGGAGCGGGAGAAGTCATTCGGCTTACCGCCTGAATACATGATGATCCACGTGGGATCAGCAAACGCTTTGCAGAGCGGAGCTGATGCCCCCGACGATAACTTTGTTTGGATTTGCACTACTGTGATGCATCGCCGGGACCAGGCCGCTGGGCGCGCTCATCGAGGCCAATGGTGCTTACGCTCTTGCGGCCTCATCTCACGGATCGTCATCCACTAGTTATTCCTCTGGCTCTTTTGCTTTTTGCTCTTCTGTTGCTGTTGCTGTTGCTTCTGCTTCTTCTTGTTTGCCTTCCCCCCCTCTCCATCGTCCTCGCTGGCACGCTTGCCATTGCTCATCGAATCATTCACGTCCTGCGTCTCAGCGTCTGCCTGCACCTCCTTGAGTAGCAATGTATTCAATGCCTCGTTAAAGTGTTCCAGCTCACATATCTCTCCAATCTTGACGCGCATGTAGTCAAATGCAATAGCCACTTTCAAGTCTTTATTGCGAATCTTGATCACGCGCTCGTTCTCGCCCAAGGACGAGACTTGGTGCTGCAAGGTCGGGATAGGCTTTGCTGCTTCGCGAGCGGGGGCAATGGTAGGATGTATGTCCATGTTGTCCGCATTGTCCAGGGTTGGGTCCATTTCGTCATCCTCGGGAACGTCTTCAGCCACTTTGGCGGGGTCAAGGAGTGGGTCTTCTTGCTCGCCGTCTGTGACCGTCTGCAGCACAGGGATCTTCTGATACCGTTGGCTGAAGTGCGTCAGGACAACAGCCTTGGCATTCATCTGGGCGCCAATGCCAAGAGCCTCAGAAGTCGTTGAGTGCTTCTTGGCTTTTGCATCACCCTGCAACGCATCGTCGAATGTAGCTTCATGAATGAGCACCGTGGTGTCCTTGCCAATCTTTGAGAAGTGGTAGCTAGGTCGGCAGTCACCCGAGTAGCTGACTTTGAGGGGCTCTACATCCTCAAGGTCTGAGGGTGAGCGCGGGAAGGTCATCGAAACGGCCATGGCACCATGGCAGTGCGCTACTTTCGCGGCCTGAATGTCTTCGAACCCAAAGAGTTGCTCGTATACCCGCCTATACACGGCCGGGTTTTCCGCCTCTTCCTTCCCGAACGAATTCAGGATTGACAGTCGTGAAGGGTTGCGCTGTTCGTTTGCCGTGATTTGTAGAGGCAAGATGCGACTGTACCCAAAATCTTCAATCGCAGAGTACTCATTGAGCCACTGGAGCATACCACTATGTGAGATGACAGAAAGGCCATAAGCGCTGGCATCGAGGCCGCCCACCGAATTGCCGAGTGGCTGCGTGTTTGGCACGCTGTTGTGTACTACTTGGTACCAGGCTCGGATCACAGCTGTAGTGCCCAAGTGGTGATCGGCGTGCAGATGGCTGATCCAAATGACCCTTAGGTTTTTGAGAATGTCGATGAGCTCTTCGTAGGGGAAGACTCTGGAGAGCTGGCCCAGAGTGTTCTCACCACAGTCAAAGAGGTAGTTTCCAATACCTGGCACACGAACCAGCGTCGCAGAAACGTTGCGATACTTTGACGGCAAGGCTGAACCTGTGCCAAGCGTGGTGACTTCGGTATCTGGGCGTGCCAGTAGCTGTCTCCACAGGGTCATATCACCCCGATTGAGCTGTACCGTTTCCTGGGCTTTCTTGGCGAGCTCAATGACCTCAGGCGCTGTTTCGTTTCTGACTATTCCATCGTCAAAGAGCTTTGAAATCGTCTCCTTCTTCATAGAGAATTTTGGCATTAGCGTGAATGTTAACCCTCGATCAGCGGCAATGGCACCTCTCGGCATCTCAGAAGAGGTTGGCTGACCATTTCTGTACAAACTCTTCTGAGGCACGCTAGTAGCGTCGAACACGGGCGTGGAATATCTGGCAGGGTCTACTAGCCCCAGGCGAGTAGCTTGTGTAGCGACCGAATCATTAGTGATACGGTTCGGTGCAGTATCTATGGAAGATATGACATGCTCCACATTACTCAACTTCTCCATGAACTCTGCCAGAGTAGGGTGGCCAACCACACCGGGACCAAGCGCCCAGACAATGGCCCCGATGCCTTGCATGACTTCTGGTGAATGGAGTTCTTCCCGCTGAACTATGCTCTCGACATAATCAACCGAGGGCACGTCGAGAATGGCAATTCCTTGGCCAGGCCTATCAGCGCCCATGACTTGCTCTGGCGTAACCCAATCTCCATTGGCATTCTGGACCGATATACCCTTTGAAAGCTGGCCAAATTGCGGGCCTGGAGTGATGCCCAGTTCCTTTGCGCGCGCAACATCAAACTGTCCGCGAGTAGGGTGCGATCGCACAATGTACGAAATACACTCTTTGGCGGGTTGGGTGGGCGGAAGAGCCAGGATTTGAGCACCAGGCCAGGGAGTTCGGGTCCAGACGGTAATATCAGGAAGAGGATCTGGCCCTCCTGGCTTTGGACCGGTGTAAGGTTCATAGGCATGCGTTTCTGGGTTGCGAACGAACATGGCAGCGGGCATATTCACCGCAGATATGTGCTGCTCTACCAGCGTATCGAAGCTCCAGTTTGAATCAAACATGTACTTGATAGTCGCGGTCCGTATCTTGTCGTATCTAAGCTCACGGGCTTTTGGAGTCTCGTTCTCGGGAGCCTGGAAATCCTCAAACGTGTTTAGGTGTGCGTCAAAGTGCTGCCGCCGTGCTTCGAGTTCGGCTTCTGCCATGACATCTGGTTTCGATACAGCCGGAGAGATGGACATGGCCCATACGTTGATGTTGGAGTCCTGCCAGGTGGGGAGTATGGTACCATTTGCATCTTTTTCCGGCGACTGCTTGGTGTATTCGGTCGCAACAATGGGTATACCTTTCCGGAAGATGAACCTCCGACAGGTGCCCACCGTGTGCTTCAAGTTGGGTGGGCCGTACACGTCGAAATGCGGCTTGACCGGCTCATCAGCCTTTTTGCCCCGCTCTTGCGCCAGCTTGAATGTTTCCATGGCAGTAGTATAAGAGCTTGTGCTCGCGTCGGCCAGTGTGAGCATCATGCCAATGAGCCCGCCCATATTCTGCCACTCGGCCTTTCCAGTCAAGAAGAAGTCCTGTGCCTTCAGCAAGCGCGTCCCTTGTTGCACCATTGCACGCTGCGTGCCCTCAGCCATATTGCCAAAAACATAGTGCTTGCTCGCCGTCCTCAACACCAGCGTTGTGCCAGGGCTGTCAGCCGTAGGCGTCGTAATTATTTCAATACTGCACGACATGTCTTTTGACGTCTTCTTCAGACTGCTGCTATCCGCAAGTGGCTTGTTTCTCGCATCCACGGGCTCCAATGGCTTCGAGGGCGGTACCAGGAGAGGCTTGTATCGAAATTGCACCGGACGCGGTGTGCTTGCAGGTTGAACCGTGGGAGTCAGGCTCTGAAAAACAAGTCGGGGTCTGGAGTGGAAAGGACGAGTCGAACAGGCCGTGGGCGCCCAAGGTCGACTGTATCGCGGGCGCAATGTCAAGAACCGGGCATGGATCGTGGCCGTCGTGACTCGGCCGACAGCGCTCAGTTTAGAAGCCAATTTGACGGTATTCGAAGCTGGCACCAAGAGACAACATGTGGCGGCATCCGCATGGAGAGCGTGAGAGCATGCAAGGATGCGCCGCAGAAGTTCGCGCGCGTCACTTTTTCGCGATGCCGTCAATCATTTAGGCGAGGCAGGGCCCGTGCGAGCAGGGCCCAGCGGCTTTGTTCCGCGACGTTAACCTTTGTCGTCGCTTGGCACCCTCACCCGCACCCTCAACTCGCCATGCAATAAGACGTTTCGTTTCATGGGTATCTTTTTCCATTAACATTACGAGACATGCAATTTTTATCCGCTGCCTCCCGGTATGCGCCCGCTCTGCCATGCTAACATGCTAACATCTCAGGCCTTCTTCCTGAGCGCTCCTCCGTCGACAGTAATGTCCTGTCCCGTAACGAAGCCTGCCTCGATGAGATACAGAGCGGCATCGGCGATATCCTTGGGCCTGCCAGCTCTGTTGGTTGGATGATCTGAAATATCCTTCTCGCTGATCTGGCTGGCCCAATCGGTTCCCTTTTCGTCGCCCTCCTTGCTCTCGTGTGCCACCTTGATACGACCGGGGGCAATGAGGTTGACCCGGATACCCAGACTACCCAGACTGATGGCCATCGAGTGCATCAGGCCTATCTGACCCGACTTGCTCGACGCATATCCCTCCTGGTTTGGGTCCGACTGGTGCGCGCGGAACGAGCCAATGTGGATAATGCACGGCCCCGCGGGGCTGGAGTTGTTTGCATTCTGCATGTGTGCTCCGTGTTCGACATCCGATGCCCGCGCTTTCATATAGGGAATGCATGCTTGGGACATGGAAAACGGAGCCGTGAGGTTAGTGTCCATGTAAGCTCTCCACTCGTCGATTGTTGAAGGGTCTTCCATCGTCTTGCCATCCTTCCACTGTGGTGTGGCGATACCGCCGTTGTTGATGAGAACATCGATGCGTTCGTTGAAAAAGGCGGCAGCTTCCTTGACTTTGGCTCGGATCTCATCCACGTTGCGAAGGTCGCAGATGGCATACCCTAGTCTACCGTCTGCGTAGTACTGCTGGAGGTGGACTTTGGCTGTATGCTCGAGCTCTTCCTCGTCAATGTCCAAGATGTAGGCGTGGTGACCGGCCTCGAGCATCATCCGAGTCAGGGCCCGGCCAATGCCGCGGGCCCCACCGGACACGATGATGTTCTTGTACAGGGGTGGTGCTGGTGCTTGAGGAGCCGCCATTTTGCTGTGGGGTGGTGTTGTCTAAGGACGTGTTTGCGTCGTCGATTGCGCGGTTATGTTTCTATAGGTGTACGTTGCTCTGACGTCACGCCTCAACATATTGTTTTGACAGTGCATCATTGCGGAGCTAGAACCGCATTCTGAGTACTCTCTGCGTTGGAGCGATTTGAATTATTAAAAATCAGTACCATCTAGAATGCACGTGGCTCTCAGATTATCATCGCCTTTACGCTAGTACTTTATCTTGACATTAAATGTGACTATGTATGTCTTCTCTGTTAACGTCTCACAAAACAAAAGCAATTTGACCAAAAGACTGGACTGAATTCCATGATTTAGAATGTTCAATCTAAAATACTCTACCAACAAACCTCTATGGATATTGAAAACACCAATCCGGTCGGAGACGCATGAAGTGTAATCTCCACTACATCAAGGCTAACTTTGCTATCAAAAGAACAACACGATGATCAGCATTGAAAAATTCACCAGCATACTCGCAACGTTTTGAAATAGGTTGATAGTCCGCCTTGCACCATCTCCTGTGCCCACACGATTCTTTACAGGATCATGGTATATACAGTAAAGTTGTGCCATATTGAAATTGGTCTTCGCGCAGACTTCATTTTACTATTGCACGTCCTACTGAATTCGTGTCAGCACGGGCAGTCAGTGGCATTGTAAGTACTAGCGCATTAATACTATATCCTGACTAAATCCCTCTCCTACTAATAACCTAGAGCCTTCTGACGCTACCTAATGCAAGTAGTATCCATCAAGCAGCACAGTCTTGGTCTTCGGAGATAAGGATTTTAGTCTGCGAGGTATTGCGCTAAACTACCCTTGGCGTGGTACATTTCCAGTTAAGCAATTCCTTGCATAGCCTCAGACTGTGACTTGGTCGTGTGTGTTCGCAGTGCATCAGAAAGACATCACTATGCATCTCTCAAAGGCAAGTTGAACTAAACAAGTCCAGATCGCATCCATAGACCTTTTATCAGAAATTTGATACCAAAAGATTGCCCGCCTGACGCCTGAGAAACACCAAGTTCCATGAAAGTACAGGTATATGACCACATTGAATGCATCGTTGAAATCAGAAAAAGCGTCGCCCGTCTATCGCAATAGTGCTGTTTATTGCGAACGCTGGTAGACACCCACAACCATGGCGTGGTCACGCTCAAAAGGCTCGAGCGTCAGCTGCTCCTTAGGCTTGATGCCCATCTCCCGTAGCTTGGCGACTTCCTGTGCGAAGACGGCCTCGGGGGCGGCTGTCGAGTCGATACAGTTGGCCTTGATGGAAATGACGATACCACCTCCAACCTTGAGGAACATGCCAGCGTTGAGACCGACAATACGCGCTTGGTCGGGCTGAGCAACATCGGCGAAGATGCAGTCGACCATGCCCAAGAGCATCCTGTACTTGGAAGGGTGTCTGGCGTCCTCGACAATGGGAATAACGTTGGTGCGGTGAGTGGCCATGTTGATCAGATCACGGCCAGAGCGGTGGGAGAATTCGACGGCGAAGACAGTTCCCTCGGGACCGACAATGTCGGCAACGTGAGAAACTGATGTGCCGGAAGCAGCACCAAGGTACAGAACCTTGGAGCCAGGTCCCATGTAGATGTTGTCGACACCACCCAAGATACCAGCGGCCAACTTGGAACGGAAGGGGTTCCAGACGCGGTACTCGGTGCTGCTGGCCTCGGTCTCGCCGTCCTTTGCGGCGCTGGCACCGACGCTGATGCGCTTCTCTCCGTAGACGGACTCTCCGGGGGTCAAGTTCTTGGTAACGAGCAGATCTTCCTTGCCGCGGGCGACGAAGACACCAGCATGGCGATGGCTAATCCCAAGTTAGCAAATGTCTCAATCCGCGCTTCCGACTCTACTCACGGCTCAACGATAACCTTGGCTCCACCGCGCGCGCCTCCACGGGCTCCGCTACGGGCACCTCCTCGGCCTCGAGGAGCACCACGGCCACCGCGAGCACCTCCACGGCCACGGTCACCGCCGCCGCCGCGACCTCCGCCGCGGCCTCCGCGGGGAGTGAAGCCTCCGCGACCGCCACGGTCACCACCGCCACGTCCACCGCCGCGACCACCTCTGGATATATGTTAGTAAAGTTTTTTTTCCAAGACAGGCGCTTTGAACAATCAAGTTGAGCGGCAAGGCTTGGATGAAAAGTTTCCATCCAGCCATATGCTACTCAGCAGATCGCATTCCAAATAGTTTTGGCCTTGCGATGCAAGCGCGCAAGCTGGGAGCCGTACCTGGGAGTGAAGGCCATTGCTTGTTTCGGAGTTCTCGACGGAGTTTATGAAGATGTCAAAGCTATCGCGCAAAGTCAATTCTGGAATTTGATGGTGCGAATCGTAGAGTACTAACTCGGGATGACTTGTTCCACTTTGTGCGCGGTGCTTTTGCGCGTTGAAGAGCGTGTGGATACTGAGTGTCGCGGGAGGAGCAAGTGGTGCTGCAGGAGCTTGGAGTTCAAGCTCAGAAAATTATCCAGATCGTCTTGGCGCCCAAAGTCGCGCGGCCAATCACGCGAGGGGGGCGCAAGCGGCCCGCTAGTTTTGCCGAAACCCACGAACTCGCAAATTCCCACTCTTGATACCGCCCTCGTCGTCAATCTCAACTAACAACAACAGTACAACTCGACAAAATGGTACGTCTGCCGTCGCGCCTCTGCATGCACCCGCCTGCACTTCGAACATGGAATTAATTCTTGCAGGTTCGCTACGGAGCAACCTCCATTGACGGCGCAAAGTCTGCCCGCGCCCGCGGCAGCTACCTCCGCGTTTCCTTCAAGAACACCCGCGAGACGGCTCAGGCTGTCAACGGCTGGAAGCTCGAGCGCGCCCTCACCTACCTCGGAAATGTCCTGGAGCACAAGGAGGCCATTCCCATGAGGCGGTACGCTGGCAGCACTGGACGCACTGCTCAGGGTGAGTAGCCCTCGAAGAACGACTCGCACATTGGTGGAACAGGAAAACGCACAGAAGAGGAGGGCATTGAGCGATTGGGGGTGTCGATGCTGGCGATTGCAGGAATACAAGCTGACTTGAGCAGGCAAGGCGTTTGGTGTTTCCAAGGCCCGCTGGCCCGTCAAGTCTGCCGAGATCCTCATCGGCCTCCTCAAGAATGCTGAGGCCAATGCCGACACCAAGGGACTCGACACCAGCAACCTGATCATCAAGCACATCCAGGTCAACCAGGCTCCCAAGCAGCGAAGGCGCACTTACCGTGCTCACGGTCGTGTACGTACACCGAGGCGAATCGCATAGACTGCGCTAACGTACCCAGATCAACCCCTACATGTCCAACCCCTCCCACATCGAGCTTATCCTCGCTGAGGGCTCCGAGGCCGTCCAGAAGTCTTCCAGCGCCCTTGACCGCCGACTGAACTCCAGGCAGCGTGGCCGTGCTGTCCGCAAGGCCATCACCGCTTCCGAGGAGTAGACGAAGCTAGGGTGGTGATGTTTGGGCGAAGAAAACGGTCAAGGCATGGGCACGGTTAGGAGTCAAATGAGCGATGAATCTTCAGGGTCTTTCACACTCATCATGTATGCATGATATGGCACTTCGATTTCTCCGGTGTCTGGTCCATAAAAGAAATAGGGCCAAGGCCTGGTTCACACAAACACCTAGACCGTATGCGTCTTTGCCAAATGTTCTCCACTCCTGTTGTCTGCACGGTGATGTTGTTCGGTGCGAGCTTCTGCGAACGCGTAGAACGTGCTTCTATCTGGTGTGTGAGATCCAACCACACGATTCGTCCTGTTTACAAATGGCTTACAATGGCTGCAGCTAGTCTAGCCTTCTGCTCCTGCGTTAGTAACAGGGCTTTGACTTGATCCCAGGGCCTAATTTGGGACTTTTGCCCCGGCATCTAGGTGTACACAGCTTTCGACAAAACCACGCTAGTATATTTTGGATCTAGCGAGCCACATGGCTTTGCTCAACTCGAGGACTAACATCGGCACATTTCTGCGATCAACAGCTATCTTGACCTTTACAGCGGTTGGCTGAATGGCTCTGTTGAGGTAGATGCCACCCCTGCCCCTCGACTCATTCGTCATATCGCGTGTCGCCTTGCTCCAGCCTTGCTTGCCAACTTTCCCGCGATCAATGACGCAAGCCCAGCACAGGCCCAGCATGGGCATGTACCTCGCCACAACCTGTGTCAGAGGATAAGAAGTCAGGTATGGACTAGGATCTACCCGTTGCCTATCTTCTCCACAGATCTCTTCCTTCCCTATAACGATCAGTCAAATTGTTGTGAATATTAGACGTGTACCACCATGCCTCGGCTAATCCCATCTGGACGCCACCGTCAGCAGGCCAGCCTCCTAACGACTCTCTTTACGTTATTGTCAGCAACGGCTCTTGCAGAAGATTCAAAGCGTGGCTTTGCATTCATAGGCGACACGCACAAGAGCGACAATCAACTCCTTGCCTCCGGCTCATCGCCACTGTCATGGTACTACAACTGGTCACCCTACCCAAATTCCGACCTCATTCCAGCCGACACCCTCGAATTCGTGCCTACGATTCATGGCATCGACGCAACAAATGATGATCAAACCGAGCGTGTAATTCGAGATCTACCACAGAGCAGCAAGCACCTTCTATCCTTCAATGAACCAGATGGCTCAGAAGGTAGTGGCGGAAGTAGTATCAGCCCCGAAGACGCAGCAAATGCCTATATCAACTACGTTGTTCCATTCCGCAATGGAGATAGCGGGGGAAGAAAGTGGTTGATTAGCCATCCCAGCACAACGGGCAGCCCAAATGGTCTTGACTGGCTACGTCGCTTCAACGCGTCTTGCTATGACATCGACTCCAAAAACGGATGCCCGGCGGACTTTGTTGCCGTGCATTGGTATGGCAATTTCGAAGGCCTCACAAGCTGGCTGGGCACTCTGAACGAGTTCTACAACATAAATTCCACGCGCAATGAACCGCTCAAGCTCTGGATCACGGAAATGGCACTCCCTCAGCAAGACGACGATGACACTGTTGCAATGATGAATCAATCACTGCCATACCTCGATCGCCAGGAAAATGTTGAGCGATATGCGTGGTTTGGAGCCTTTAGGACGGATGACTCCAACGAATGGACCGGGGACGGCGTAGCCTTGTTCGATGACGACGGCGGCCTTACTGAGCTCGGCGCGCTGTATATGGGCAATGGATTCAAGGAGGGTCAGAAGGGCGAAGGTGCCGAGGATGCTGCGAGTGGGGTGAAGGTCAGCATTGGCATGATGACTGCATTGTTCGTTTGCGCCACCAGTTTCGCCATTTTGTAGACGACGACTGTTGTCACTGTAGTTTTTGTTTTGTAGATACCTCTTAGAGATACCACTGACGCACTGTATTGAATTCAGGTTATATATTGAATATAAACTTGGAACGATAAAGATATGTAAGGCTTTGGTGAGAATAATCGGACAGAATATATCGAGCTGAGATGCACAGTGGTCATTATTCTTGCTTCTTATTGTATGGATGTTGGTTTTGTCCGAAACCAATAGTATTAGGGCAGGTGGATTTTCAATTCAAAATATCAGGAAAGAAGGCGAATGCTAAATAATGCCAATAACTTGAAGATCTTTCATTCATAGTCGCCAAGGGCCGGAGTGCTAGCCAGGAGAGGTAGCAGAAAATCATATCCGGACAGCACACGCATAAGCGGTAATCTAATCAGAACAATCTACAAGTTATCTCGAGCAGAGTGGCAATAGAGATGCTATCAACATACAAGTCAGCACTTTGTCGAGAGTTAATAGTCGCGCTCCCAGACCTTGCTGTTATTGCCAGAAGATAATGATATGTTTATCTTATCCATTCAGTCTGCCTCTCTCATTCCGTGAAATACATATCCGACTCACAGTTCATTTTTATGCCGCCCATTTCTATCCAACCGAACCCTGATCAAGGCAGCAATGCTACAAAAAACCTTGGCACTATTCACTGCGGCACTTTCACCAAAATTTCACCCGGTTATGGCACTGAGAACGCAATTTTCACGTAACTGTGTTGCCTTCACCAGTCCAAGTCTCACTCGCCTCGCCGTATAAATAAATATCTGCTGCCGTCGAACCAAACACGTCCACTCTCAACCTAGTCCGCACAAAATCGAACTCGACAGTCACAAGCTCTCCAGATATTCAGAAACAGTTCGACGGCTTCTGGCTACAACATAGCCTCAACGCGCAAAGGCAACTGGGTCCCACTTAAGGAAAAGACATCCCAAAAGCTTTCGACATGCCACCTTCAACAAAGCCCACAACCAGACCGACCATCGTCGCAAAGGCACCTCGCGTGAAACCGTCATCCCCCACCGTCATCCAGCTGCTGCACACGCGCCCATGGCTCACACGCGCGCAATCTCTTTCCGAACAAGACCTCTTCATCCTGCACAGCCGCGACAACCTCGTATCTGGGGCCACGGGACCAAAAGACTGGCCGGCTGTAGCCGCCGAATACAACGAGCGGTTCACAAACGAACTCAAGAAGCCGCTCGCGTGGAAGACACTGAGCAAGCGGTGTGGTCTGGCGCGCAAGATCTTCCAGGCCGAGAATGAGGAGTATGCGGGTGTAGTGGTGTATCCGGTGCCGCTGCTTGAGAGTGACGATAGGGATGGGGATGCGGATGTGGTGAGTGGCGAGGAAGAAGAATATGAAGAAGGTGGAGACGAAGATGGAGAGGGAGATGAAGGCGAAGAAGAGCAGATGCAAGATGTGATTGAAACTGCTACCGACGCACCGCCTCCCACAGAGCAAGCAACACAGCGTTCTTCTCACACTCCAATCCCCAGCACAACAGCTCCTCTCACACTGCCCGCAGCCAGTACGACACCCAAACACCTGACCCCAGGCTTCCACGACCCATCCTCCACACCCCCCTCCACCATCCCCGCGCTAACCCGCGCGAAATTCCACCTCCGCCACCGCACCCACTCGCCCGTCTACTTCGAGTTTCTCTCCGCCGACGAGCAAGCCCTCGTGACGTACGATGCGCACTACATGGACGCGCAAATCCTAGCAGCCAACTCGGCACTGTACGCGCGCGCCCTGCAGCACGACCCCAACACCAGCGTCATCGACGTGCCAGTCCCGTTTTCCGTGCGCACCGTAAATATCCTGATCCAGCTGCTTGCGCCCGTGCGCGCGACAGAGTTACCCTCGCATTACCTGTGGAAGGCGGAGAAGCCTGAACCGGGGGTGTACGATCGCTTTGGCGGGATTGAAGTCGAGGAGATTGCGTGGACGATAGATGTCCTGCTTGATTTGATGTTCTTCGCACGGGTCCTGGAGGTCTTCTGGGTGGTGGATATGGTGGTTGATCGGGTGCATTTTCTGTTTACCGAGCAGAGCAAGTGTAGGGATGCCGTGGAGCTGATGATAGATGTGGGCGGGCGCCTGCGGATGCCGGTTGCGGATACGCGGTTGGCGCGCGTCACGGCTGAAGACTTGGAGGAAGACGTGCTGGAGATGTTGGCAAAGGCGCCGGTAGATTTCCCGACGCTGAGATTCGTGGTTGATCTGCTGGCCGCGCTTGGTGGCAGTGTGGATGCAGAGTGGCTTGGTGGAGCACCCAAACATGTCAAGGACGTGTTTGCTCATGCAGACGACAAGCTTCTTGTCAACGGGCCGCGAGAAGCGTTCTGCGAGCGGTACCATCATCATCCGTCGGAGACATGCTACACGCTGCATGCGCGCCCTCCAACACCGGAAATCATCAACGCGCTGTATGCCACGGCTACGCCCCAGGAGCTCGTCGATCTCTCGGATGGCGTCTTGTCGGCGAACAGCCTGCGCCTCTGTGCCGGCGATGTGGACAAGTGGAAAGAAGCCAACTCGGCTCCTGAAATGCTGGAGGCGGAGAAAATGCTCATGGAGATGGAAACCCGGATTGAAGAAACGAAAGCTGCGTTGCGGTGGGCACGCGAGGCACCAGAGGTGGAGAAGCGAGAAGCTATTGCAGAGGCGAGGAAACTGGCTCAGGACATGTACAGTCCCAGCCAGCTCTAAGGACGACCATTTGATCGAGTGGAAGTACTCTGGGTCACGCAGGGTTGGTGTCTGTGTTGGTTCGTGACAGTGCCAGCGACGATGTTCGGATGGTTTGTATCATGTATACTTGATTGCTGCTGATGAGACATTAATGTGTGTGTTTGATACTTGGGTGGCTTTGAATTCGAATGACACTGATGCGAGTATGAAATAGGCCGTGGTGGCGAGTCTGGATAAGTTCGTAGAAGAGATCCCAAGCAAATAAAAAGATCTCAGATGATTCAATACTAGTGTCGTATAAGAATGTGCACTTTCAAAGAAGATCGTAGACTGATTCATTACTAGCGTCATGATGCTACCTGCAGCACCCAGTGGAGAGCATCTGACAACGTGACCAAACCAGGAACACCATTGTACTTAGATCTTCTCTACCTCCAGAATATTGCCCTGGCTATCGTGGGCCAGCTTCTTCTTCATGAGCGAGGCGTTCCTCGGGTTTGGCGCATTGAAAATGTCGTCGATTTCCTCCAGCGTGCGGTTCTTGGTCTCTGGGATGAAGAGCCAAACAACAAATGCTTGGACGGGGCACCAGCAAGCAAAGACAATGTACAGTCTCCAGCCAATGTTTTCCAGGGCGACGGGGTACGCGAATTGGTTGACCAATATGGCTGCAGTCAGCGAAAACTGGCAGAATGCCATGCCCTTGGCACGTATCTCGAAAGAGAGCACCTCGACTGGATAGAGAGCCTGGAGGGGCGTGATACCAAAGGCGAAGACGGCGTTGAACAGGACAACCATTGCGACAAAGGCATTGCCAGCAGGAATGCTGTTGTGCTTGTTCTGATACGAAACAGCGCCAATAGCACCGGCCCAGACAAAGGTGATGATGCTGAATGTTCCTATCAACATGGGTCGGCGGCCGAGTTTATCAACGCACGTTGCACCGATGACAGCCTATAGCACATTGTTAGACTCGAACTGCAGGGTGAATATCAGAAAACTCACAAAGGTAAGCTGCATGCAGCTCTTGCCGAGGTTGATGTTCATCTGCTTAATCTCGTCCTTGACACCTGCAGACTCAAGAACACCGGCGATAAAGTAGTCGACGGCGCCATTGCCAGCCCATTGGCAGAAGACGGCAACGACGCAGTTGCAGGCCAGACGGTAGCGGGCCGAGCGCGTCTTGAAAAGACTACCATAGTCCCACCACCGCTTGTCGCCTCCATCCATATTGAGGTATTCCTCATACTCGCGGATTTGCATAGAGACCCAGATGCTGTCTTCGTTGCCGCATCCATGATATTTTGAGAGGATCTTCTTAGCCTCGCTGTGTCTGCCACGAGTATAAAGCCAGCGGGGCGATTCCTTCTCCGATTAGCATGCGTCTATTGTGATATTTTCGGAAAGGTGTGCCTTACAGGCAAGAACCACGGCAGCACGACGAGAAGCGCAGGGAAGAGCATCTGAAGCCATACGGGAACCCTCCATGATTGGTTGCCGCCGAGACTAGCAGAACAGCGAGTGACGCCGGCTGCAAGAAGCGACCCAACGAACCAAAAAGTATTGTAAAGACCAGTAATCACACCGCGATGAGCAGGATGCGCAGTCTCGATGACGTACACAGGTCCCGCAGTCGACATGATGGGTACAGCGAAACCAAGTAAGAAACGGCCGCCCATGACTTGATGAGAAGCGTGAAGTTAGTACATGTGTCAGATGCACTCGGCGGATTGACAGAACTTACATTGGCCAATGGGGTTGGACGCGGGAGCAGTCGCCTGGATTATTACTCCGACGCAACCAAGCACGCCTCCAACAATCATACCGACCTTGCGACCCCAAGTATCGCACGCAGGGCCGATAAAAGGGAGTACGACAACACCTCCTATCTGATACATGGAGGTGACAATACCAGCCCATGCACCAGTACTTCCGACGCGGTAGTAGTCCTTGAAGTGTTGGTTGGTAAGAAGAGAGCCGAACATGGAGCCGTCGAATCCGTTGCAGGTGGAGCAAAAGAAGCCCACAAACCCGCAAACGTATATGAGCATCGCCGAGCTGGTGAAGAGCTTGACCGGCTCTTTCAGCTTGGCCTCTGTGATGGCCTCTGAGCCGGCGACAATGGCGATTTCCGCCACGATTTTATTCTTTTCCTGTTGAGGTGTCAGATGGGGAGGGCGCTGTATGGTTGTGAGGTGGGCACTCACGCCATGCTCTGAAGTCGTGGTGACGTTGGGCTCTTTGACCTCCGACATTGTTGTGATGGAAGTGCTCCAAACGACAGCGGCTGGCTGGAACAAAGCACTGGGGCTTGCAAAGACTATAAACCATTTTGCGGAGGCATACTAAGCAGTGCCAGGGGGTAAGAGGTCGGCCTGTGGCCCGTAAGGCCCGGCTTATGCTGCGTCCCAGCGGCGTGGGAATTATCTGGGGCACAGTTCTGGAAACGCGAGCCTGAACGAATATGATTCGGACACGCTTGGTCCGTGGCCTGATCAGCAAGCAGCTCCCTGTCGCTAGGTATAGCCTTGAATGTGCCGTCCACGTGCAGGTGCGCTATCGCATGGGGTATCTTGTTGATCAAGACAAGCTCATTGCGGCAATATCTTGTGCAGCATGTACGTAAGTTACATGCGCAGATCTATTGGAAACATGTGTTATTGGTCGCATACACAGCCGTGGTATATCATCGTGAAACTTAATGGCGAAACGGCCGATTACGAGGATCTTGCGGGGCCGCAGAAATCTGGGTCAAGATGATTTGCACCGTCTCGAATACCATGCCACGGTGGCCCTGGTCCAATCAAAATCAGTTGGTGATGAGCATGAATCAACCTTGCAGACAAGACTGCTCATGCCACTGCCCGTCCAGCAAACGTTCAACGGAAGGCAGGCTGCTCGCTGCCAAAACAGCACTCGCCCATCTGTAGAGGTGGCCATCTGTGGTGTCGCGCTGTATAGGCGCGACCAGTGCGGATTTGGGTGTCAGCCCAAGGAACAGACATGGCCCTAGTTGGTGGCGCCGGCCTTTTCTGCGAATGATGGAGGATTGGCGAGGGTTAGTGCGCGACCCTGCATACAAGTCAGCGAGGAGGCGTCTCGGCTTTGCAGATCCAAAGGCACAGTCAGTGCGGTGTCCAAGGCAATAGTGATAGTGTGTCCGTGTCGCCACGCGTGCGGCCGTGTAGGGGGGGATGTTGGTGGCTGGAGGATGCAACGGGGAAATTCACACCCCTCATGCCAAGGCGTAAGCGAGCGCGCTAGTGTGGGCCTTCCCGACGTCACGCCCAATCCGGACTGGGTCTACGGAGACGCTTTCTCCGTGCCCAATCCGGGCAAGCCAACACCTTAACCTGACGGCCACACCACGCTGGCAGACGGTTCTGGAGACAAAAAGCGAGCATTCAAATCATGTGTGTTGTACTGCATGCCATTGATGCCCGCGGGCCCAGGAGGGGGCGTTCTTCCACCTCTCAGTCAACGGCTAGTCGGGCCGGCTCGGAGCCTGTAAGCTGCCGATTCAGTTTGCAGCAAAAATATGCCTCCAACACTCATCGGCTTTTGTCGCTCTCGTCCCGGGAGGCATATTTTTTCGACAATGCTTCGAGAGAAATAGCTTCGGGGAACCGATAGGAGCTGGCTTTTCGGGAATCCTTCCATCAGGATTCTTGGAATACCATATGCCTCCGCCAGTGAAAGCAGCACGAGAACGACTAATCACGACTTTCAAGCAGAACTGCTGGATCAAATGATACACTACTCAGATATTCTTGTAGAGTTGATGGCAAGATTCATTGGTACCACATTCGAGAGAGTCGTCCAAGGCCCAGCAAACACACTCCTCTTCAGTGTTTGGTGCTGTATCAGGCTTTTCTGCTACCTTTGTCATGTATACACCCCGGTAGCTATCAGATTGCAGACCGCCATTCCTAACACTTCCAGTCCACATTCTCAATGTGTCAGTCACCGCCCATGTCCAAGCAGATCTCGCTCGACGGCAAAGTCCGCATCTGAGTCGCCAGTGCTGGGTGACGCGCCATCTCGAGCAGCTGTCCAGCCAGCCCCGAAGCGCACACAGTTTCTACCCACCAATCGCGCGCTGGGTCGCCGTCTTCAGTACTCTCAAAGAGCAGGTTGAGGTCGTCAATCTCTAGCTCCATTTCTGCATTTTGCTCCGCAAACAACTGCCACTGATGCAACACCAATTCGCGAACATGGTCGTCTCCCAGCTGCGTAGCGAGGCAGTACAGCTCCACGAGAGAGGCGCTGTCGCAATTTCCATATTTTGAAAAATCCACCATCATTCCCAAAGATACACAGTGTATATACCATCTGACAGCGTCTACTGAAGGTCCGCGTAGCTGCATCTTCATCCCAGTGTTATCATCCAGGCATCCACGCAGAACAGCAGAGCTGGTTCGAATAGCTTCGCGGTCCGCGGTGACACTTCCAAGCGATACTCCGTGTGCGTCGACGATCTCGATGGCAACACGGGTGTGGCTTATCGATGCGGATTTCATATACTCCTGGATATTAGCTTGCTCGCGGATACCACATGGTGGCAGCCAACCTCCAATACGGTTGTTGTAGAAGCTGGCTTGAGTTGCTTCACCGCCTCTCCAAGGCCTAACAGTAATACCAGTGGCCATCGCGCGGCGGACCCCGTTCTCCACGCTGCCTCTTGCGCGTGGAGCTCCCGTCTTGACAATCCCACTTGTGGCAGAAGTTCGGGGTGTCCTGGCTTTCTTCGCATACTCAATCTTAGTGGGGTAAGTCGGGTTGTTTTCCAACCACTCGTCTCGGTGCTGACGCGCACGCTTCTCCATGGCAGCTGGAGTGACGGAGACGTTGTACCTCTCGTTATATGCGGTGGCCACCGCTGACCATGGTAGAGGACCACATGTCGTCGATGTCTGGCCATATACGTCTGGTTTGTTGTTGTCGCGCATGACGATAATGAAGCTGACTTGATCGTCTAGGAGCTGCTGTTTTGCATGCTTCTCTGCAGGCGTCATCGCACGATGCAGTTTGCGGTAAGTATCTGAGGCAGGAACTTTGGCGGTCATAGTATCGCGTATTTTTTCTTTCGTAGAGATATAGAAGTTGGTAAACACAGTAAAGTTGAAGGTGCTCCTGAAATAGCTGAACCAAGAGCAAACTGATATACAAGATCAAGAGCGAATTCACTGCCGCTAGGCTCCCCCACATGCGAACTTTCTACGCGTTTTACGCTCACTCTGGGCCATTCTTTATGTCAAACTATCCGATCAGGGGGGGTCCACATAGGGGTGGTGGTTGTCGGGGAGCTCTCTCACTACGCCGTTCACTGCACTAAAAGCGCCATGCCCAAGCAAGCTGACGTAGGGGATGGATGCATGTGGAAAAGTAAAGGTGCAGCGTGGGTAATGGTCATGGTCACTAGATTATAATTTTCCAAGATGCCCATTTGGTAACTATCACCCAGTAGGCATGCCCGTAAGACTCTTGCTCGGATCCTTATTGTGGTGTGAATACAAGAACTACCATCCTTTTCAAATCCACTCTACACAGATCCATACATGGCCAGATTCTGCATCTCCCTGATTTTTCCTATGGAAAATAACGGCTGTGAGCTCATATCCTCTTCCCGGCCAGGTTTAAAGGTCATCACATGGTTCAGTATAGACTAAACTCTGCCTACTTGCTCATGACAGCCTTGATCTTTAGCAGTGGAATGTGGAAGTGTGGGATGACCAGCTCATCACATCTTGAAAAGGGGTCATATCAACAACACTGGCTGATTCTTGATTTATGTTTGTGTGAAAGCCCACCAAAATACTGCTATCTGCATATAGTTTGTTTTCGTGTTGAGATAGATAATAAGCTGCATGTTCGTGCGTCCCAGACCTTCAAAATGATACGGATATTATTCCAATCAGGTGTTTGACTACACTTGGATATTATTGTACATGTGGTAGTTGTTCCAGCAGGCAGCTTTAGTAACATGGTGCTTTCTTATTGGATAAGCTCAATCAGAGTTGCCCAGTGACGGTATGGTCACGTGCACATGCTATGGCTCAACCACGAGTCAGCAGAATTACTAGTATGGCAGTCGATACTGACGTCTCTATCTTCTCCAACACCCTGATCTTCTTGAAAACATTCCAACAGTGGATGGAGTGTGGATAAGGACTTGCTTCGCATGGTTCCTGGGTGTTACTTATCGATAAGCAGCCACGTTGCAGGCATCAAGCGCGTCCCGCAGAGAAGCCTCCGTCGGGCATGAACATGTGAGGCACGCGCGCACATTACGCGTTGCGCAAACCATGTACCACCTGTTCAAGTCGATATACCTGCATGCGACGAGCAAAGAAGGTACGAATTCCGTCTTGCGACCCCCGCGCCGCAGTCTCTGGTCGCCATGCGCCCATCTGTCACCGCCCTAACCGCCTGCAGAGTACTCTGTCCTCCTCCTCGGCCTGGACAATGCGGGAAAGACGACGCTTCTCGAGCAGATAAAAGGCGCATACACGGCCTCGAATGCCAATCTCAGAACAGTGCCTACGGTTGGCCAGAATGTCGCTACCATCGCCCTTCCGCCGCCAAACCCGCCCATCTACCTCAAGATATGGGACGTCGGCGGCCAGCATAGCTTGCGCGGACTCTGGCAATCGTACTACAGCAGTTGCCACGCCATAGTCTTTGTCATAGACAGCACCGACGTGGGCAATGCCACGCTCGCAGACATGAGCGCGAACAATGCGGCGAGCAACGAGGACATTGGGCGCCTGGATGAGTGCAAGCTCGTGCTGGAGAGTGTGCTGGCCAACGAAGACGCAAGCGGCGTGCCCATTCTGATACTGGCGAACAAGCAAGACCGCGAAGACTGCGTCGAGGTCGTCAGGATCAAGGAGGGCTTTGTGCGCAGAGTGTTTGAAGGCGAAAAGGGAGGCAATGTCAGAGACAGCAGAGTCCTGCCTTGCAGCGCGCTCACAGGGACCGGTGTCCAAGAGGCGGTAGAGTGGTTATGCAGCCGCATGGCTTTCAACAAAGAAGCGCGACCCCCCGTTATGCGGTAGTCTTTTCCTGTTCTCTACCACCACATAAAAAAAAAGGAAAAAATATCGAATATACCCTGGCCGCGAAGTTTATTCTCTGCCTCTATCTCTCGGCCCTTTTGAAACCCATCTCGTCATCATCACTTCGCTGTGTTTCCCCTCACCGCACAAAATAGCCTCGACATACGAACAAGAAAAAACTTCAATACATACGCAGGAACGAATTCCCATCACTCAACAACATACCCCAGTCGCAACCAGAACACCAGAAAACATACATACACACAACAGCGACACTTGGCTCAACCCTCCATATCCCATACTGCGCCACACGAACATACCCAGCCCCAGCCCCAGCCACAACCCCCCAAGCACACACACATGTCGTACATATAAAGCCCACGCCACCCCGGATTCACCCGCGCATACATAAACACCTGCAGCATCCACCACACAGAAAAAAAACAAGCCAGCGTCCCCGTGCTCTGCTCTGCTCTGCCACATGGGCGTGCGTTGCGCTGCCTTATCTTGAATAGGATCGTACATAGCAAATGTAAGCACTACATAGCGGGAGGTACGCGGGCGCCACTGCTGCCTTGGGCATTTCTCACAGGGAAGATCCCTTCGCCTCGCTGGGCCGAACATATGCACGTATAGATACGGTCCAGATGCGAATACGGCTAGGGGTACTTTACTTTAATCGCATCGTGGTCGAGTATACGATTTTTCGTGCGGGTTCACGTGACTATCCATACGAGGCGGCTTATGGTAGGGTCATATGAAAATTATCTCTTGTTGTCGGTTTTGCAAGTCTAGGTTTGCTGCGTTAAAGGCTTGGGGTAGGGAATGATGTTGTACGGGGTAAGATGTAATTGAGGAGATGTCGATGATGAGAAATAAGGAACTGACGGGGCACGCTGGGTACCGGATCAAAGCTTTGTACTTGGCATTTTCTGGTTTCTTTTTCGCCAATCCAATATAGGTATCACATCTAGAGTAAATACATGGACAAAATTGAACGGGCTCCTATCACTCCGCAGGTTCACAGATGTGGTAAAGCTTTGTATAAAGCTCTCTCTCTCTCTCGGCTTTTGAAGTCTTGACTAGGTTATCTGTAGTAGAACAAGTATTTGAAGTAGAAGTATTTCGGTTTTCCCCAACCAGGGTATCTCGGATTCGTATTCATCCTTTACGACTCGTAACAGATGGCTTGCGGTGGATTACAAAAGCAAATGTCTACATCAAACCTCACGTCCACTCATTCTTGTGCTGACCGTCCTAGCCAAGGCAATTACTGATCGCGTTTCCACAAGTTCTTCTACTCGTGTCCTTCACGTGGCTCATGATGGTGTTCCAATAGGTACTTTTCAGGAGGACATCCAGCTGTGCGGATTATTTTCTGCCTGGGTCCTATATTGATATTGGACTTCAAAACGCGGCAGTGCATCCTGCAAAGGAAGGCAGTTGGATAATCCTGCATGCGATAAGCAAACACAGCCTTCGATCGGCGCAACCAAACCCCCATAGAAGTGTGGCCTCGCTAAATTCAAAGCTGTGGGTCCCGTATACGTACGTCTATGTAGTGCTAAAGTAGCGCCGGGTACCGACTAAGCACTGCGTATGGACAGAAGCCTGAGGCTCACAATTCAGCAGCAAAGTGCTACCTGAAACCGACGTGTGCTATCGGATCCCGTACCCGACGCCTTACAGTTTACGTGCGTAAATTTTACTCGCACAAGCCCAACCAGACAAATAAATTAGGAAATGCATGCTTTACGTAATGCTCGCATGGCCGTTTAATATTGTGGGCCGTGAGTGGACCGCCAATGGACCAAGCTCATGCTTCTCATGCTAAGCTTTGCACCCCTAAAGCTTAGATCGGATGAAGTGTCAGAGTGTGAAACTTGGCCGCCTTTGATTTTCCCGAAAAAAAAATAAAAGTCAGTGCCTGATGTATGCTTCTCGCTCGAAGAGTTGCCGCTGTCAGGACAACGGAAGCTTGCACTGACTCAGCTTTCCATCTGCACGTAGGCTCATTCGGCACGCCTAGTTCCGCTGGCACAATACGAAGTCTGCCGTCTATATCGCGCAAGCGCGCTATTTGTCGAACGATAGCCTCGAACGAACCGTTGCGTCAGCAAGGGCATTGCATATAGTGGGGGGCACATCCCGCTTTAATCCTGGCAACTAGTGTTATTGGTGTTGACAATGGCATTTATTAATTCCTATGAATGGCTATGATAGGTCGTGCAGTGCATTCCATGGGGTCGTGCATTCTGCCATATATTATAGGGTGAGGGTACTATAATTTGCACGCACAAGTAGAGCGGGCTGGTAGAAGCATTTAGGGAATGTGAGAATTTGATTCATGGACGAGACGTTACTTGGCCACATACGACGTTCAGCGACAGTTGATCGCAAATGCGGCTTGAACAACACAAATTCCAACTACAGCATTACTGAAGAACGAAGCGTGGATAGCGGGTCAGCACGGATGGAACTGAAATGTAGTGCGATCCATCCTCGTCTAGGTAGTGTGCTTATGCACCACTAATTTCCTTATCCTTGGTTATCCCCCACCGGAATACTTCGTATACTCTAGTTGCACACCGAAGAGCACCCGTGATAAACAAACCAGTGGCGCTCAACCTGCTAATCTGTCAAGGCGAACAACCCCAAGCTAGGAACAGGAAGGAAGCTAGAGAGATCGCAGCGCATTGATAACATCATGCCGTACGTAACATGGTCCACTTAGGGGCTGTGCAGGTGCGCTGCGATTTCTGATTAGCCGACCGGATATGGAATCTTGTTTTCCCCCAAAGCTAGCTAGACATTCAAGTCGTGCTTGATGCAGTGGGGGATTTGGAGATGCTAAAACATGATAGGCTTTGCTGGCGCGGCGGCACTCAGGCCAATCATCCTTAGCATCCGACTATCCTACATTAACCTCTTCTTAGGCGGAACTCAACCCTAGCTAGAAGTGGTAGTCTCTAAAAACCTGTTTTGCCACGCTGTTGCTTTTTTTGTCGTTAATTCTCTTCTAAAACTTCTAACTACTTTCTTTCTATCTTGATCGTGGGTCTTTTTTTAGGTAGAGATCAAATAGCAAGTGGGATTCTAAATAATAGCCAAGTTAAATAGAACAGAGTAACAAACAATATACGCCTAAGCTGGAATATGAATTCTTTAAGCATTTCTTGTTTTTCGTAAAGTGTTATTGCTTAGTTTTTTACCTGTTTAGCTCCTAATAGGATCCTAAAATACCTCCGAATTCAACTTGATAACAGAACAAAAACTAATAGAAAAGTAGTAATATTGCTACTGGGTAAGATTGAAAGTATAAATAAACGTAGGTATAATACAGTGCAGGCTAGAGGAGACAGTGCAGCAATTAGTACTAGTGCCGATAAGACAAATTACTAGTAAGGGGTACTAACGATTCAAGGTACTTGTACACTCTACCGGTGCCAAGGTGTAGCTACGCGGCCCGGATAGGTGCAGGGTCCAACATTCATAAGACAACTTCAATGTCTGTCTTCAAGTCTACTATCTCAACTTCAGTATCAGATTATCACAATGGAGTCCACTTCACCTCAAATGAACAGTTTTTCGTTCCAAACAGACGCCGTCAAGAGAGTGGCTTGTATCCGGTGCCGGACACAAAAGCTTAAATGCATCAAGTCAACCACTGCAGCGGTAACAAAAAGGTGTGACCGCTGCAGGAAAGCCGATGTCGAATGCATCTATGTTCCTTCGAAACCAATGGGCCGGCCCAGGACATCGCGGTCTCAAACAACAACCCGGATCACGCACTCACCGGCTTTGCCATCGGATACAACAGCCCGGATACCGCATTCGCTGGAATTGCCACCGGACACAGCCACCTCGCAGCAGCTGTCAGTGACACCACCTGAAACGATTGATCTCAACACCATGATAGACGAAGCGGAAAACACCCTAGACACACAAAACATGAACATCTTCTTCGACCACATCACGCCATTCGAGCAAGACGAAACATCGACACAAACCGGCCTTGGCTTCACAACCAACGACATGGATTTCCTGACACCATGCTCCAGCCACGGGACCCTGAATTTCTCGCACAGCTCCGACACATACGTAGATAGCGTTGTAATGGATGGCGAGACCACAGGGGACCAGGTAAGACGGACAGCCAGCAGCACGGCATATGATTTCGACGACGGGACCCCACGAAGCAGCAGTAGCACTATGCAGCAGCTAGCGAAGCTCGGTCTGGATCTCCACGCGCAAATCGTCAAGCACCAAACTGCCGGAGACATGATTGCGATGGAGGAGCTAGTTGCTGATGTGCTGCGGAGCTCGACGGACTATCTGAACCACCTCGTATCTCTCGACAGTACGGTTATCGCGAGCCAAGACAGCAGAGCAGCAGGGCCACGGTGGGCAGAGGCCAAGCCGCCGAGCCAGGCGCCTCAATTGGACATGTCAACCGCGTTCCAGCTCTTGATCCCATATGTACGGCTAGTCCAGCTACACAACATCCTATACCGGGCAATGCTCCGGTGTCTCAGTAGCAATGGCATGAACAGAAGCAGCAGTAGCAGCAGTAGCAGTAGCAGTAGCCGATTGGATATGGCGACAGCAAGGCTGTGGAGTCTTCCGGCACTGTCAGTGGGCGGCGCTTGTGTCGATGCCAGCGACCCACTCCGCGCACGCTTGTTGCTGCAGATGAATCTCCACCTCTTGGCTGAAATTGAGGCCGTGCTGGAACTGCCACTCGAAGCGCGGATATGCTGGCCCGGGGCTGAAGGCGGAATAGGCGGACCCATGGGTATCTCTGTAGTCGACCAGGGGGGTTCCGGTGGCCTCTTGCGCCAGACGGTCTCGCCCAGGCTGCTCAAGACAATCCTCGAAGAGCGTAATCTTGGCACCGATGACGTCCAGTCTATGCGCGACCGCATCTCTTATATAAAGTGCTTACTTCGCACCCGGCCGCGGCCGCTGTAATCAGGCGTCTAAACAGTAATACATACCATCTTTTCGCCCACCCTTTGTTCCCCTGCAAGTGCCTGTTACGTACATCCATAATCATGCGTGATTGCCGTTTGGTTGAATAATGTTGTGAGCATCTGGATTCGGAGGCGGCCGGGACCGATGTAGGTATAGCGTTCGGTCACTTTTATAGTGGACTTTGGTGCCCACGTGCGTGTGTGGGGTGGAGAGGAGGAAGAAGGGGGCGAAGATGGGGGGGGGGGAACACATTCATTTCAAGCTTAACTCTGCAGACTTGCACATGATTGCCGATAAGAGTTGATAGCCCCCCTCGTTTCCTCCCGTCCCCAAAGACCAGGGTTCATCTTCCCTCAGCCCCGGCCCTCTCTGCACCACAAATTTTCCTAACGGCCCGAAATCTGGGGTCGCTACACACACTTGCACATGCACATCAAGCCCTTCTGAACCTGCCGCCCCGACCGCCCTGCTGGCCTGCCTTTACAACGTCTTCTCCAGTAGCTTGACACACAGTGGCTTGGGCTCAAAGACTAGATAAGCTTTTTGGTCCAACCAGTCGTCTACCCGGGTGCTCGGCTCAAGGGCAAGCTCGAAATTCCATAGCGTGCGCGCAAGGAGGATTCGCGCTTCTGCAAGAAAAACCCTGTTATGGTGTCAGAATCCATTGACAATGATGTCGGCACTTATGACGTCCCCCAAAAAGGGGGGGGGCGTCTAAGGTATGTGGCTGCAGGGGGAGAGGCACTTACTTGCCGCCGATGCAGTTCCGGGTGCCAATGGAAAAAGGCTTGAATGCCTCTTTATCGTCGCTGTTAAAACGAGCATCATACCATGAATGGCTCGGTGGTAGAAAGCGCTCGGGGTTGAATTTGTGCGGCTCGGCCCAATTGCGGGAAGATGTCTGTGAAGTATGCATGGCGATTCCCATGACGGTCTACGGTAGGATGCGCATGATACATTAGCGCAGTTCATGGGAGTGGAGCAAGAAACTTGGGGGTTTGAATTACATTTCCGGGGATCCACTCATTGTCCACGCGCAATCCTCCAGAGGAAATCAGTCGGGGCAGGTGTATTGGCGTGGGGTGATGGATGCGCAGCGTTTCATCAATGACGGCGGAGAGATAAGGCAACCCTGCTGTACTCTCAATGGTGATGTCTGATTCCTGCTGGAATGACGAGCGAATTTCACCAAGGAGGCGCTCAAGCTGAAGCGGGTGGGTCAGCAGTAGATATGTGGCCGTGGCTAAGGCCACCGTAGGCAGTTGGGATCCTGCAATGGTGATGGCTAGTGAGTGCGTATTTAGTTCGTTGCGGGTAATACCCTTGTCCTTTGTCTCCTTAACATTGCCAATAACGGGCGTGACAAAGTCAGACCGCAGAGACCCCAGGTCCCCCATATCTAATCGCTTCGTCACCAAATCGGCTGTGTACTGCCAGTTCCGCTTCCGTATCTTAGCCGTTAGCTGCAAGAATAGAAACCCGAAAATCCTGTCAAGCGGGTAGAAGTAGCTTAGGTGGTTGCGCACTGCGCCAAACTTTGCCCCGAGGAAAAAGCCCATGACCCAGTTATGTTCGTTGTCGCCCTCGAGGCCGTGGAAACTCTCGCCATAGGTCAGGTCTGAAACCACATCTAGGGCTGCATAGCCGTAGAATTTGGCTAGGTCTACGACGCTGTCTACGCTCTTGGCTGCTTCGCGCCGCAATCGCTGGATGAACAGGTTCGCATGTGATTCTATAATGGGCGACTGCGCCCGTAAAGCACGGTCATTGAAAGCGTTTAACAGTGTCCTCCGCATACGCTGGTGTGTGCTTCCATCAGCGGTAAATAGAGAGTCTGCCCCGTTCAATGGTGGCGTCTGTGGGTGTGGGTCTTTTGGCAGCTGTGGTCGCTGGAGATACAAGTCCCTCCAAGCGCCGGATGAAATGGTGGTCAGTTCATTTGGACCCACGCGTACCACTTTTCCGTAACGATCGTGGAGGTCGTCAATCCATTTGTATTGTTGACCCCGAACCGCGGAGATTGCAAATGGAAGGCGAGAAAAGGCTGCAAATTTGGGCCCTGGGAATTTGGATAACGGGTGGAAGTAGATACAGTAGATTGCACTCGTGATGTAGTACTTCACTACGGTGTGAGCCAGAGGTGCTTAGGCAAAAGCCTCAATGTATTAAAGACTTACTATCACTGCGAATATCGCGCCCGTTGCCAGTATCTGGCTGAGTGGCGGCACTTGAAACGGTATCATGTCTGCAAACGTGTGCATGGCGGTATCAGCGGGAATAGCTAGATAACCTCGTGCCTTCCTCTGCTCTGCTCGAATCAGCTTATGAATTGTGTGCAGTGGAACTTTCGGTTAGTGATCGACAGGGAAATCACTAAGTATCCGATGCGAATGTTACCGACTCCAGCTCGATCGACCAACGCCACTCGGACTTGGCAGATAGCAAATACAGTGCTGCTTCTTCTCAGACTGCTCAACCCTCTCAGAAGGGTGATAAGGCAGATACCCTAAAACTGAATTTGTGAACGTAACGCTGCAGTGGATATCTTCATGAAGAGAAGTAGTAGAGGGATCTTGGTCGGCGCCCCTGAGAAATTGGGTGGGTCAGTCAGTTGGGCGTGTTCGAGTACCATTGCTCCTGATGGCAGGCGGATTTTGAGTAGTAGCCAAGCAACTGCTGTGCCATGCGTGTTATCAATCTATCTACCAGACTCTTGGCCAGATCCCGAAATGGATAAAGGGTTCCAGCCCCGAAGCCTCGCATTGTCGGCCTTTAGCCAAAGAGCGTTAATGCCGAACACACCGAACATCGTTGACACCGGAATGTCGAGATAAAAACCAAAAATACGGCGACTAAGCCCATCGGCTGCATTCTCACCATAAATTGCCTATTCCGGGAATTTCTGGGGACCCGGGTCATCTAGTTAGCTGTGGAAAACCACTATAAGTTATAGGGCTTCAGAATACCAAGAAAAAGCAATCGTTCGTCTGTCGTTGCTCCTAGTATATTTACCAGCCAGTTCGAGTGTCCTCATAGAGCACCAAGTGCTACTGCGACAAAGAGTTCTGACGCGAGCATTGTATTCTCCTTGTGTGCAACAGCCATCCCAAGCATCATTTTTAGTAGATTCAACATCCCTCCACCACACCATGGCTCAATCAAAATCAACGCAAGCGGCGTCCGTCGCTATATTTTGCCCACAGAGCAAAGCACCAGATAGTGCATACCTAGACCAACTACGGACATTCTTTATGCAGCACCCCGAACTACGCAAGCTAGCAGCTGAAGTCCAGCGGTTGGGAGAAACGTGGGACATTCTTGCTGCGCGCAGAGCCGACATTGCGGCGCTGCATCAAGGGCCCAGATACCTACAAGCACTGCACAGCTGGGTGGAAACAGGCGCTTCAGAACCAGTGGCCAATGCCATGTCAGGGATTCTGTCACTGCCCCTGCTGGTAGTCATTCAGACATGCCAGTATTTCCAGTACCTGAAGCTTGCGGGCCTGACACATGCGGAGTTTCTGCGTGGCCTGGAGACAGGAGGCGCACAGGGATATTGTGGTGGTCTTCTCCCCGCCATGGCGGTTGCATGTGCCAGGGATGAGGAAGAGGTGGTGCGCAAAGCGGGAATTGCAATGCGTGTTGCTCTTGCCGTGGGTGCATATGGCGAGTTAGGTGACGACGAGAATCTGCCTGGACCGACGACAATTGTCCTTCGTCTTCGACATGAAGGACAAGGTGACGATATAGCGAGGAAGTTTCCTGGAGTAAGTACCATCCAGAACACGCGCTTTTGTACCTGGCTGATTTGACGTAGTCGTACGTGTCTGCGGTCACCGACCCCAAGACCGTAAGTATTGTCGGCCCTGTTCCCACCCTTGAGAAGGTCATTGTTTATGCACGAGAGCTGGGCCTCCAGGCACAAGGCATGCACCTCAGGGGTAAGGTGCACAATCCAGAGAATGCTGAACTAGCGCGGGAACTGTGCGGATTGTGTGATGAGTTTGAGCATCTCACACTGCCGACCAGCGACGAACTCCAAGTACCCATATACTCCAACATCACTGGCCGGCGGCTGCAAGGCTGCTCCCTCACACATGAAGCCGTCAAGACCATATTAGCATCGCGATGCGAGTGGTGGACGCTCCTCAACGAGCTCGCATCCGCACTCCAGTCAACCGGTGTTCAGTCGTACACCTTTGGCATGTTTGGCATTGGTGACTGCGTACCACTGATGCCTTTTCACCAGGCGAGGCTCAAGGTTTCCAAGATTGATATCCATCGCACCATCCGCGAAGCAGAGCTCAGTCACTACACGTACCCAGAAGATGCCATTGCGATTGTGGGCGCCGCGTGTCGACTCCCCGGTGCCAGCAACCTAGAAGAGCTCTGGGATCTCATGGCAGGTGGCGTTTCCAGAGCAGAGGAGATTCGACCAGACCGCATACCATTGCATGCAAGCTTCCGGGCCGAGCAGGATCTCAAGGTAAGCTAGCAGCGTCAAGTACGTCTTTACCTGAAATCGATAGTTTACTGATACACGAATAGTTCACTAGCCGGCGAAAGTTCTTCGGAAACTTTGTCGATGGGGTGGATGGTTTCGACCATGCTTTTTTCCGCACAAACCCCAGGGAGGCCGCGTATATGGACCCACAGCAACGCGTTTTGCTCGAACTAGCGTACCAAGCCATGGACTCGAGTGGCTACCTCCGATCCCACAAGCGCGACAACGGTGACAACATAGGTTGTTTCATAGGCGCTTCTTTCAACGAATACCTCGACAATACTTCAGCACATGCCCCCACCGCCTACACGTCAACCGGCACTATCCGGGCATTCCTCTGTGGCAAGATCAGCTACTACTTCGGATGGAGCGGCCCGGCGGAAGTCATCGACACGGCATGCTCGGCTTCGCTTGTGGCAATCCATCGTGCGTGCCGGGCCGTCATGAGTGGAGAGTGCACCCAGGCGCTAGCAGGGGGTGTCAACATCATGTCTGGCATCAACAACTTTATGGACTTGGGCAAAGCTGGCTTCCTTAGTCCGACCGGACAATGCAAGCCCTTTGACAAGGCTGCCGACGGGTATTGTCGCGCTGATGGCGCGGGGCTTGTGGTGCTCAAGCTGCTGCGCCACGCGCGAGCTGATGGCGACAACATCCTTGGTGTCATTCCTGGCGTAGCAACTAACCAGGGTGGACTATCGACTTCCATTACTGTGCCACACTCACCGGCGCAGATGACACTATACAAGCGCATCCTCAAGCAGGCGGGCATGAAGGCGGAGCAGGTGTCGTACGTCGAGTGCCACGGGACCGGCACGCAGGCTGGCGATCCGCTAGAGATAGCTTCAGTACGCGAGGTATTTTGTGGCGGTGATCGGCAAGGAAATTTGCATGTCGGATCTCTCAAGGGCAACATTGGACACTGTGAGACGGCCGCCGGCGTGGCATCGCTGCTCAAGGTGGTTGCCATGCTGCAGAAGCAGCGCATTCCGCCTCTTGCCAGCTTCAAGTCTCTCAACCCCAAGATTCCAGCGTTGGCGCCTGACAAGATGGCGGTTGCTAAACACGTGGAAGAATGGAATGCTCCCCTACGCGCGGCATGCGTTAACAGTTACGGTGCAGCCGGCAGTAATTCTGCCCTTCTGTGCGTGGAAATGAAGCAGAGAAATGCTGCTGGGGCTGGTGGAGAAGGTGGCGCAGCTGCCCAGGCAACTGCTTGGCCAATTGTCATGAGTGCGGCTAGCAAAGAGTCTTTGTCACGATACTGCCATGCCTTGGACGAGTACTTGGGTAAAACTCCAGATGTATCGCTCGGCGACTTGAGCTTTACGCTGGCAGAGCGCAAGCAGCGCCATCGCTTCCAGCTCTTCACGACCGTGTCCGATATGAGTACTCTCCGCGGGTTGTTGACAAACCCTCAACTGGAAGCCAGCATCATCGATGTGACCAGCACGTCTTGCCCTGTTGTGCTGGCCTTTGGTGGACAAAGCAAGCAGACAGTGGGGCTCGACAAAGGGTTGTATCAAAGCAGCCCCCGGCTTCGAGCTTACATCGAGGAGTGCGACAAGCTGCTCGTCGACATGGGATACTCGAGCATCCTGCCCGCTGTCTTCTCATCAGAGCCTCTCGCCGACGTGGTTGTACTACAGACGGCCACGTTTGCGGTTCAATATGCCTCGGCAAAATGCTGGACAGACGCAGGGGTACGAGTCGGGGCGGTTGTCGGACACAGCTTTGGAGAGCTCACAGCGCTGGCATTCTCAGGCGCCCTTAGTCTGCGCAGTGGCCTGAAGATCGTGGCGGCGCGTGCGAAGCTGATGGCGACGAAATGGGGCCAGGAGACAGGCACCATGCTAGCCATTCACGCAACGCGAGACGTTGTCGAACAAGTGATACAGAAGGTAGGCGGCAGCGAGCTTGAGGTGGCGTGCTACAACGCCGTGGCAAGCCAGGTGGTTGTGGGATCGGCCGCCGCAGTGTCACGTGCCGAGGCCCTACTGGCAAGTGATGCGCGATTCAGCAGTGTGCGTAGCCAGCGAGTTGATGTCTCGCATGGCTTCCACTCCAAGTTCACCGAGCCGCTGCTGGATGAGCTCTCGACGGTGGCTGAGTCTTTGGTCTTTGGGGAGCCGAGGATTGCGCTCGAGATGTGCGTGCCTGACGAGTGCGCAAAGCAGAGTCCCGGTCCTTCACGGATTGTCCAGCACACGCGTGAGCCCGTCTATTTCGTCGATGCTGTCCGCCGCATCGAAGCACGGCTAGGGCCCCATTGCGTGTGGCTCGAGGCTGGCACAGATGCGCCCATCATTCCCATGGTCAAGCGAGCTGTGGTCCAGCCGGCACAGCATGTCTTTTTCGGAATGCGGTTCGCGGGTGCTCAGAATGCAGCGACGGTGTTGGCAGATGCGACGACGGGCCTGTGGCGTGAAGGACTCGACGTCTCCTTTTGGCCGCATCTTGGCGGCCCTGCTGAGTCAGGACTAAGTCACGTGTACACTCCGCCCTACGAGTTTATCCGCACGCCACACTGGGTCGTCAACATCGACCGCGCTGCCGAAGCCCGCACCCAAAAAGATGAGAAGCCGACGATCCAGCCAGAGGCGCCACCGCGAGCACTTCTTGTTACCCAACAAAATCCGGGCTCATTGACCTTCACCGTCAATATTGCGGCGGACCGCTTCCGCGACATTGTCAGCGGCCATGCCGTTCGTGGTCGTCCGCTATGCCCGGCCTCCATGTACATGGAGTGCGCCGTCATGGCTCTGCAGTGTCACCTTGGTGCCCGCTTTGACAAAACATGTGCTCTATCATTTGAGAAGCTCACCTTTGAGCATCCCCTGGGTGTCGACCTAAGCCGCCATGTCGAGGTGGTGCTGACCGAGGCTGGTACCGGGTTGTGGAACTTCCAACTACGAAGCTCAGCCAAGTCGTCTACCAACTCCAAGTTCTCGACACACGGTCGTGGCAAGGTCCGACTGGGCAGTCCTCCACAGCTGCAAACGTACAAATACCTTGTCGCCGGGTGCGTCCAGGATGTCGACATGAAGGTCGGCACAGAGACACTGCTGTCCAAACGCGCATACGGCTTGTTCTCGCAGGTCGTCACCTATGCTCCCCTTATGTGCGGCATCCAGTCAATCACCATGGACGGTACTCGGGCTGTTGCCAGCATCAAAGTTCCAACCCCTTTTGTTGGTTCCGACGAGAGCTCCGCCATTTCTATCTGTGATACCGTCTCAATCGACACCTTCATCCAGGTTGTGGGCCTTCTCATAAACAGCAGCGATGCCTGCATTCCTAACCATGTTTTCGTCGCCACTAGCGTAGAGAGCGCCACGCTGTCTCAAGCCTGTGACTTCACTGCTGCGGACACCTGGAATGTATACGCAGTATTTAGATCCACCAGCGACACAACTGCCACAGGCGACGTCTTTGTCATGACCACTGAAGGCGCCATGGCTCTGACAATCATGGATGTCAACTTCACTCGATTGCCCATAGCGACTTTGGAGAAGCTGCTAGACACAGCAAACTCTGCGCCTGCGGACAAAAAAGAAAAGGCCTCCAGAAAACACACTCCTCCAGCAGTCCCAAGCCGCCGCGAAGTGCCCGCTTTGGAGCTAGTAGATGAGCATCAAGAGTACAGCAGCTCTAGTAGCGAAGACGGCATCCTCACTCCACCCGGAGAGCCAGATGACAGCAGTTTGCGCAAGATGATCGCTATGTACACGGGTGCTTCGATGGATTCGATCGCTGAACAAGCTACAATGGCAGACTTGGGCGTTGACTCTCTAGCCGCCGTTGAGTTTGCCGAGGACCTACGCTCACAATTTGGCAAGGATATTGAGTCATCCGACCTCCTTTTGAGCGATCTTGGGGCCTTGATTAAGCTTTGCGTGACTACAGTACCAAAGCCGTCGCTGAAGAAGTCGATAAAAAGCAGTCAAGTCCGAGAGGAATCTGTCGTCTCAGCCCCTGTAGCTGTAGACAGTGCTGGCCGACAACGCCTCCTCCAAATTGTCTCAGATGCTTGTGGCGCCCCTACATCTGACATCAAAGACTCACAAACGCTTCGCGATTTGGGTGTTGACTCCCTGGCATCGGTAGAGCTCAGCAGTGACCTCGAGAATGCATTTTCCACCCAGATTGATGAGAACGACGTGACTCTCGATTCCACCATCGCTGAGATCTTGAGCTATCTAGGAATTAATAGTGCAAGCATGCAAGCCTCATTCGCCATGCCTGCCCTAACGGCGATGCCTAATTCGGCACATATTACCGAGTCCCGCTCTTCAGTTGCAGCGGTTGCTCCTCAGGGGCAATCCAGTGCCATCCGCCAGCGCGTGCTGCAGATTATATCAGATGCTTGTGGTGCGCCTCCCGAAGCCATGAACGACAACGAATTGCTTCGCGATCTCGGCGTCGACTCGCTAGCAGCAATGGAGCTCAAGAGTGAGCTCGAAGATGCCTTTGACGTTGAGCTGGATGACGATTTGCTCGATTTATCCGTCTCGGAGACTGTCAAGAGCTGCGGAGGTGCGTCTACAGAGCTTTTTAATGTCCCAACAATCTCCAACAAGACGACCGCTAGTCTCATTCCGTCCCCTAAGCCCGTCCACCAGAAGTCACCCACAATGCCGGCTGACATGAAAAGCCCATTCGAATCTCTGCTCATCAATGAGGGCGTCTATGCAGCCAAGGCAAGGAAATGTGGATTCGAGAACTTTGGGACCAAGGTAGCTCCCAGACAAGATGAGCTCATGCTTGCCTATATTGTTGAGGCCTTTATCGAGCTCGGCGTTGATCTTCGTACATTGAAAGAGGGTGAATCGCTGCCAACACTTGCATATCGAAGCAAGCATGCCTACAACCGACTTATGGAAAGAATATGGGTCATCCTGGGCAAACATGGATTGGTGAACACAATCGGTACATCAAACCGCGTACGAGGGTCCGCCAGGTGTCCTGAAAGCTCTTCGACTGAGCTTCTCTCGAAGATCCGGCAAGATTTCCCTGCGTACCAGTGCGAGTTTTCCTTGATGAACTTGACCGGCTCCCAGCTCGGCCAATGCCTTGGTGGAAAACAGGACCCGATTGCTCTCATGTTCAAGACCCAGGACGCGCAATCCATCATGGAGGACTTTTATCTCAACTCCCCCATGCTTGCCACTGCCACAGAGATGCTTGTAGACACTGTCGCTGATGTTGTCTCCAAGTTCAAGGCCAACAATCCTGTCAACATTCTCGAAGTCGGAGCTGGCTGTAAGTATACTCTTGAATTTACCACTAGATTGATATGATACTGACCAAGCCCTCAGTTGGAGGAACAACAAGAAAGCTTGTGCAAAGTCTGAGCAAATTGGGCCGATCCGTCAACTACACCTTCACAGACATTTCTCCCACGCTCGTCGGTCGCGCATTGAAGGTGTTTGCAAACCAATACCCATGGTTGCAATTCCAAACCTGGAACATGGAACACAACCCCCCAAGCGCACTCTCCGCAAGCGGTCCTTTTGACATCATCATCGGTACCAACTGCGTTCACGCTACCCAAGATCGCACTGCCACATTGAACCGCCTGAAGCAATTGCTTCAGCCTTCAGGCTTTGTCGTTCTTTCAGAAGTGACGGAGATTGTAGACTGGTACGACATCACCTACGGCCTACTCGACAGCTGGTGGTCCGACAAATATGGTTGCTACCCTCTCCAGTCTGCTGAAACTTGGATGAAATGCTTCGCGGACTCTGGGTTCAGCGTTGCATCGTACTCGCAAGGCCCCAATGCGGACTTGAGCATACAGAGACTACTCATTGGCAGCATGAGAAAAGACATTGAAGCCCCAAAGCGCGTGCTCTCACGACCAATTTTGGAAACTGTTGTCTACAAGAAGGTTGACGGTGTGGAAGTCCACGCCGACGTTTTCTATCCGAAGCCGCCGCCTGCCAACGCCATGCCGATTGGTGAGGCTCACCGAACTTCTTGCTAAGAACCATGCCACTAACAATTTCAATAGCCCTCATGATCCATGGCGGTGGCCACATGACTCTTTCCCGCAAAGCAGTACGCCCTGTGCAGACCAACTTCCTCCTCCAAAATAACATCCTTCCCGTAAGCATAGACTATCGCTTATGCCCTGAAGTCAACCTCATCGATGGGCCAATGGCAGACACACTGGATGCGTATAAGTGGGCCACAACCGCCTTGCCCAACTTGGCACGAGCAAAGGGCATTGTAGTCGACCCTGAGAGGGTGGTGCTCATCGGATGGTCCACTGGAGGTCACCTTGCCATGACAACTGCATGGACGGCCAAGTCCGCCGGCATGAAGCTCCCCAGTGCCATTCTCAGCTTCTACGGCCCTACAGATTTTGAGTCTGGAGATCTGGATAAGCGCCGCGCAGAAGAGTACCCAGAAAGAACAATGAAGATGAAGGAGATCATCAAGGCATTGCCAAAGAAGCCGGTAAGATCAGTTTGCAGCATTCGTATCGATGAAAAGTCACTAACGCTTCTATAGATAACTCAATATGACGGCAATGGTACTGATGCTACTGGTCTGGGTTGGGTTCGTCCTGGAGATCCTCGCTCTGAGCTCGTCCTGTCGCTTTTCAAGGAGGGCAATGGTCTTCCGCTTCTTCTGAACGGCCTACCCCGAGCCAGCAACGAAGGAGACTGGTCGAATGATTCTGTTTCAGAAGACTCTGAAGACAGCTTTGAAGAAGGTGATGATGCCTGGCTCCGCACGCCCGACGCCGAATGCGTCGCAGCTATTAGTCCGCTCGCACAGTTGCGCCGCGGCAACTACACAGTCCCGACCTTTCTTATCCACGGCACCAGGGACGAAGTCGTACCCTATCACGCCGCCGTCGCGTTCTCGAATGCTCTGAGCGCAGCGGGTGTTGAAGGGCAATTACTCACGGTGCAGGGTGCTAGACACATCCACGACGTGACGCTGAAGACGGGCACCAAGCAGTGGAATGAGACGGTGGCGCCTGGCTACGAATTTCTCCTACAGAAGTTGCGATGCTAAGATCAATGTTTACGTGATGTTCTTGGTGTTGGCTTTTGGTTTTTGATGATTACAAGATACCTCGGTTTTTAGAGAGAGCCTCATATTCTGTATCTTTACATTTGTAGACTGTAAATATTTCCTATAGATTTATTGTTGATCATATTCTCTTGATCCTTGAACACGTTCTCCACAACTAGATTTGCAATCGTGTGTGACGAGCATTTACAATCGTCTTTTCGAAACATAGTGAGGAGTCGTGCAGATCGCCTTGCTGCAGTACAAGCCGCACACCACAAACGTCTCCCGCTCATCTACCTGACTCTACTCACTTCACATTCCTACATCTCAATCACACAAGGCCTAGAATGGTTTTCTCGAGACCCATGAATAAATATACATTAATTCAACAGTAACAACCCCCCTACGGACGCATCTCCCACACTGCACCCACCCTACTCCTCCTCCTCCTCCGCTGCAAAACCACGCCACAACCCCCGCCACACTACTGACAAGCCAATAACCCCCTTCTGATCCGCACACAAAAAATCCAGTACATGCATGCACACTCACATACTGAAGGAACCGCACACACAGCCGATTGGCCCCCCAGATATTCGGCCACTTTTCCTTTCGGAAATTTCGGTGTCGGCCACTTTTTCTCTCATCCGGCTGTTGCGCTAAGTAGCGTGGCGTAGTGCACTAAGTCAATGGCTCTGCGCTAGGACGCTTCAGTTGACGTTCTCCGAAGAGCAGGACTGGGATGTGGGAGATGGGGTGGAGGGAGGCGCGAGAAGGGCATGGAGAGTGGGAGTGTAGGGATGTGTGGTTAGGTGGCTGAGGAGGAGGTAAGTAGTTGTGTGGCGGCTGCAGTTTGTCTACTGCGAGGTAATCAACACTACAGTAATGCGTTTTGAAGGCGATGGAATTGAGATTGTAGGTTTTTGTTTAAAAAGTACATTGGCAAGGGGTTCTAAGAATTTTAGGTAGATTGTTGATCAGGTGCTTGTGCGCCCAGATGTGTGACTTGGAGTAAGTAGTTGAACGCGAAGTTGTAGAAGTCTCTACTGATTCTCACGATAAGAAATAATATTTCCACGATCGAAAGCCATATCTTATGGAAGGGATTCGTGTGATATTTTAGAAGTATTCACGTTTTAGTTGTGGTGAAATCTGTGCATAACTGTGCGCTACTCGCACACTTCTTATGCGCCTTACTGAAAAACCCCCATCTTCATTGCAATCCAGTCAAAAACCCCTACAAACCCCTTATTTTAATACGCAGATTCAAGTCTGGCTTCTCACGCATGATGAAAACCCTTTGCTTCTCAAGCGCAAACGCATCATCCGCCAGCTCCCAGTCGAACTGCCACACTAACCGTGCAAGTATCAACTTCATCTCTGCCATGGCAAGATTTTTCCCCACGCAATTGCGTGGCCCGGTGCTGAAAGGCTGAAATACGTCTTTTTTATCTTGGGAGTACTCGGCCGACGCGTCGGCGAGCCAGCGTACAGGCGCAAAGCGGTCGGGTTGTGCAAAGTTGCTGGCGAGGTGGTAGGCAGGTTGTTGAGAGACGTTGACAATCGTCTGCAGTGGATCGATTAGCAAGGAATCTTAAGTATGAGGTTCTTGAGAGAATTTAGTTTGAGATCATACTTACTCCCTCAGTCACAGCGTGCCCTGCGATGATTGCACCTCCCTTTGGTACTATGCGTTGCAGACCGGCTGGAACAGGTGGATAGATACGCATGCCCTCGTTTATGGTGGCCTGCAACACCTTCAAACCGCCCACACTAAGCATGTTGATATCCTGCTTTGTTTCGAATGCAGCGAAAATCTCTTCACGCAGCTTCTGCATCGACGCCGGGTTCTTCGCGAGCAAGTACAGGATTCCGCACAGCGCCGTGGCAACCGTCTCGCTTCCCCCCGTGATGAACAGACTGGCATTGGACTCCATTTCTTCGATACACATACCTTTTTCGTCATTGTGGCGTAGGATATATGTCCAAAAGTCTGATCGATGTGGCTGTTCACCCGCTGCAAGCCGTTTGTGCACTTTCTCGGCACTGAGCTTGATGTGCTGCATGCGCGCCCTGATGTCTTCCTTTGGCAGCAAAGCAATGAGGAACGGTGTAAACGGCTTGAACAGCCTCGCTGCTCCAAAGAGAGAAAGTGCTTTGATAAAAGGAAATAAAAGGCCAACCCAGGGATGGTAGGCACCGTTCGACAGACACCCAAAAGGTTCGCCAAAGGCCAGGTCCCCGACGATGTCGAAAGCAGTGTATTCCAGCCAGTTCTTGACATTGACGTCAGCCCCTGACTGTGCCGCGAGTGCATTCATAAATTGGTCAATGTAGCGCATAACGAGTTCCTCCTGCGCTCTTAGTGCCTTGTCGCTAAAGGCATGGTTGACCGTCCGCCGTTGTCGCGCGTGGTCTGCATTGTTGGCCGACAAAAGATGGTCGACCGTTTTATGGCTGCGCGTCATCCCCCACTTGGGAAAGTTGCGGTTAGGCCCGTGGCCATAGATATCTGTCCATGCTTCGGGCGAGATAAACGACACCATGTCAGGGGATATGCGTACGACGTCGCCATACTTGGCGTGTAGCGATGTCAGATCGTGGGGTAGATAGCCGCTGAGTATGGATCGTGCATGCGGAACATGCGATATTGCGCGACTCGCGGGGCCGGGAAACGACTTCAAGGGATGAAGTGTCAATCGATATATCGCGCGTAGCAGTAGGTATGAAATGAGCTGGATGGTGTCAGCTTGAAGCATGGGAGAGGGCTGTCATCACTTGCCGCACAAACGGCGAGCAGCCACTTGGGTAGATTCGACATTTCAACAATTGATATTGCCATGATATCAAGGTAAACTGGCGTGCTACAGAGTTTCATTGCTCGATGCTATAATCTTTGGTGTAAAGTCTATTCGACTCCAATCTGCTTGGCAATCCTGTCTTTCGGCGTCGGTCATTTGTGAACTGGAGCTCGGCTATATATGTATTCACATGATGTCTTCTTATCTCGGTGAATCTCTTCACGCAGGAGATATCTTAGGTAGAGGCTAGATTTACATCATACTAGGCTTTTAGTAGGCAGTTGTGATCGTTGCTCACCCACTTGGAAATTCACAATAACAGCATCCTTGAATATGCCGAGTGCAATCCACCACACCAACACTTCTCTTGCTCAAAATCGCATTTAAATATACTATTTACTCAAATATATGTAATCGAAGACTCGCTATACAATTCCAGGGCTGATTTCTTGCAAACGCGCGTTGAGCTCATCCATAAACTTGGTCTTCGCCTTTTCCATTTCAGGTGTCTTAGTGTTACCCGTCAAGCTGTAGCAGATATTTTAGTCATTTGGCTTCCGATTTTGCGTTGAATATAATCGTAGACTTACTCTTTGCAGACTTTGCGGTCCATGAGAAATGCACCGTGGCACTCCTCTCCGAGATCTGGCTTGACTCCGTAGACCAGAGTGCGACTACCGACCTCAGTGGACCGTGCAACTAATCCTATCATGAAGCGGCGGAGAACGCCGACAATCCAACTCTCTTCATCGCGCACAAGGTCGCTTTGACATAGGCCGGGAGTCAAGCATGTGATGAGTACGTTTGACTGGTCGGAAAAAGGATATCGCTGCGCCATGTCGCGCACTACCCACATGAGGAGAAGTTTGGAGACTCCATATCTGCGACCAGTGGTTAGCAGATGTACAAGCCATGCGGCATGCATTAGTTAACTCACCGGTTGGCCATATCGGCTGTTTGCTCGGAATTGAGCGCCGCAAAGAGACTTTCCGAAGTCGACTTTTCCTTTAGCGGTGCGAGGAACTGTAGGTCACTACCCACAAAAGCCAGTCTACCCCGGTTTCCAGTTGTGGCTGCTGACTGTTGGAGTTTGGGAATGACAAGATAGCCCAAAAGTGCTGGACTGATGACGTTTACCGCTATCTGGCTCTCGCACCCCTCGATTAGAGTAAATTTGCTGGTCATAATGCCTGCATTTTGTACCACAGCATCCAGGCGATCAAGCGTGCTGATGCGTTCGCCAAATTGCTTTACGGATGAGAAACTACTCAGATCCAATTCCCAAACCTCAATGTTGCTAAGGGGGAGTGACAGTGCCGAAGATATTTCTTCTGCAACCTTGTTGCCTTTTGACACATTGCGGACTGCAAGGATGAGTTTGGATGCTCCTAGTCGAAGTATGTGCTTGGCAGCTTCGTATCCGAGACCAGATGTGGCGCCCGTTACGACCACTGTTTGGCCGGAGAAGTCGGATGAGGGAACCGGCGGCTTGACAAAAAACTGAGAGCGAAGGATTGTAGTTGCGAAGCCCATGATGACGCGATTGACAAACAATGACACAGCAAATGGGGGTTGCGGAAGATGTACGGAGGTGCCTCACAAAAGTTTTGTCCCACGCTAATCTCGGCGCTTCGGCATAACTCTTCTTGGCGCAACTCCCACCTTTGAGCTGAGTAGCTGTACGATTTGTCTGTATCTATCGTTACAATGTCTCCTAATACTGATCCTTACACCCGC